TCAAACGTCTCTGTGGACATTACAATATCTGTAACCTCCTGAACTTTGCATACAACGGACTGGGAGTTTCTAAACACTCCTGGAAACATCGCGCCAAGGAAGCAGTGTTCACATTTGAAACCAACTCGCTGAGACAGAGACTTAATGACGACCTTGAACTGAGTGTGTTCTCGCAGTTACACAGCTGCTAATCCCACCCCCAACCACCCCACCCACCCAACCATCTGTGGGTCCTCAGCAAGTACGACCCACAACACAGAAGTGAATACTACGGATTGCTTCGCCTGATTGCTACACCCCTGATAGCAAGCAGGTGTCCCTCATCAATGACTCTGATCTGGACAATCTGGCCCTACATCTGTTCTAGTCCTGCAGCGACAACCGAGTGCTCTCGAGCAGAGAGATCATGTGCTATCCCGTACTTTACGTCTTTGGACCTGACACATATGTCACGCTGGACTATATGGACCCTGAAAGTGAAACTCTACCTCTCCTTGGCGGACATCAACTTGAAATGGACAACAAGTCACTAGCCATCATTGTTGGACATTTTCTTAAAGTAATCAATGATTAACTCTTCAGTTTACCTCATTAATTTTTTTTCCGGCCTGTGTCATGTTTGTGATTTAAGCATACTTCATTATATCTCCTGTTTATCAAGGAGGAATTAAATACACTCACTCACTCACCCTTGATTTAGAAAAATGGTATCACCCATGTACCCACGAGCTTTGACAAGGGAGCAAGAGATCCCTTATTTCGTCAATATTTATTTTATGAAAATATTTAAAGGTTTACAAAAATATTCATCTTTGCGATATGCTAAGAATAATATTTTATTTTATCAGAAACATGGTATACATATTTCAAAGGTTTATTATCACGTGATGGCTGTGACCAGGAGGGGGATGCTTATTTTGGAAACTATATTCCAGAACATAGTCATGAACATTATATTGATTGTGTCAGAGGGATGCTTATATTGGAAACTATATTCCTGAACATAGTGATGAACATTATACTGATGGTGTCAGTGGGATGCTTATATTCGAAACTATATTCTTGGACAAAGCCATGAACATTGTACTGATGGTGTCAGTGGGATGCTTATATTGAAAACTATATTCCTGAACATAGTTATGAACAATATACTGATTGTGTAAATGATGATAGAACATTTGCAGAAATTATATCAGCTGATACTAAACTAAGTGACCAGAAGACGACGGTATTCCAACAGAATTTTAAAAGAAAATTAAGGATATGATTGCACCCTTCCTTGCTTTATTGTTTTCACAATATTGTGTAACGGTAATTTCCCAGCTATTTACCTAGACAAGGGAAGTGATAATGAACCTGGTACCAGACGGTTTATGGACAAGAAGTCGACCTTTTGAAATTTCGCTATGGACACGAAGTCGACACGCAGTAAACTTTGATGTTGAAGGCGTTGCTAGAGTCACGCTAATCCGCTAGTAGGTGTAATTTTAAGATTTTCCATAACCGAATAATCGCGTAACGCGTGAACATATTTCACTCAAAATGTCATCAATGTTATCATACATATGAGAGTGAATTCACAATGATGAACATATTTAAGGAAGGAACACGCGGTAGATTGCATTCAATTTCGATATGGCAAATACACAGTTACATCCTCGTGGTTGAAGATACCTGTGTGTTGGTGGATTTATGAGTGAAGCGAAATTGGATATCCTGGAAGTACACAGAAAAGAAGTGTAATTTCACTGCGCCAACTGTCAATGACATTGTGACGATGGTGAAAGGTGACCATGCTCATCCCCGTGTCCAAGTAGACATAAAGGTAAGCATCTTGTAAATGCCTGATATCAATCTGTTACTGAGGAAAATATAAAAGTAAAATAGATATATCAAATCCAAATAATGTACGTATCCATGTTTTGCATATCGTTTAATAGGTTTTGTTAACAATTCTAACAATGTATATATAGCAGTAGAGTGGTGTAACGTGGTCTGTGTAAAAGAATGTGTAAAAAGAAATAATAAATCTACTTTTACTATCTTCAGATGAACCAGTTTGCAAATGGTGCATCTCACCTACTTCATGTTGGATGATTTTGTATACGAAATAAAACGGACGAATTATAGTACTTTTCTCCTGTTGTCTGTGTTCTCAACAGCATAATCTAGATTATCGCCTTGTGAAAACTCTGGATTACTTCTTTGTCTTTCTAATCCCCTGTTAATTGGTATAAGGTCAAATGGACAGTACGTCGACCTTTTACTTATCTGAACCGTGACATTTCACCCAAGGGTCGAGGTCCCAGCAGACACCGTACCAGACTGACGCACCCAGATAGCACGCAGTACATTGGCCTCTCTTCATGAATGTCCACGTTCAGGGCTAGAGCTACACACGTTGTACGCACAATGGAGTATTTATCAAAGACGGCGTGTTGTGTTTAGGTTTGTGGGTGAATTCTGCGTGTTGACACACATACAGGTGAGTTGGACAGTCAGGTATCTGGTCAGATTCACACGTCAGGACAGATAGGCCAGTCACCCCCAGACAGGTATATCTGATTGTGTTTGTAATATGAACAATCGTTTGATTCGGATAGATATAAATCATGCATATTCCGAAATAGCTCAGATACATAGCGTTCACTAACATGGGCGCGACAGAAAATCCTTGTCGCACTTTCTCGTTAAGATTATTGCGCACCAAAACATTATATGAATGACTTCTTTGTACTTTTATACCAACACGTGCGCCCTATTTACGTTATCAAAATATCCAAAATAAATATTTGCAAGCCATCAAACATTCAGTCGATCGCTCACATGTGAGCGGCGCCATTTTGAATCACGTGACTTGTGACGCGAAGGGGATATCCTCCCTAAAATAGAAACACACGTGTTCCATACCTCACCGCTTGTTTACAACACATTTTCATACATATTTAGCGAATTAAAACGATTGCATGGAGACTTTCGTTTCCAATCTAGACTGACTGACTGACCACCCCGCTCTTTCAACAGCTTTTTTCAAAGGAATTGCAGGCGAGTTTGCAATGCTTCATATAATATTGATTATTGCTGTCACCTTGACAGTTCCATGTTTCTGTACTACTCCTGAATATTTGCCTACAAAATACAGTCTACTAATAAGAACGATTGAATTCAGCAATTGAATAATTAATGAGTTAACGAATTAATTATCTATATATTTCATTTATATCAAAATATTTTAATATTCCTCAGTTCACATTTCTCCTGCCTTAAATATTATGTGTAATATTTTCCATGTTGTATTAGGTTTCAAGCCCCAGCTTCAAACCTTGCTAAAACATCTTTTAATTTTCATATTAGCAACCAGGTAGCAAAACAGTGTTTGTTATTTTTTATCATGAATTATAAACAAATACTAAAATAAGGGGAGACATCTGGAACTCAATTGTTAAAAGAGGGAAGATCATTCAAATTACAGCACAAAGCCAAGTCTCAAATTGTAGCCTTGTGCATACCCCATTGGGCAAAAGGCTTTTATGTGTTAGGTCATTTGGAGATATATTCATTTGCAAACATTAAAAGTACCTCGAGCCCTTATCTTTCGACAGCAGCAAAATAGCAGTCATTCCAAATTATTAATGAAGTGTTAGTTCGGAAAGTCTGCTTTTCAAGGTGCTATTAGATATTTATTGAGAACATTTCCACTGATGAGGATATGAAATTATGCATGCAGTTTATTCTTTTGAAGGTATAAATTTAAACTCATGATAAATTAAAGCGATTAATCAATAATTAACATTAGTATGCACTTTATGTACTGGTGTTACCACTGTGATATGAAAGGTTGACAGTTGAGAGAAGAAGGTGAGGTGAGGTGAAATTGGGTTTAACGTCGTGCTTGAGAATATTTCGCTCATATGACGACGTGCATGCGTGTGTATGTGTATGTGCGGCTGTTTGTACTAGCTCAGTGTTAAGCTGGTTTCATAGTGCTAGCTCACTGAGATACCATGCCGCAGTGAAGCATGTATACCCCACTCAGACACATTATACTGACTCCGAGCCAACCAGTCCTTGTTGTACCCATTAATGCCGAGCGCCAGACAGGGACCAACAAGTACCATATTATAACGTCCTTTGGTATGGCGCGGTCGGGGATCGAACCCGCGACCTTCCGCTCTCCGGGCGGACGCTCTAACCACTACACCACGGAGGCGGTCAGTTGAGAGAAGAAACCATTGATGACACTGTCTGCGCCCATTGCAAGGGCAAGTTCATGAGAACAACAAAGTGATTGAAGAGATATAGTTGCAGCTTAGTGTTTGATGACATGAGTTGTTTTTGTTGTGAGACTCGCTATTATAACTTATCAAAAAAACAGTCATCAGAAGATGACAAATCCACCCAGGCTCCACAAATTCGAAAGAACAAATCATCTCATAGTTACTTAAAGTCCAACTTGATTTTTTACTTAGTCCAAATAGTTTCCATGGAAATTATGAAAAATATAAATGCCAAAGATTTTGCAAATAACAAAAGGCACCACTTCAAGATATGTCTCATATATCTGCTAAGTTTTGTTAAAAGATAATGAAAAGTTTCAGATTTGTGCTCCGGAAAAGAAGCCCACCCCTAATTTTTGACACTGAGTCCAAATTGTTTCCATGGAAACCTAGAAAAATAAAACTGCCAATTCTCTGCAAATAAGAAAAAGGCACTACTTTACGCTTTGATTGATATTTATGCCAGTTTGTGTTGAAAAATTATTGACCGTTTTTTTAATTATGCTCCGGAATCGAAATGGTGACGGACAGACGCACGGTAAAAAAAATCAGAGAGAAAACACCATTTCATGTATACTCGTGGGAAATCCCCTAAGCCTGAAAAGGTTAAGTTAGGGATAACAGCAAAAAGGTATGGTATTTGTATTTTAGCTAGTTCCGAAACCGAATGACGGTCTATGACAATATATATTAATCTGTATTTTTATTGTGTTTTGGATTCAACAGGACTAAGACATGGCATCCCTAGAGAATAAAGTTATCATAATCACAGGTGAGATATGTTCAATAAAGTGTCGTGCTCACTGAGAATGTATTCATGTAACGCGGTCCTGTGCGTCAGAATTCATCAATGGTATCTTTCTATTTCCCTTCGTATTATATAATGCATCTATTACTTTATGCGTGATATTGATATTTTCTTTTCCTCATCGTATTGTCTATTTAGACAATACTCTCGAACTACGTTTAGATGAAAGTAGGCCAACAGTAGCCTTATGTAAGAGTGACCTAGTTTGAGCAAATACTTTAGAGTTACCTCCCTTGATAAAGACATGCGATGCAGTTCAATAAATCGTCAGCCTGGTTCCCTGGGTCGCAGGCGCAACAGACCATAGGGCGTATGTCGCTTAGATTCACTGAAGCCAACTACCTCCGTAATTCAAGCCAAAATCATAAAACATTCATGATTTTGGCTTGGAATTACGGAGGTAGCTGTTTTCGGTAAGTCGCGGCGTAAAACTTTTGAAATAATGATCCGATTGTGACCATTTATAGCTCATTTTGTAGGGAAATCATCTAGCTTTCGATCTGTAGGCCTCGGTGAGCCTTAAAATATTTTACGTGGTGAAATTTAACTTTGAATCAGGAGGGGGTGGTTTCGTCGTTCCATCCCTTTCCTTTTATATAGTAATAGGGTAGGGTCTATACACCTATATTCCTTTCTACCGCGTTTCTAAGCGAGACACGCCCCTGTGGTTCAAAGCAGAGTTTTATCAAATGAACCCTCTGTGAACTGCTGTAAGGGATAATTGTGATTGGAGATGTGTAAGAGTTCACTACAATATGTATAGCGAGGTAATTACGTCAGTGAATATACATTATTCAGCACGAGTGCCCTTTAAATAAATATGTGAATTATCAACCAAGTCTTATTTAATCGGTATTCGCCAAACCTTTGATGAAGCAAATACCGATTTACCGATGTCTTCCTTTCACTTACATAATGGAACTAACTTAAGTATAAATATTAATGAAGTTTTTCTCTCTTTATAATGACAATGACTATTGTAAATGTTCGTGGTATTTGATTTCTCTTATATAATGACAATGACTCTATGTTAAATATTCGTGGTATTTGATTTCTCTTATATAATGACAATGGCTCTATTGTAAATGTTCGTGGCCATATATTTCTCTTATATAATGACAATGACTCTATTGTAAATGTTCGTGGTCATATATTTCTCTTATATAATGACAATGGCTCTATTGTAAATGTTCGTGGTCATATATTTCTCTTATATAATGACAATGACTCTATTGTAAATGTTCGTGGTCATATATTTCTCTTATATAATGACAATGGCTCAATTGTAAATGTTCGTGGTCATATATTTCTCTTATATAATGACAATGGCTCTATTGTAAATGTTCGTGGTAATATATTTCTCTTATATAATGACAATGACTCTATTGTAAATGTTCGTGGTAATATATTTCTCTTATATAATGACAATGGCTCTATTGTAAATGTTCGTGGTCATATATTTCTTTCATATAATGACAATGACTCTATTGTAAATGTTCGTGGTCATATATTTCTCTTCTATAATGACAATGACTCTATTGTAAATGTTCGTGGTAATATATTTCTTTTATATAATGACAATGACTCTATTGTAAATGTTCGTGGTCATATATTTTCTTATATAATGACAATGGCTGAATTGTAAATGTTCGTGGTCATATATTTCTCTTATATAATGACAATGACTGTATTGTAAATGTTCGTGGTAATATATTTCTCTTATATAAAGACAATTACTATTGTAAGTGTTCGTGGTCATATATTTCTCTTATATAATGACAATGACTCTATTGTAAATGTTCGTGGTCATATATTTCTCTTATATAATGACAATTACTATTGTAAATGTTCGTGGTCATATATTTCTCTTATATAATGACAATGACTCTATTGTAAATGTTCGTGGTCATATATTTCTCTTATATAATGACAATGGCTCAATTGTAAATGTTCGTGGGCATATATTCCTCTTATATAATGACAATGACTGTATTGTAAATGTTCGTGGTAATATATTTCTCTTATATAATGACAATTACTATTGTAAATGTTCGTGGTCATATATTCCTCTTATATAATGACAATGACTCTATTGTAAATGTTCGTGGTCATATATTTCTCTTATATAATGACAATGACTGTATTGTAAATGTTAGGTGGTAATATATTTCTCTTATATAATGACAATTACTATTGTAAATGTTCGTGGTCATATATTTCTCTTATATAATGACAATGACTCTATTGTAAATGTTCGTGGTCATATATTTCTCTTATATAATGACAATTACTATTGTAAATGTTCGTGGTCATATATTTCTCTTATATAATGACAATGACTCTATTGTAAATGTTCGTGGTAATATATCTCTTATATAATGACAATTACTATTGTAAATGTTAAGTGGTCATATATTTCTCTTATATAATGACAATTACTATTGTAAATGTTCGTGGTCATATATTTCTCTTATATAATGACAATGACTCTATTGTAAATGTTCGTGGTCATATATTTCTCTTATATAATGACAATGACTCTATTGTAAATGTTCGTGGTCATATATTTCTCTTATATAATGACAATGGCTGTATTGTAAATGTTCGTGGTCATATATTTCTCTTATATAATGACAATGACTCTATTGTAAATGTTCGTGGTCATATATTTCTCTTATATAATGACAATTACTATTGTAAATGTTCGTGGTCATATATTTCTCTTATATAATGACAATTACTATTGTAAATGTTCGTGGTCATATATTTCTCTTATATAATGACAATGACTCTATTGTAAATGTTCGTGATCATATATTTCTCGTATATAATGACAATGACTCTATTGTAAATGTTCGTGGTCATATATTTCTCTTATATAATGACAATGGCTTAATTGTAAATCTTCGTGGTCATATATTTCTCTTATATAATGACAATGACTCTATTGTAAATGTTCGTGGTCATATATTTCTCTTATATAATGACAATGGCTCAATTGTAAAATGTTTAGGTGGTCATATATTTCTCTTATATAATGACAATGACTCTATTGTAAATGTTCGTGGTCATATATTTCTCTTATATAATGACAATTACTATTGTAAATGTTAGGTGGTCATATATTTCTCGTATATATAATGACAATGGCTCTATTGTAAAATGTTCGTGGTCATATATTTTTCTCTTTATATAATGACAATGACTATTGTAAATGTTCGTGGTTATATATTTCTTTATATAATGACAATGACTCTATTGTAAAATGTTCGTGGTCATATATTTCTCTTATATAATGACAATTACTATTGTAAATGTTCGTGGTCATATATTTCTCGTATATAATGACAATGACTCTATTGTAAATGTTCGTGGTCATATATTTCTCTTATATAATGACAATGACTATTGTAAATGTTCGTGGTCATATATTTCTCGTATATAATGACAATGACTCTATTGTAAATGTTCGTGGTCATATATTTCTCGTATATAATGACAATTACTATTGTAAATGTTCGTGGTCATATATTTCTCGTATATAATGACAATGACTCTATTGTAAATGTTCGTGGTCATATATTTCTCGTATATAATGACAATGACTCTATTGTAAATGTTCGTGGTCATATATTTCTCTTATATAATGACAATTACTATTGTAAATGTTCGTGGTCATATATTTCTCGTATATAATGACAATGACTCTATTGTAAATGTTCGTGGTCATATATTTCTCTTATATAATGACAATGACTCTATTGTAAATGTTCGTGGTCATATATTTCTCTTATATAATGACAATGACTCTATTGTAAATGTTCGTGGTCATATATTTCTCTTATATAATGACAATGACTCTGTTTTAAATGTTCTTGGTGTTTTCTTTCTCCTTCAAAGTGTAGTGAGTTTGGTTTTACGCCGCTTTAGCAATATTCCAGCAACATCACGGCGGGGGACACCAGAAATGAGCTGCACACATTGTACCCATGTGGGGATTCGAACCCGGGTCCTCGGCGTGACGAGCCAACGCTTTAACCACTAGGCTACCCCACCACCCCCCTTCAAAGTGGAACCTCCATTGTAACACTGGAACTATCTCGACTGTGAGCGTTCATTATTTGTCTTCACATGCAACACTCGTATTGGTAGTGATGACGTAAATATTCGTGTTACGATTTTCTTGCATAATAGTGCTGTTCTATGTGTTGTTCTATGTTGGATGCAGGAACCAGCTCTGGTATTGGTGCCCAGACCGCCCTGTATCTGGCCCAGTACAAGCCTAGACTGGTTCTGGTGGCTCGGCGCCAAGAGCTGCTGGAGAAGGTGGCAGCACAATGCACGGAGAAGGGGCTTCCCAGGACAAGGTATGCACGAGTATAGTAGCAAGATAGATAACATTAGGTCTTTAAAGTGGCACTTAGAGTGGTGAGTGAGTGAGTTGGGTTTACGCCGCTTTTAGCAATGTTACAGCGATATCACGGCGGGTGACACCAGAAATGGGCGTCACATATTGTGCCCATGTGGGGAATCGAACCCCGGTCTTCGGCGTGACGAGCGAACGCTTTAACCACTAGGCTACCCCACCGCCCCAGTGGCACTTAGAAGTGATACACATACAAGTAAGAGAGTTTTATGGATGTCCTGATGAAGGAGTAAGATTATACTCCGAAACCTTGTGTTCCTCATAATAAAGAAGTTGATATCCATAAAGCACTCTTCCTTACAAGGGCGATGGGGTAGCCTAGTGGTTAAGGCGTTCGCTCGTCACGTCGAGGACCCGGGTTTAATTCTGGTGTCCCCCGCCGTGATATTGCTGGAATATTTCTAAAAGCGGCGTAAAACTAAAGTCATTCACTCACTACATATAATATTATTCCTTTCATCTCTAATTAATTCTAAAAAAGGTTTGAACTGAGTGGAGATTTTTGGAGAGCTTCTTTTTTGTGTTTAGTATCATTCCATGTCTGGACCCCGATCCATAAAGCGTTCGTAACGTTACGACATGTCGTAACTCTATAGTGTATCATAGGCTTACAAATGACGTAACACTGCAAAGGTTTTGTGGATCGGGACGCTGGTACTCATTGCGACTTGTACATATTCAAGTATAGGCAAGGTCGACCAGTGGTTGATAGTATGAACACGTCCCATGCCGTCAGGCACTGACTTCCAAAGACCCATTTAGGCCGGCCCTAGTCTAATTAAAATCAACAATTTATTACGTTCTGGCATCACACTATCTGGGGATCTCACAACCCCACCATAACATCTGGTCTCTATGCTGAGGTATTCAAATAAAACTGATTTTAATGAGACTGATTCGGCCCTGACGACGAGCATTAGGAACTGCTCGGAATGTCTGCTTGGGTAGATTAGATGGGATGAAATGCTGTGAGTGAGTATGGTTTTACGCAGCTTTTAGCAATATCCCAGCAATATCACGGCGGAGGACACCACAAATGGTCTTCACACATTGTACCCATGTGGAGAATCGAACCCGGGCCTTCGGCGTGACGAGCGAACGCTTCGCCACGAGGCTACCCCACCGCCCCGCCCACTGAGATACCACGTCGCTCTTAAACATGGGTGTCCCACACAACACTGACTCCGAGCCGTTAGGACCGAGGGAAATCAACACAATGTCGAAAAGTATTTCTTAACACAATACAGATTACGTCATGACAGTTATAGTTTTTGTGTTGTAGATTCTAGTCCTGCCTGCTGACCTTTCCAAGATGGAGGATTTGGATAAGATTGTCTCCGAGACGATTAAAAAGTTCGGCCAGATCGACGTTCTGGTAAGCGGGATATTCCATCATAGGACCCTCGCAGTTAGGATGATAGAACTGGGTTGTATGTAGTTAATATACACATCTCACATCTCAGTTTGTGTCAGTTCGAACCCAGACATTGTGGCATGCTTAACCTTAAAGTTTCCAATCATGTTCTGAGTGAGTGAGTGAGTTTAGTTTTACGCCACACTCAGCATTATTCCAGCTATATGGCGGCGGTCTGTAAATAACCGAGTCTGGACCAGACAATCCAGTGATCAACAGCATGAGCATCGATCTACGCAATTGGGAACCGATGACATGTGTCAACCAAGTCAGCGAGCCTGACCACCCGATCCCGTTAGTCGCCTCTTACGACAAGCACAATCACCTTTTGTGGCTAGCATGGGTTGCTGAAGACCTATTCTACCCCGGATCTTCACGGTCCAGGTGATGTTCATAATTGTTTGTATATCCTATTCCGTTAATTATTTATATGTCGATGATTAAACGTCTGTAGTTATCTGAACATATCTAATCGATAACATTATCGCAGGAATGATGCTATTCGGATATTTGGTAGAAACGTGAAATGTTGCCTTAACATGGTAATATCGAATAGTCGAATTAATTTAAGAAAGTTCTTATTACATATAAATTGTTTTAAAATTAAAGATAGTGTCAGCGTAATGTATCCTTACGAGTGAAACCTTGAAATTCTGGGTTAGAACTGGTCTTCAGCAACCCATGCTTGTCGTAAGAGGCGACTAACGGGATCGGGTGGTCAGGCTCGCTGTCTTGATTGACGCGTTTCATCGTATTCCATTTGCGTAGATCGATGCTATTGCTGTTGATCACTGGATTGTCTGGTACAGACTCGATTATTTACAAACGCCGTGATATGGCTGGAAGATTGCTGAGTGCGGCGTTAAACAACAAACGAAGAGACCAACTTAAGAATGATATTGGATATGACGCATCATTCGTCACCACTCGCCCCTTTCCGTAACCTCCAAGACGCTATTCGGCTTGTCCCGGAATAACACGAGTTGGTCACGAATGATGACGCATATCAATCGTAAATGTACTTGATAGCAAATGATACTGTGGGTCAAGCATTGGCGACCAGGCTTGACAACCAAATGCGACATGCCTGAATCCACCTTAAGCAATGACAGGATACGAGCGTACATATTCATTGTTTCACCAAGGAGCCCTGTCCAGTCCTGAGCCTTGTACAATATTTAGCTTGACCGCCCACTGCTGTCCAGGTCAACAACGCAGCTGCAATGGCCGGTATGACAGGAGTGGGCAAGTACACACCCGAGGCGTACCAGAAGATAATGGATGTCAACCTGAAGGCTCCCATGTTCCTCTCACAGGCAGCTGTGCCGCATCTGAAAAAGACCAAAGGTACAGGTGTAATGGATCTTAGAGGAGGGGCGGTGGGGTAGCCTAGTGGTTGAAGAGTTCGCTCGTTACGCCGAAGATCCGGGTACGATTCCCCGCATGGTTGCAATGTATGAAGCCCATTTCTGGAATCCCCCGCCGTGATATTGCTGGAATATTGCTAAAAGTGGCGTAAGCCTAAACTCACTCACCAATGGATCAGAGGAACGGCTCTTTAATATCTACTGGGTGGGTGAATGTGTTTGTTAGTGACAGGCACCGTCCAGTGGCAGGTGGGCCATTTCACTTTTAGAGACAGGCACCTACCAGAGACTATAACTCACATTTTCAAACTCCATGACTCGCTCCTGGGAAAAGAAGATTTACTTTTGAGAAAGAATGACATGGCCATAAAAAGCTATTTAGAATCATTAGAGAATGGATCTTTAATGACTTCTTTTTGGGTGTCATTGTCACTGTACAGACTTTATTTAAATGAAACGTCTTAATTTGAACGTGATGCAACGATTCCGTTTTTGGTGCCAAATGAGTGTGACCTAAGTGCCTATACCCTTGTTTAATTATGGTATAAAATTTGAGGTAAAATATATTTTTGTCAATCACAGATCGGGAACAGACAATCCCCTCCCGGTCCCGTATATCAAATGGTTGTTCCTAAGATCATCATATATCGTTGCGGTTATCGGTTATCGTACTTATCAACAGTCAATTCCACAATCTTTCTTTTTTTGTACAGTATTCCATATGACAAATATTTAAATTTATCTACAATCCCAGGGGTAAGTTCAAACCGTCTAAATTGTGTTTCAGGGTCTATTATCAACATTTCCAGCACAGGGGCAACTGAAGCAGTAAGTCTACAACCTATGTGAGCCTGATATATACTGAACAGCAAAAGAAACGCAACTCTGGCTTTTTAGTCAAGTTTTTCATGCAAACCTTTATGTTGATTTTCGTTCACTCCTGTTAGATGGATATAATTATGTGCTGTGGTACGCCACTCATCCCAAGTCAAAACATTGATTACACAACAGTCTCGTTTCCTGTTGACTGGGTTCCGTCCTATTGCGCAACTTAGTTCAATAACCTGTCCAGAATTTTGAGACCAATTCATTTAACTGAATACATAAATATTAATCAGTATTATTTGATACATCTAAGTACTTGTATATTGGAACACTACGCTTCTTCTAATCCTTGCAAACACGTCGTACAGCGTGCTCTGTCGTACAACGAGCTCCAACAAACGGAAACCTGGAAATCGTGAAATCTCAAAACGAGGCTCTGCCGCTAGAAATGTTTGGCGGCCTGGTACAGAACTGATATTATATCAATCACATTGTGCGTTTCTGAACTACTCTGAATAAAAGCAAACAACACATAACAGGTGTAACCAGTGAGCCAGATGCATTGTGAATCATTTTCTGACCTCATCACGCAGGGGCAGTCAGTGACGTCTTAGTTAAGGTTATGCTGCCTACACCTCGCCATAAAATATAGAAATACGATGTTATAAAGTTTACAATTAAAATTCATTTGTAAATACCATTTTCTTTTGAAACAAGAAATTGTAATTCAGTGTAACCATATTTGTTTGTGATGTCTCTTCACTTTCACACGAGAAAATTCGGATCGTCTGAAAAGTAGGTCATTGTCTGAATAGGATAATGAGACTCATGTTTCGATTTGATAAAAGTATCTTGCCTTTATTACTGTCGTGAATGTTTTGGCAATGACAAATGCTCATTGTGTTGAATACCATAACTGCGAGATTACAATCATAATCAGAAGGAAAGTATTATTTCAAAATACAACGAAACGTTATTGAATTGTTATAAATCTGCGTTATGCGTAGTTCACATTTGGCCTGCGATAGGTCTTCGGCGCCCGTTAACTGCCCGTACATGGAGCTCCATTTCCGTGCACCCGTGAAGATCCAGGTTAGAATTGATCTGCAGTAACCCATGCCTGTCGTACAAGGCGACTAACGGGATCGGGTGGTCAGGTTTTGCTGGCTTTGTTGACCGTTATTGACGACCGCCGCCATATAGCTGGACTATTGCTGAGTGCGGCGTAAAATTAAACTCACTCATTCACTCACTCACTCATCATTTCTGTGCGGGGGGCATGCGGCAGCTGAACAATCATCGCACGGTTCTGCGGGCGCCGTAGCCTCTACGATTTTGTTTGGGGGCGGTGGGGTAGCCTAGTGGTTAAAGCGTTCGCTCGTCACGCCGAAAGCCCGGATTCGATTTCCCACATGCGTAGCGTAGGGGATCCTCGGGAAAAAAGAGAAATTGAAAGAAGTAGTGGTAAAATCCTTCCTAAATTTCCAAAAATGTCCAAGCCTTGGAAACATCATCTTTCGAATTGTGGAAATTTTTGGAAATATGATATTTCCAAATTGGAAATTTTTGGAAATCACCATTATTATTTTTTTTGTAGAATGTGTGAAGCCGCTTTCTGGTGTTCCCCGGTGTTATTTCTGGAATATTGCCAAAACTGACTCACTCACTCTACGATTTTGTCAAACAGCGCAGTTTGACAAATTTGAAATATGTCGTAAGCCCGTAGCCCGTAGGTGGCATCGCACGGTCACCGCACGTTAAACGCACGGTTTTTAAGTTAAAAATAACCGTACGGCGATCTTGGGACATCCGCATGGCCATCGCACGGCTACGACACGATCAGCGTGCGGCCTTCGTGCGGTGCCTGTGAAATCGCACAGACATAGTGCGGTCATCCCACGGCAGCCGCATGATGGCCTTGCGATGGACTATTTTTACCGTGGGTAATCTAGCAATCCCTATAAAAAAGTACTGTCGGAAATGCTAGAAAAATGCTTTTTTGCCCATATATCTTTATAAAGGTGATAAATGTACTATGTTGTCAATATATCAACTCGCCTATAGTGTACCTAATTTTTATTTCAATCGATTTTAGTTCAACAACAGAAATCTGAAATAGTCTTTAAATTTATGCTAATAATACAGGTGGTGTAAACATATGAATTAACGTTTTTCTTAAACAAATAAATGTTGAATGTTTGTGTTACTTTACTTAATTATCGTTTCTTTATTGGAGAAATATTAATATAAATGTTAAGTCTTGATAAATAAGTTTCCCGTCATGCATGCACATCTTTATCACAGCGTCCACTACGGCCAACTATTTGCAGTCGATTGTTGCAAAGGTTTATAAGTTTTTTTGTGCTTGAAAAAGACAGGTAAACCTTTCATTAGTTTAGAAAGGGTTTATTACAGAACTTGTAGAGCTGTTGGTGTGTCTTACCAACAAGTTTACAATATTGTAAACAAATCAGACAAGACAGGGACCGTCTCAAAAGCAAAACCGGAACGTACAACCACCATTGACAACTTTGACAAGGGAGTACTTAGACGGGCGGTCTACAAACTTTAGAAGAATAATAATATATCTATTCAAAAGAAGCTACACCAGTGACTTCGTTAAGTCTTTGGCCAATGTTCACAACTAGATTAAACTGACCGAATTACATCCATATTTTTGCAATGAAATAAACTGTTGACAGGCAAAACATTTATTAAAACGTTGCACATTTCTACAATCAATCGATAATATAACACAAGTGATAGGATTATTTCCAATGTACAGTAATTCGTATGTTTATTTCAAAACAAACACACATACACAAATGATCCCTGACATAACCAATACGTATACTATACATACACATATCAACATTTTGAAGAAAACATCTATTGAGATGACCCCTCGCCCGAGCGTGTGCTCAGGTGTCAATTTCACCTGTCGATACCGTGCATGCTGATGACGTAACACAAGCAGTTAATGTTTGTATCAAATAACGTCCCACTACCCCTTATTTTTCTAAGTTTTTGGTATTTTCATCAGTAAAAACACATTTTAGGGCATGTCTCAAAATTTATTCCCTCGGTCTACATTAGGTAGATGTTTCTTTAAGTGATATTTGTAATTTAAGTAACTGTAATACCTCTGAATTTAAAATATAAGTCAAAAAACATTTTTCTAGCATTTCCGACAGAACTTTAGCAGTTCTATCATTTGCCTCAAATGATCTGCGTACGATTTCCGTGCAGCCTCCATGCAGGTTTGCCTCGACCTGTCCTCAAAGAAATCACACGATGCCCGTAGACAATGTGAAAACAAACGTCGTAGCCCGCGGTCACCCACGATGCCTAAAAAATCGTAGACTACGTTATCGTACGGCGCCCGTGGCAAATGTGATTCAGGGCCTAGATTTTCGAAGCTCACTTAGCGCTAGGGCCGGTGGGGTAGCCTTGTGGTTAAAGCATTGGCTCGTCACGCCGAAGACCCGGGTTCGATTCCCCACATGGGCACAATGTGTGAAGCCCATTTCTGGTGACCCCCGGCGTAAAACTAAACTCAGTCAGTCAGTCAGTCTCTTAGCGCTAAGATAATCGTAACTTAATGTTAATGCATGGCATTTACGACTATCTTAGCACCAAGAGAGCTTCGAAAATCTAGGCCTGGGTCTTAAGGGTGTTGTCTAAAGTGCATGTGTTTGTCTCCAGACGCCATTCCTCACGATACACTGCGTCAGCAAGGCGGGACTGGACCAGTTCACAAAGTGCCTAGCTCTCGGTGAGTCACCCCTCCCTCACTGAACCAAAAATATGGCCGGTAAAGCCCTACTGTATTCTACCTATACAATTTGCAATGTCACTTTCCTGGCTGTAAACACCCAAAGTCTTAAACGAAAGAAGCTTGAAGTAAGAAATTTCACTTTTTAACATATACTGAACAGCAAAAGAAACGCATAAAAGTAAGCGTTCATGTTCATGTCTTTATTTAAAAACTTTATTTAAAAACTTGACCAAAATAAAAGAGTTGCGTTTCTTATACTGTTCAGTACATTTTCGTTAAATGTGTTTTAGAATTGGCTCCATTTGACGTCAGAGTCAACTCAATCAGGTGAGTACTTATAACGCTCGAAGTATCCTCGCAGCGTTCATAACGGGGGTAATCTGGAATATGAAACGTCAAAGCCAGAGATTAACCCACCTCAAGTCTCCACCGAAATTTCAATGATCATAATCATAGAGATATGCTGATTCGAACCCGCCATCATCGGATTCTGGACACGGTTAAGTCAAACGATATTTTAGATGACGCTCAACGGATATTTTTGAATAATTTACTTTCCAGACCCGGGCTGATCTTGACAGACACGATGACCAGCATTCCGGACATGGCAGAAAAAGTAAGAGTTGTTTTTTTAACTCAGGCATCGAACACAAAGCAAAATTTTGTTTGTTGTTCAATGCCTCACTCAGCAAATTTCCGTCTGTATGGCGGCTGTAGATACTGGATACTAGTAAACTGGTCTCGACCAGACAATACAATGATTGACATGATGAACATCAGTCTGCACTATTGGGATGCATCGACCGCCTCCGTGGTGTAGTGGTTAGAGCGTCCGCCCGGAGAGCGGAACGTCGCGGGTTCGATCCCCGACCGCGCCATACCAAAAGACGTTAAAATATGGTACTTGTTGGTCCCTGTCTGCCACTCAGCATTAATGGGTACAACAAGGACTGGTCGGCTCGGAGTCAGTATAATGTGTCTGAGTGGGGTATTCATGCTTCACTGCGGCATGGTATCTCAGTAGGCTAGCACTATAAAACCAGCTTCAGTTCGGGCTAGTACAAGCAGCCGCACATACACATACACACGCATGCACGTCGTCATATGAGCGAAATATTCTCAAGCACGACGTTAAACCCAATTTCACCTCACCTCACCATTGGGATGCATCAACAAGTCAGTGAGCCTGACCACTGCACCCGATCCCGTTTGTGGCCTCTCACGACAAGCATGGTTTTCTGAAGGCCAATTGTAATCTTCACGGATTCTTAACTGTAAATGAGTTCACAAGTTGACAAAATGATATCTTGAAAAAGAATAGTTTTATTTGGAGATGCTCTGAAAAAACCCGCCCTATGTGGTGGCGATATATCCCATTCAGTTCCGGGTCAGTTTTATGTTACCTCTGGCTTATTTCATGATAGATTTGTTTGACTTTTTCACATGTCTAATGAGGTACTATCGAAATGCAACGCATTCTGTTGACTCTTTGGAAGTTTTCTTAAATGAATGTATTGTAGAGTTTACTTTATCACTCATAGTTTGACATTTTTAAAACGAATTCTGTAAGTTGGAAAAATAAGGAACAGTTATTTCGGCCAACATGCTGCCAGACATTTAAATAGGCTACACACGTTCCCACAAATACGTTCCGGGGAGGCGGGGTAGCCCTGTGGTTAAAGCGTTCTGTCGTCACGCCGAAGCCCCGGGTTCGATTCCCCACATGAGAAGCCCATGTCCCCCGCCGTGATATTACAGGAATATTGCTAAAAGCGGCATAAAACCCAACTCACTCACTCACAAATACGCTTCCATAAATTAATGTTTTGATATTACACGTCTTTCAGATGAAGGAAATGGGAAAGTCTAGTCAGCCACTCCGAGGTATCGGGGAGGGTGTGGATATTGCCAAAATCGTCAAGTTCCTGGCCAGTGACGACGCTGGCTTCATGACCGGAGAAAGCTTGTACGTCGACGGCGGACGCCATCTTATTGGCGCGTCGGCATCCGTGAAGATGGATTAGAACCATCACGACTACCCATGACTTGACACTGTCTAACTCAGGGCGATCACATTTTCTCTCATTATTTGATTTCAAGCTATCCAGCATCTTAGGCCTTGGCCCTTCCATGCAATGGCTCAAGAATATTGTCGTCCAGTAGCAGCAACAGCAACATCAGCAACACTATATAATAAAAATAATATTATTAATAATAATAATAGTAGTAATAATAAGCAGAAGATAAGGAAAGAGAGAAAATTGGACTCGTTTTAAATTGTTTGAGACAGGACGGTAAAATAGATATGGATATATATTTTCATTTGGCTTTTTGGGTGTTTTTTAATGTCACGTTTACGTAAAAAATCATACGCGCTTGTGAACATATTTTACCCCGAAGTCTGCTTTCTCTCTGTGAGATCACCCCATTGTATTCGGAAAACCACAAATGATCATACATTCTGTCATGTTTTACAGCTGTCGAGGTAAGGGCCCGTAAGTCTCACGAGGCGCTACTTCCGGTAGTGGATTTCCGGTGACATGCGTGTATTGAAGAACCGGTTCTGGTTCCAAATTGCGCGACCGCAAAATGTGACTTCACTAGACTGGACCAAGTGTACTGCCACACTTGTCTGCACAGCTGTTGACAGATATACACGTGCTCTTCATGCAACACAGTCCAAATGTTTTTGCAGCCTGTTGCATGTCATACTTTTCTGAGTCAGACGGCGTGTGTCGAGTATGTTTAGCCAGGACATGACCCTTGTAACAGTGCTATCGCCATTGCCCTAAAACGTTGTTTGTCACCGGAAGTACTAAAGTCTCGCAAAGTGCCGTGACCTACTTTCGGGCCCTACTCCATTGTTGATACTTGCGGATCATTGTATGCATGTTTTGTCGTGTATACTTAGCTATGTGGTTTGTATTTATGAATTTTCTCACTCTTTTAGTAATATAATTATTATTAACATACTTTTTGTTTGTTGCTTCGGTGTTGAACGCCTGAATGGTAATGTATTTGTTATTTAGCGTTCAGCAAGTTTCGAGCTATGGCGGCGGTCAGTGAATCATGGAGACAAAACCATATCATGAGAATCGATCTGAGAAACAGGGATACGATGACAGGCATCCATAATAATAATAACATACAAAATTTGTATGGAGCCCTATATGACTTAGGAACTAAAACACTCACAGGCGAGTCTAACCACACGACCCCGTTAGTCGTGCCTTAAGAAAAGCTTGGGTTGCTGGTGACCAATTTCAATCCGGGTCTTCACGGATTAAGGGTGGAAGTTATGCCTTATGCAGGTTAAGAAAGGCATGATTTCCACCCTTACCCGAAGAGCCCAAGAACATCTGCTCGACAACAGAAGCCCTAGAAACCGAACTAAACCACCTCCGCCATGTCTTCATCCATTATAACCAGTACCCCCAGAAGTTACAGAAGTTAGTTAACAACGTCATTAGATCCACCCTCAACCCAAGAGATAAATCACCCCGTCAGCAATCAGCACCCTTCATAATAAGTATCCCGTATGTCCCAGCAGTCATCCACCAGATAAGACGACCCCTTCAGCAGCAAGCAGGTATAGATGTTCTGTTCCAGAAAGGCAAGTCCATTCAAAACCTCCCCCAAGCCACAGGCAAACCCCCATCAACAACTTAAGAAGACCCCACAGTAGTCTACCAGATCCATTGCCAATGTGGAGACTCTTATATATAGTTTGGCATGAAATGCATGTGGACCCGGTTTTTTGTAAATATCTCTTCATCCAATGATCCAATCGATCTCAAACTGTGCAAGTGGATGTTTTGTCAGACAACCTAATCACATTGTAAATCACCGATTTTATGCATTTGTATTAAAGAATCTGTCTATGTAACTGCCAACAAAATAAACAGCAGAACGCAGACGGCTTGCAGAGGGAGGGAGCCAATGACCTGTAACAGCGGCAGTGTTGGGTCATAAAGGTAAATGCACGTGCAGTTCATGATAGTTACCTGTGCGCTGCACAGTGATAGACCGTTTGGACCATTCACATTGACTACTTCTAGCTGTCATCATGAAAGCTTATTCAGATGATGCTAAACGTTTAATTAGAAATGTGTTGAATTTTTTTGAAAAAGAGAGCAAACGTAGCAAACCGATTTATAAGGTGTCGGAGTACATGAAACGTACAACTTTTGCTCTTGGCATGAACAAGAAAATCGTGCTAAAAATTGTGAAAAATAAACCAACAACCAAGAAACAAAACGTTGTACAAAAAGGTAGGTATCCAAAGTTAGATTCTTTTGACATCATGGTCATCAGAGATGTCATTCGCCGGCTATTTGCTAGAAATGAACACCTGTCCACAAGAAAGTTAAAACACATCCTTGCAGAGGATCACGACATTAATGTTTCTAGGTTTATGCTAAGCAAACTACTGCTCAAATTTAGATACAAGTACAAGAAGGTAGCAAACCAGAAACTTGTAATGTGTGAGAGATCTGATATTGTGAAAATAAGGTGTAACTATCTGAGAGAAATTAAGCAGGCAAGAGAGGATGGGTTCGAACCTATATATCTGGATGAGACCTGGGTCAATGCAAACCATACTGCTGCCAGACAGTGGCTACCCACTGATCCCAGTGATAGTAGGAAAATACCAACAGGCAAAGGTGAACGTTTAATCGTTCTTCATGCTGTTCCCACCGTGGATTCCTACCTGGGTGTGATCTGGTATTTCGGTCAAAGAGCACAGATGGTAGGGACTATCATACAGAAATGAACTCAACGGTTTTGACACAGTATGTTGAGGAACAATTGTTGCCAGCTCTGCCTTACAAAAGTCTTGTCGTCATGGACAATGCTCCCTATCACAGTGTTCGAGATCCAAACAATAGGTGCCCAACTTCCAATACAAAGAAGTCAGATATGCAGCAATAGCTAACAAATAACAATATACAATTTTCAATTAAGGCCACTAAACCACAGTTGTACTCTTTGATTAAACCTAACAAACCTCCACCCACATATAACATTGACAACATGCTACGCCAACACGACCATAAAGTCTTGAGATTACCACCGTACCACTGTGATCTCAACCCAATCGAACTTATCTGGGGAGACCTTAAAAGTACAGTGGCCCGGAAAAATCAATCATTCAAGTTGAATGATGTCAAGCACATTGTCAACACTGCTATATGTGACATTGAGATTGCACGCTGGCATGCATGTGTTGAACATGTCAAGAAGGTGGAGAAAGAGTACTGGCTCAAAGATGGCTTGAAGGAGCAAACAGTTAATCCAGTTGTCATTCGTCTGGACACTGATGACTCCTCTGTGGAAGAATGGAGTGAACTCGATGAAGTTTAATTCTGTTATTATATTTACAGATAATAATAGTATCCAGCCAGATATGCTCAAAGAAATATAACTTCTTTTAACAATGACAGCACTGACTAATTCCAACGACTTATAGTGTAACATGAAACACTCATTTCACATAAAATTATCATGAAAATATAATTATTAACTATCTATATGCTTCAAGCTATTAGAAATACATTGCTTAATTTGGAATGTGAACGACATCAAAACATAACACTTTTGTCTTTATTCTATCTTTTCTTCAGTGAGTGTGCATGATTGTGTGTGCTTGTGTCCGAGAGAACGGGGCTTTAACAGTTGTTGAGTTCTAACCATAGGTGGTCCGATTAATGATTTAGTGTAAAATATACTTTCTGTGTTCTTTTAAATGCATTTCCACTTTAGGTACTGCATAAACAAAATATGACATTAACATTACAAATTTAAAGATTTTAACCTACAGAATAATCCTCACTAATGGGTTTTGTGGTTAATGTTGAACAACTCGGAGAAACAAACTCCGTATGATGGTTAACAGTTGGCACCCACCTTACCCTATTCACGACCTGTGACACCTCTTCATACCTGTCACGTGCATAGCTGACCTACATTGACGAATATTGACCTTTATGACCCAACACTGCCGCTGTTACAGGTCATTGGCTCCCTCCCTCTGCAAGCCGTCTGCGTTCTGCTGTTTATTTTGTTGACAGTTACATAGACAGATTCTTTAATACAAATGCTTAAAATCGGTGATTTACAATGTGATTAGGTTGTCTGACAAAACATCCACTTGCACAGTTTGAGATCGATTGGATCATTGGATGAAGAGATATTTACAAAAAACCGGGTCCACATGCATTTCATGCCAAACTATAGGTGAAACGTCCCGCCTTCTCTCACTACAAATTAAAGAACATAAAATTTACGTCCAGGAAAAAGACTCTAAACCCGCCGGTGTACCCCACTGTGTCCACTTTTCTTAAAACAACAAAATGCCGTCACCCGTAGAACAATAGGGGGATTAGTTATAGTTTGTTTCAAGGTGAGCCTGCTGACACCGTGACACCGTGACCACAAGTAGGAAGAAGTTGATGAGCATATTTCAGAACAAATTGGTCACAGTCATGTTTATATGTGATGAAACGAACCCCCACTTCATCGTTCATCATCATGGCTAATGCTAAAATTGACGTTCAGTACATTGATAATGCACATGGTGGACCAAACATGATTTATCGCAACTAGAAGTGAAAATGAACACGTAAAAAGCTGAAAAAACCCTGGTGATTCCAGATATGTTGATGACATGTTATTGATGTTACTCATGCTGATGTTTCTTAAGATGCATATCACTTGTATGTTTATAAATTATTATTTCAAACTCATTACACTTACGTCTTGCTGAGTTAATATCTGTTACATACTAGTTTATCAATTAAGTATGTAGTTTATGACTTAAGAGTTAAGTATTCCACTGCCCACAAGCCTGATACAGACTATACCCTAACCCCTCTGTTGTTTTAACACTGCCCATTTCCAAAAGTGGGCACAGCGAGAGTAAACCAATCCGCCATAGCCGACCACATCCAAGCCAGCCCTTTGGAACAACAACAACATCCTGGAAACCAACCGCCTCCGTGGTGTAGTGGTTAGAGCGTCCGCCCGGAGGGTTAGGTCTACTAATGCCTACAGTGAATAATGCCTACAGGGAATAATAGCTACAACGTTTGCAGTGACAGCGATACGCTTACCTGCACACAAGTAGATTGTTCCACTTAGTGTGCACTATTGCCTACAAAGGGATTAGGGGAGGCCAGCAAGGAGAGTAAAGAGTAAGATCAAGAGTATTAAATCGTTAGCTAGCTTATGTTTTGATAATTCCATACGCATTTAGTTCTCACACGAGAAGGAAATTGAAGAGTAAAGTAATTAATAGAGAGATTATTAAAGGGAGAAGGAAATGTATTGCTTTAAAATGCTTGTGATACAAATCTTCATTGCAAATCATGGCAAATCCCAAGAAAGTCGAATACTTCACATCACAGAAAGGAGGACAGCAGGTACTCTTGGAGGGATACCGCTACAGACTCAACAACAGGCGACAGACGTGTGTACACTGGAAGTGTGTTCAAGGTGGCTGCTTTGGCAAGTGTACGACAGTCGGACAGTTTGTTCGGAATCAGACCCCACACAACCACCCACAAGAAGACCAGGTAGCCCTGAAGATTGCCAGTTCCCGCGGGTACAGACTGAGACGACGCCAGTTCAGGTGATCTACGATGAGGAGATTTCCCGACTTGACCGAGGTGAAGCAGCAACAGTCAAGTCGTTCCATTCTATGAAGAGTGGACTCTACAAGCAGAGACGGAAGATGATGCCGCCACTTCCCCAGACGCTCGGCGAGGTGAATCTACCCGACTTCTTCAAGGAGACTACAGATGGACTGCCCTTCCTCTGCATTGATGACGGTGATGATGACAAGATTCTCTGCTTTGCCACAAGTGACCGCCTGACCCTCCTGCAAGAAGTGGACACCCTCTACATGGACGGCACCTTCTACTCCTGTCCTCCTCTCTGGGATCAGCTGTACGTCATCCATGGCCTAGTCGGAGGGAAGATGACCCGGTTGGTCTTCTGTCTACTGCCGAATCGTCAACGCCGCACCTATGAACGCCTGCTACGTCTCCTGAACGACAAGATCCAGCAAACAACGGGATCGCCCCTTCAGCCTGATGTCATCCAGACGGATTTCGAAATCGCTGCCATCAACGCTGTTGAGACCGTCTTCCCCAACTGCGACTTTATTAATGAATGTGGTAGTTGACTGTGTGAAAGATGTATATATGTATATATAATCATGAATCAAATTAAGTTTTAATTACATTTTAATCCAAATAAATGATTATGTTTATTTATGTAAATTTATTTATCTCAAAACAAACTACTATGTTAAAGATATGAATAAAGTTTAAGAAAATAAAGAAAAATATGACAACAATGTGAAAGATATGTATATGAATGTACATATGTATATGAATGACCAAATAAAATGTCTCTCAACATAGAAAGTTACTGTTTTCTATATACTGTAGGCATTAGTGCACTTTGAAATAGGACCATGCCACATTATTGAAAGGTTGAAGGCAGGTGCAATCAGCAGCACTGGTGCGTAAAGTTGTTTATTTAACACTGTAGGCATTATTCACTGTAGGCATTAGTAGACTCCACCGCCCGGAGAGCGGAAGGTCGCGGGTTCGATCCCCATACTTTAAAATATGGTACTTGTTGGTCCCTGCCTGGCGCTCGGCATTTAGGGGTACAACAAGGACTAGTCGGCTCGGAGTCAGTATAATGTGTCTGAGTGGGGTATTCATGCTTCACTGCGGCATGGTATCTCAGTGGGCTAAGCACTATAACAAACAGCTTCAGTCTGGGCTAGTACAAGCAGCCGCGCATGCACAACACACGCACACCCGACTGCACGTCGAAATATCCTCAAGCACGACGTTAAACCTAGTCTCAAGCACGACGTTAAACCCAATTTCACCTCACTTCACCTGGAAACCAACCGAGCAGACTACAAGATTAGGACACTTCTTGAAAGCCATATAAATTCAACGCTTCGCCCCCACCATGAACCGTGATCAAGGTTATGTTATCTCCTCAGCCTATCACCACCTAATTAAAGATCACCAGAAATCAACCCATACTTCGTCCAATGGCTTCCATGCTCCCCCCTTGTGTATTGTAATCACAACCAATCAATGTGTACATCCACCTACTCTCTTCAACTCACCATTACCATCTCAGTGTACATCAACTCATCTATTGTATAAACTCATTCTGCATATTGTTTTAATCACTATCACTCTGTACATCAACCTACTCTGCTCAAATCACTAATAAGTAATCCAATGTATATCATCCATGGCTATTGTATATACACACTATGCAGCTATGTATATATTCCCCATGTTATAACTCTTTGTATCACTTGCTTGATAACGGTGTTAGTATTTCGCCGAAACGTCGCACTCATTGCAATAAAGAAGTTGACTATCCATAGAACTTGGTTTTCCTTCACCTATACAACTTCTAAAATGCCTCTCAAAGAAGATATGGTTGGTTGTTTAGCGCCGCACTCAGAAATATTCCAGCAATATGGCGGTCAGTGATCTAGGTAGCGAGTGAGATCTGTTTACTTTCGCTTTGAACAGTAGTCATTTACATAAAGAATTGTTTGTTTATTATATATAGGTACAAGAAAATCAGTCAGGGCGAAACTGGGATTCGGACCCACGGTTACAGTTTTCTGGCACAGCTAGCTAGTTGCAGGCCCTTACATAAACGGCTCCCCATGCCCTCTCACTAATGTATGACGTACCGCCATCTTGTTTTCACAGCGATAAGTGTGTCATTTAATATGACTTCCATGGAGAATAAAGTTATCGTTATCACAGGTGAGCTTTAGACTTGGAGAGGATCCATTTGGATATAATAACAGCTTAGTAATATTTGACAGTCCCAAACAAAGAAACTCTTGGCATAAAACTTAAAATATTGTTTCTTAATAAAACTACACTGAGTCAGAACGCACCAGTGACGGTAGATAAATTTCGTATTTAATTTTGAAAGATATTTTAGAAAAGGAAACTGATTCGAGTCTAGGTAAATATACAGTATATTTATATAGCATTAGGGAGTATTGGGTAACCCGATAAGGTGATTCTGTCCGATGTCTTCTTCGGGTATGATGCGTTAAAGACACACTATCACGCCACACTTCTCTAAAATGTATCTTGCATTTCTCTCATTAATACCAACTATCAGCGAAGCAACATATAATTTATTCCTAAAAAAACGTATTAAGATTACAATTTGAAATTAAAAAGTTCGAAAGAATTAATGCAACGTTGCATTAAATCGACTCTCGCGCTCTCGGAACTTTATTTCAAGCGAACCCCATAGAGTTATGTCCCTTGGAACGCTCTTTACGAATATCCTAAAACGCAACTTGTGATTGAGGCCACTTCGGCAAACACCAACAACACCGCGTGCGACAGTTTTCGATGTACGGAGCAATCGTTTACATTCCATATATGGCATGTGTTATCTGTTTGGAAGCTGTTCGCCTTGAAGTTTCAATTCACGATTTAAGGCAATTCGTAAGAGATAATACCTATTTTATTGTATAAATAGGAAGCTAAAGTGAGTGCATATGTCCCAATATATGTATTATAGGCCACAATGAACAAAAGCGTGACATTGTACCTTTAACACTACGCCATCATACTTGCAACAAAAGCTTTTACAGATGACGCACACGTGGAAACATTCCTATTTTCCCGCGTATTACTGTGAGTGCCTGTATGGTAGCTGGAATTTGGTTATTTCTTACACACTGTCCAAATACTAAAGTATGGCAACACGTGAATCTCGTCTAATCATATAAACGATGAAAAGCTATCAACAAACTGTCGATGGTTAACAAATATAATGGATACCCATTGGTTCGTTATGATAATGTGTACAGTGAATGAGTGTATTTCGCACCCCTCGGATAAAGAAGATCCCTGTGTATTGTAAATGACAGTGATCAAACAGTGCAGTCTGACATTATAATTATACGATATTTATAAAGCGCACATATCCAGGCAACTAGTGCTTGCTCAAAGCGCTGGTATTTTTTCCCTCGATCATTGGATGTCAATCTCAACGGCACATCGTGTTATCAATCTCAACACTTGCAGCATGCAAATAATTAAAAGTAATCGTGACGAACGCGACGAATGTCATCGTATCCCATCTATCGATGATCATGTTGCTTATCACTGGATTGTCTGGTCCAGACTCGATTATTTACAGACCATCGTCATTTAGCTGCAATAGTGCAGGGTGCGGCGTCAAAACAAACAAACAAACAAACAAACTAAAGCGCAAACGCTGTGTAGAGTTGTCCCCCTTGGATACGCCAGAAACCTGTGTTGTAAGATCGAATCCGGTTTGCAAAAGATTATGATTGTCTACCATACCAGAACTGTACTTAACACATTGTGCCCATATCGGAAATCGAACCCCACCCATCCCACCATCCCACTGCAGTCAGGCTTACTTTCTGAATATTGAAATAGATCATAGAAGAGCTGCCATGCTCAGTGAGGGAATGAGAGAGTTTAGTATTACGCCGCTATTAACAATATTCCAGCAATATCACGGCGGGGGGACACCAGAAATGGGCTTCACGCATTGTACCCATGCCGGGAATCGAACCCGGATCGTCAACGTGACGAGCGAACGCTTTAACCACTAGGCTATCCCACCGCCGTGCCCACAATATCAACGTTTGCTGATACTGAACAGAATAGAATTTTAAAGCGTTTTGAAATGTATGCATTATATTCACATCATCCGTAGTATGTCACTAACTCGCCATTTCATTTTTGTTTTATTAGTTTTTACATTTTTGTTTTATCTTTAGTAAGTAAAAATTAAAAACAAGTTTTCAACGTACACACGTTTTACCTGACACAATTGCGATAAGGATTACTGTGCCAAAATAATGTCAAGGACTGATAACCATTAATAAATACAGACATGCGAGAATATACGAGAACATTTCAGCGGACTGAAAGATTCAAGATGGCGACGGCCTTTTAGTGTCGTCTGTTTGTCTGTTCTGGGCGCTGCGTTCTCTACCTGCCCTCACACAATTCCGGGTCTGAAGAGATGGTCTCGTGCTTCAACTTGGCCAGGGAGTCGGGTAAAATTACTTTTTTAACCTTAGTGACTTTCCGGGTTCGAACTCGTCTCCAGCAACCTAGGCTTCCTGTAAGAGATGACTAACAGGGTCGTGGTCAGGCGAGTTGACCTGGGGCTCGTTCAACAAAACTAATTTAACGCGGAAGTGACGTAACTCTAATACGTTGACATAGGCTTACGCGATAATCCTCTCGCTAAGATCCCTTAGACTGACTGACTGAGTTTGGCTCTACGCCTCTTTTAGCAATATTCCAGCAACATCACGGCGGGGGACACCAGAAATGGGCTTCACACAAGATCCCTTAGAGGAACGAAGCCTATACTGATATAAATTAAGTGAATTATCGAATTGCATAAAACACGCAAAAAGAAGTTTGCACTTTTTAGATTTTTAGAAAAGCGTTCGACCGTGTATGCAAATTAGGACTGTGGAATAAATTAGTTCTATATGAAATGCAAAAAAAGAATGCATTAATGTAATTATAAATATGCATAAAGGTATAAAGTCTTGCATAGTTTATGATAAGGAATTCACTGGTGTAAGACAAGGCGAAGACGTATCTCCCTTTCTTTTCTCAATGTTCTATGATGCAGAGGGATATCTGTACAGCACGATGTGCAGGGTGTGTATTATGGATATGTTCTTAATTTATGTGGGGCGGTGGGGTAGCCTAGTGGTTAAAGCGTTGGCTCGTCACGCCGAAGGCCCGGGTTCGATTCCCCAAATGGGCACAATGTGTTAAGCCCATTTCTGGTGTCCCCCGCCGTGATATTGCTGGAATATTGCTAAAAGCGGCGTAAAAACTAAACTCAGTCAGTCAGTCTTAATATATGTTCTTCTAATATGGCGGACCACAGTCTGGAAGCACCAAAGTTCAGTTCAGATCTATTCTTCATGGAGTGTCTTGAATATATATTTACTGACTTTACTTTATGGTCATAAATCTTGACTATTGCTGAGTCTGACGTTGAACAATAAACAAACAAACGAACAAACAAACAAAAGCTTCTATGATCTTTATTGTACCGTTCCCATTGAGCAGGATTAATAAATGTCCAAATAAACATATCCTGTTCTTCATGCATACGTTACAAAACTGATAACCGAAGCGAGATATTTCTGGCTCACACGGGCCATTTCGATGTTTTTTAATGATTTCAAAATCAAAATTGTTTGTGATCCTTCCCCTGAATCCTAGTTTCTGTCAATCCCTATGTTTGTCAGGTGTCATGATATTCAACAGGAGGAGATGTTCAGTTGTGCTGACGCCCAATGCTGTTGCATTGAAATATAACGGGATGTACGTTTCATGTCAATTTAATGCCTTTACACTCTGTTTCGAGGTCTCCCGTTTGAAGTATATGTATAGCTTAAAAGCGTTGAGACAATTTCTTGGCATTTTCGAAATTTGCGAAACATGGGTATGTAGGACGAATGTAAATTTTTATTTCGATATCGCAAACTCTCCACCCTGAATCAAAATTTCTGCTCAATAAACATAAATGCAAAGGCGGAGTTGTAAGTCACTAGCTCTTGTTACGTAAAGAAGTGCAATTACAGAATGGAAAATAACCCCAAACGGCAGAACAATTAGCAATTAAGTCCAGTTTCTTGTCGATGTTTGACGCTCGGAAATATAGAATACGAATAAATTTATAGCTTGACTTTGTAAAACCGGTGGATCTGTTGATAGTGATCAATTCAAAGTATAATGGGGAGGTGTACTTTGTTTTTAACATAGAGGCATGATAGATAAGATAGTATATATCACAGGAAATCGACCTAACAGGCCAAAATATGTAACTGACAAAAACGTGTCAGTGACTGACCTACTTTAGGGAGTCACAAGCGTGAGAATTAAAAATTATGTGCTGCACGTGCGAAGAGACCAGGCCATAGACGGTTTCTGTATCGTGATGTTGTTTTGTCTTGGTATGTTGTGAGTGAGTGAGTGAGTTTAGTTTTACGCCGCACTCAGCAATATTCCAGCTATATGGCAGCGGTCTGTAAATAATCGAATCTGGACCAGACAATCCAGTGATCAACAGCATGAGCATCGACCCGCGCAATTGGGAACCAATGACATGTGTCAACCAAGCCAGCGGGCCTTACCACCCGATCCCGTTAGTCGCCTCTTACGACAAGCATGGGTTACTGAAGGTTCATTCTAAATATAAGTGAGTTGAGGTATGAAATCACGATCAAGAATATCGACTTGTAGCGACGTGCATGTACATGTTTTTTTAGCTGCGTGTACTAACTCGGGAAAGGCTTTTGGGTAGCCTAGTGGTTTGAGTGTTCGCTCTTCACGCCTAAGACCCGAGTTTTATTCTACACATGGATACACTGTATAACGCCCATTTCTAATGATTCTGGGCGAGTTGTGAGTGAGTGAGTAAGGTTTTACTCCGCTTTGAGCAATGTTGACTTTACAAATTTTACGTGAAGCGTACTTACTTTTTTCCGTCACTATATGAACAAACGTAAATCAATCACTCGCAACAACGAGTCTGTCTTGTTCCATTGAAGATCAGATTGGAATTAAGATTCCCGATCAAAGCACCGAAGCTATAGGCCTTGAAAACAAGATGTATATCGTTTATATCGGTCAGTCTCCATGTTCGTTAAAGTGCTCACACCTTCAACCGTTCCCAGAAACCCGCACTCAACGCCAGGGTGGTCATCACTGAACACGTCCTCCTGGACGAGTCACCACCAGAACTCCACAGCATCATCATCGAGTCACGTGGTCGCCTGGTATGGAGCCCGGATGGAGACTACAACGTCACGACCCAGTTCATCCTCATCAAGGGCCAGATGGACATCGGCAGCGAGGACTGCAAGTTTCCAGCGCGGGCTCACGTCACCCTCACAGGTGAGACGGAAACTTTCGAGTTCTAGAGTGTTTAATTTCCATTCCGGGAATTATATGCTTTCTGTAAATGGTTGCACAAATAATCTTAGTTGCTTTAAGATGTTACATACCGAAGGCAAGAATAACCAGCTGTATTAGGGCGAGACTGGAAAATAACAGTACCACAACTAGGGCTGGCTATCGATCATAGAGATCGATAATCGTTAACTAGATATCGATTGATCATCGATAAATATTGGAGACGTAACTTTTAGCAAAACTTTAAAAGTAATGAATAGATTTAACATCACTGGTGAGTGGTAACATGCTTGTGCATAGATTATTAACAAAACAGTGTCCTGAACATAATTTAGAGGCAGACCATGAATAAAGTCCTAAATTTGTATATTGTATGAAAAAACTAAACTTTTTTCTATCACGAAAGTTAATGTACGATATTATCGATATCACAATTTTCATATCGATAATCATCAGTAATCCTTCCTATCGACGACATTTCCGATTATCGATCATTTCAGCCAGCCCAAAGCACAACACATCTGTCCATGCGACCTGGCCACGGTTACACTCACTCACCCGAGCCCTGACCACCCGATATCGATTTACATTATAAAGCAATGAGGGGAATCGTATTCACTCGCAATCTCAGTGATAAATTTTTTGTGTAATATGACGAATGCAATTCATAGTGGTCAAAGGTGGTTAAAGACGCTTTGTACTCATTATTATAGGATATTTATATAGCACATATCCACGCAACTAGTACATGCTCAAGGCGCTTGAGTGTTCCATTGATCAACGGATGTCTATGTTTTTCTGGCATTCTTTTAACCAACTCAACTCCCTGGGGAGTATTCAACTCATGCAGCCTGTTAGGTGCAGATGGTTGTCACACAGCCTCATCCTCATTTACAGCTGGTGAACTGGGACACATAGTCAGGGTATTTTGTCCAATGATACTGCACGTTACTATACCCGCAACTAGGTGTCTGCACGTGTTCTTGTGTCCACCATCTGGTCACCTACCGTCGGGTAGTGGGTTCTTTTAGGTGCACGGGGTTGTGTACTCCTCACTAGAGGTTGTGACAACACTGAAAGAGCCTGCAAGTAATGTTAGCTCCAAGCTTTTTACACCCGGTCACAAGTGGGGATCGATCTAGACACCTTTCGCTCAGTAGCGCAGCGCCTTAGACTGCTCGCCCACCATGCACCTTGTAATGCAGTTATTCTGTCATAATATGACCATTTCCTTTGTAATATGAAACTTTTTTTATAATATATATATTAAGTATCTATAATTTCATTTACATGTGTCAATATCGAAGTTATGTTTGTACAACCCCACCCGTTTCTAGGCATCCGCGGCTCTTACAAAGTGACCCTGGGCGAACACCTGTTCGGAGAGAAGTTTATCGGGGGTGGCCCCGGGTGGCACACTGGAGATGCACGGGGAGGAGAAACTTCCCTGGACCAAGCTGACCAAGACGCTGCCCAAGCTGGACGCTAGCCATGGCCTCCTGTACGATCATTTGGTAAGATTACAAGAGTGAGGGGCATTCTGAAAGATTTCAAATCTTGCTATCCATGACGTCAAAAGATCATGTCAAGTCAACTACTGACGGCGGGTTAAGGCTAGGGCGCCGTTGTACACAGCGGTCTTAGCGCTAAGGGAGTGAGTAAGTATGGTTTTACGCCGCTATTAGCAATATCCCAGCAATATCACGGCAGGGGACACCAGAAATGGGATTCACATTTGGTACCTATGTGAGGAATCGAACCCAGGTCTTCTGCGGGACGACCGAACGCTTTAACCACTAGGCTATCCCACCGCCCCCTCAGCGCTGAGGTGACCGTAACTCCCATACCCAAACATAGACTTTTGGTAGTCTCGGCACTAAGGTTGTTTCGTACAACGGCACCCTAGTCCCCACTCGCGGTACCTCACTCACGTTTTAATTCTTGACACAAGTTATTTGGAATTTGGAGCACGGGAGCACGCCTTATCTTACCTTCCAGAGTTGCTTCCCTTGTTCGTGCCAGAAACCTATGATTGTGGGTTCGAATCCCTGATTATGTTTGTTTGTTTATCAGCGGGATGGTGGTCCCCTGCCATGATATTGCTGGAATATTGCTGAACGCGGCGTAAAACTAAACTCATGCTTTAATTTAGACACTTCTTAGATATGCATAAATATTTCCCACTTTATGCTGACGCGTCGTTATATTACTGAATCACTACCTGAAGCGGCACAAAACACAACTCATTCACTCTGTACAAATCATAATTGTGAAAGGTATTGTACATACAGGAAATTACAGATGACTCAACAAATCAGTATCTGTTGAAATGAGCATAGCGCATTAAAACATCTTGCTGAATCCCTTTAACATTTGACGACCTCGGTAACAGACCAGCAAGCATAAAGATGAAGGCAGCTGGAAGGATGGCATCAACGCCTACATCTTCGACGGCAACACCGGCAACTTCATACAGTTTGCGTCTTATTATCTCGGGGAGTACGACAAATACCATTACAAGTCCGACCCAGCAGCCCTGGCTGGCCTCATTAATGGTAAGTGAAAATAATAATATTATTATTGATGGAATAGATTAAAGAATTAACACCTGGATTAACATCCAGTCTTTGAAATGAAAACATGTATTTAACAGATTAAGGGTTGTTAGATTATTCAAAATAAAATAGAAGAGAAAGGACCGTAGTGGTTCTCTCAATTTTAGAGAGTTATCTAGACTTAACAAACGTCTGACCCGTGAAGATCCGGGTTAGAATTAATCTTCAATAACCCATGCTTGTCATAAGAGGCAACATATGGGAACGGTGATCAGGCTCGCTTACTTGGTTGACACATGTCATCGTATCCCAATCGCGTAGATCGATGTTCATGCTGTTGATCACTGGATTGTCTGGTCCAGACTCGATTATTTACAGACCGATGTCATATAGCTGGAATATTGCTGAGTGCGGTGTTAAACAACAGACCAACCGACCAACGTCTGTAGACTTGTATGTGCTCTGGTGGATATATTGGTTTGAGGGGGTGTAGGATGGATTACGTCCATGTGTTGTTTTTTTAATGCACTTACATATCCAAGAAAATGGCACCACGTCAGTAACAGAATTCGTTCCAACAGAAGGCTATCATATTTGAATGAACTGCACGAAGATTGAAGCGCTCGGGGAATCGAAGATCCATTCAAAGGAGAATTGCGATTGTCGTAGCGCTACGATCGCTTGGTGGAACGGTTTATCCTACTCCGATGGTATGGCCAAGTCGTTGTTCATAGTATAAATCCTAGGTTTGACAAATCCATACCCGTTTACTGACTCGCTCTGATAAAGCTGGGATGTTGGTGACTGCAGGAGTAAACATTATTCATTCAGCTGAACAGACTCTTACACGGCGGGTCACAAATCAAACCTTTTCCAGACATAGAAAAGACGTTGGGATCAATCTTAGCTCCTGGACTTTAACAAACGCTTATGGTCGCATTAACGCTAAGGTCGCTTTGAGCCAGTGGTCCCATAACCATAGTACTTTTCTTTTTTTTTTTTTTTACTGTGATGGTATTACAAAAAACAGTATTTAATGTGCCAGTATGCAAAGTGTTAGCATTTAATGTGCAGTAATTTTTTTTTATTTTATTTTTTTTTTATAATTTTTTTTATTCCATTTCAAGTCTCACATAAAATACATATGGCAAAGAGGACAACAACGAAATATATATGTATATAGCTTCAGTGATGTTTTGCAAGGTTCTATATGACATAAAAGACAGTTTTGCAAACATATACACACACGCGCACACATACATATATACATATACATACATATGTACATACATACACGCATGTATACATATATATAAATATAACATCATGAGATTACAACAATTACATAGATACATAAGATGTCATTAAAGTTTCTGTGGAGGGAATATGAAATTGGAGGGGTAAGGTTGAATAGTATGGTTGTAGTGAGTAGGGTCTGGAGGTCTCAGCTGATATTATAAGTAGAATTTAATGTTTAGCACATAGTAAGGTATATAAATGTTTCCATTTCCTTATAAAGGGATCTAAGCTATTGTTTTAACCATAACCATAGTACTTATTGTTCTTGATCCTATGCCACAAATCGTCGATTTGCAGCACTTCCGTGAATTTTCCTTCAGTGACCCATGCTTGTTGTAAAAGGCGGCTAAAGGGATCGGGTGGTCAGACTCGCTGACTTGGTTGACACATGTCATCTGATCCCAATTGTGTAGATCGATGCTCATTCTGTCAGCCATTTGTTTGCGTGATCCATAATCGATAATTTATGCAAAATTATACGTGATAAAGCTTGAATGTCGCTGATTAAGGCGATATGCAAAACTCAATTCAAAGCTGTGTGTAGAATACAGTACCTACTGACCTCTCCGCCTCCGTGGTGTAGTGGTAAGAGCGTCCGCCCGGAGAGCGGAAGGTCGCGGGTTCGATCCCCGACCGCGTCATACCAAAAGACGTTAAAATATGATACTTGTTGGTCCCTGCCTGGCGCTCGGCATTAATGGGTACAACAAGTACTGGTTGGCTCGGAGTCAGTATAATGTGTCTGAGTGGGGTATTCATGCTTCACTGCGGTATGGTATCTCAGCGGGCTAGCACCATAAAACCAGCTTCAGTCTGGGCTAGTACAAGCAGCCGCGCATACACATACACACGCATGCACGTCGTCATATGAGCGAAATATTCTCGAGCACGACGTAAAGCCCAATTCCACCTCACCTCATAGTTATTGTATATTTAAGATACTATCAACGGCGAAGGTTAGGAATCGTGGGTTCGAATCTTAGATTCTTCTCGATAATACTCTTTCGTTATCTGGACCATACAAGTGTGTACGTCTTATTATATCGCTTGGTTACCTTAGCTTTCTTCCACATAGAACGATAAAGACTTAAGTAGCACTCAATGCAGCATTAAACCCACACCCTCACTCACTCCAGGTGACCGTATATTCATCACGTCCACGGACTACTTGTGGGAACAACTGGAGACGGCCACTGTGAAGAAATGTACCACGTGTCGTCACGACCAAGTACAGATTGACCGTATGTAGACTGTCCTTTACTTGTTTTCACGTGTCTACACGTGTCTGCTTTTGTCATAGATTCTGTGTTCACAAGTGCTACACCATCCTCATTCTTTTTGGTTAATCCTACTGGATCCATTCCCGCGGTTTTTGCAATCGCAAATTACCCGCCCTTCTTTCCCAGCAACATTGTACGGACCAATCAACGCAAGAGAATGGGTAAGGGAGGTAACTCGTATATCCTCGACATCAAAGCCATCGCCAATTTGAAAAGACATTTCCATCAAAAGATTTTTGGGGCTTCTTTTGCATGTCGATCAGTTTTCGATATTGAATATCTGGCAATATCTTGACTATCTTGAGATTGCTGGAACCACGTGAATGGATCCAAGCATTAGTGCTGATTCTTGAAAAGGTGTGTTTGGATTGTACATCTACTGTGTCGTGCTACATCTATACCAACAATAAAGCTAAATTAACTGATTGTAAGAAGACGGAATTGAAATAGGTTTAATTTCATTCAAGTGAACGTTTAAAACTAAATTCTTATTTACCACCAATCACAGCATTAGTGTAAAAGCATTTCTCGCAAGTAATTGGTTGGGCAGGAGTGCACAGTATGTCGAATGATCGTGAGTTATCGTTCGTGGGTCGTTGATTAAGTTATCGATCACATGTTTGGCTCAGACTGGTCAGTCACATGTACCGTTATCTATCTGCATGGTGTTGACTGCTGCATAAAATAACATTCACTGGCTTACCTTTGAAATAAGTTCTGAGACTCACTTCAGTGGAAGCGGCCTACATGCACTGGGGCGAGATGATAGACAGAGTGGATGAGAGAGCGGAGGTGGGACTTCTCACTCGCAACATCGTCATCGAGGGCCGCATGGAGAACACGTGCCCTCCTAGCAACGCCAACTGTGACACTTACAACTACGACACTTTTGGGGGTCACTTGAAGGTACATGCCAAAGTACCATGTGAAGTTAAATACACAGTTTACATATTTTCTTCTGTTCATAGTTGGAATTTAAGGAGACAGCTCGTTTGACAATACACATAATTTGCGCTTTAAACGTGCCTCTCTGTTTAGTCATGAGAAATCATGAAAGTCTTTTATTTTTATTCCGAAATTAACATAATCGAAGTATTTCTCGGCCTTAAACCTTTTTATGGTTCGAACATTATTTGTCCATAAGTTCAATAATACGTTACGCTAGTTATATTTGTATAAAATTCACGTTTAGAACTGCCAATGATTTGCTGGGTCAGAATTAACTGCAATAACAATCGTGGGACGTCATCATTATGTTTTTATGTCGTTAAACTGCAATGTTTAATTAAACTGATTATTGATAGATGAACGTACTAAATGTTTCGATGCCATATTGGTATAGCTAGGTGAGATTGAACTACACTGTACCGTTATTCCTGCAGTTTGTGAGGGGGTACAAGAACGTCCACATCGAGGGTGTGGAGCTGACGCACATGGGTCAACAGTCAGAGAAAGGTACGAGGAATTTCTGAAGATGTCATTAAACCCATTCATGTTATGTGAGTTTGATTTAAAGTACGTGGATATGTTTGCAACAGTACGTGGATATGTTTGCAACAGTACGTGGATATGTTTGCAACAGTACGTGGATATGTTTGCAACAGTACGTGGCTATGTTTGCAACAGTACGTGGCTATGTTTGCAACAGTACGTGGATATGTTTGCAAATGTCATTAGAATTTCACTGGTGTCACATGTTGTTTAAGGTTTATCAGGTTTTATCCAATCCACTTCCACGCGTGTCACGATCTCTGTTTCAGGATTTTACCCGATCACGTGTGTCGTGACCCCTGTTTCAGGTTTCTACCCAATCCACTTCCACGCGTGTCACGATCTCTGTTTCAGGATTCTATCATATCCATTTCCACACGTGTCACGATCTCTGTTTCAGGATTTTACCCGATCACGTGTGTCGTGACCTTTGTATCAGGTTTCTACCAAATCCACTTCCACGCGTGTCACGATCTCTGTTTCAGGATTTTACCCGATCACGTCTGTCAACACCTGTGTTTCAGGTTTCTACCCAATCCACTTCCACGCGTGTCACGATCTCTGTTTCAGGTTTCTACCCAATCCACTTCCACGCGTGTCTCGATCTCTGTGTCAGGATTTTATCATATCCATTTTCACGCGTGTCACGATCTCTGTTTCAGGTTTCTACCCAATCCACTTCCACGCGTGTCACGATCTCTGTGTCAGGATTCTATCATATCCATTTCCACACGTGTCACGATCTCTGTTTTAGGATTTTACCCGATCACGTGTGTCGTGACCTCTGTTTCAGGTTTCTACCCAATCCACTTCCACGCGTGTCACGATCTCTGTTTCAGGTTTCTACCCAATCCACTTCCACGCGTGTCACGATCTCTGTTTCAGGTTTCTACCCAATCCACTTCCACGCGTGTCACGATCTCTGTTTCAGGTTTCTACCCAATCCACTTCCACGTGTCTCACAATCTCTGTTTCCGGTTTCTACCCAATCCACTTCCATGCGTGTCACGATCTCTGTGTCAGGTTTCTACCCAATCCACTTCCATGCGTGTCACGATCTCTGTTTCAGGTTTCTACCCAATCCACTTCCACGCGTGTCACGATCTCTGTTTCAGGTTTCTACCCAATCCACTTCCACGTGTGTCACAATCTCTGTTTCAGGTTTCTACCCAATCCACTTCTACGCGTGTCACGATCTCTGTTTCAGGTTTCTACCCAATCCACTTCCATGCGTGTCACGATCTCTGTGTCAGGTTTCTACCCAATCCACTTCCACGCGTGTCACGATCTCTGTTTCAGGTTTCTACCCAATCCACTTCCACGCGTGTCACGATCTCTGTTTCAAGTTTCTACCCAATCCACTTCCACGCGTGTCACGATCTCTGTTTCAGGTTTCTATCCAATCCACTTCCACGCGTGCCCCGATCTCTGTGTCAGGTTTCTACCCAATCCACTTCCACGTGTCTCACGATCTCTGTTTCAGGTTTCTACCCAATCCACTTCCACGCCTGTCACGATCTCTGTTTCAGGTTTCTACCCAATCCACTTCCACGTGTGTCACGATCTCTGTTTCAGGTTTCTACACAATCCACTTCCACGTGTGTCACGATCTCTGTGTCAGGTTTCTACCCAATCCACTTCCACGTGTGTCACGATCTCTGTTTCAGGTTTCTACCCAATCCACTTCCACGTGTGTCACGATCTCTGTGTCAGGTTTCTACCCAATCCACTTCCACGTGTGTCACGATCTCTGTTTCAGGTTTTCAATCCACCCAATCTGTGTCACTTCAATCCCACGTGTGTCACGATCAGGTTTCTGTTTCCACGTGTGTACGATTCTAGGTTTTACCCAATCCACTTCCACGTGTGTCACGATCTCTGTTTCAGGTTTCTACCCAATCCACTTCCACACTGTCACGATCTCTGTTTCAGGATTCTATTCAATCAACTTCGACGTGTGTCACGATCTCTGTTTCAGGTTTCTACCCAATCCACTTCCACGTGTGTACGTTCTCTGTGTCAGGTTTCTACCCAATCCACTTCCACGTGTGTCACGATCTCTGTTTCAGGTTTCTACCCAATCCACTTCCACACATGTCACGATCTCTGTTTCAGGATTCTATTCAATCAACTTCGACGTGTGTCATGATCTCTGTTTCAAGTTTCTACCCAATCCACTTGTCACGATCTCTGTTTCAGGATTCTATCCGATCCACTTCCACATGTGTCACGACGTAGATAAAGTTGGCGGCTATTCAGACCCTGCGTGGGTCAGACAGAACTCCATACACCACACTTTCAGCCGCTGTGTTACTGTACATGGATCACATGGCGTAACTGTGAGTTTACCCCAGAATTCGAAAATGGCGAAATTAGTGAAGATTGTGCAATTGCGTATTAATTCCATGCTTACACAACGACCACATCGGGACTAGATAGAAATTAAGCTCTCAAAAATAAGGAAGTCACTGATTTTGATGCGAATATTGTAAATGTTAAATCTTTGTACAAATTCCTACCGTGAAACATCAGTCATTCCTTATATCCATTCATCTTGTCTTTAACCCGGTCAGTCATATATGCATCCTTTCTTTCACCCAGCTCGCCATACATCCATCCCTTGCATCAACCAGTCAGCCATATATCCATCCTTTCATCGACTCATCCATCCATTCATTCACCCATCCAGGCATAGTTTTGTCATCATTTCATTCACCCAGACAACCATATACCCATCTTTCATTTAGCCATCGAACCGGCCATCCATGTAACCATCGTCCATTTATTCACCAACCTATCCATCCATCCATCCATCAGTCTCTATAACCATCATACATCAGTTCACTCACCATCAATCCATCCACCCATCCAGGTCCAGGACAACGTGGCCTACGACCACCTGGGGCACTGCTACTTCCTCGAGGACGGTGGAGAGAAGAGGAACGTCTTCGATGGCAACCTTGGTGCGGCTACCAAACACGGAACAATTCTGCCCTCTGATAAAGAGTATGTTGGTAACTAATATCCGATACAGTTGACATTCCCAGCACTACAACTACGGTATCTGTTGCTGTTATCGACGCGCTACGAAGGTTTCTGTGATCAGCGTCATGTCCTCGGTGATGGCTCTTTGGTTCCACGTCAGAAAGAACCAATTTCAAATTTGCAGCAAATGTTCCAATGCACCATTGACTGAATACCTTAAGACATTGTGTCGGAAAGATGCTCAAAATGACATGCCTATCGACATCAAATACGACATGAATATTTTCAAATTTTATTTATCAACAATACCATTGTTTGTCTCAATGGGAATTTGTTCACTCACACAATGCTGGTCTCGAATGCATTCAACGGCTTCAACAAAATACTAGGTCGCGCTGCATCACGCCTACAGTGACTTATGCTTGCTTTTTGCATCTGACATTTCGGGTCACTTTACTAGCTGTTGAGGACATGAAAAATGTCGTACAAAATATCAGCGGTCCGGGTGAAAACCGACCGAGTCGTCTGATGCGCGGCACCTTTTCATATTTCGATCACACCCCTGCAGGTGGGTTTCTTCAAAAGGGCGAACGTATAATGCCTGCATCTGTTCGTGACTGACGTTCGTCACGCTTCAGTTCGGTTCGATTCCCCACATTGGTACAATGTGTGAAGCCCATTTCTGGTGTCCGCAGCCGTGATATCTGCTGGAATATTGCTAAAAGCGGCGTAAAATCACACTCACTCTCTGTTCGTGACTCCCTCTCACATCAAACGGAAATACTGCGGTTTAACGAAACCAGATTTAAACCATCCCCCTCACTTCCTAAAAGGTAGCCGAGCTTCATTTATATCAGGGAATGTAGCAACATTTGTAAATTTGTAGACAGGCGTGTTCAGTTCAATATAACCACATGCACACAACTCCTCTCATTATGCTAGACAAAGGTAACCATGAAAGATTGAAAATCCTGTTATCTTTTTTTTCTGTCTCAGAAATCCTGCGACATTTTGGATGACGTCACCACTGGTGTATCTGAGAAACAACGTGGCCGCTGGTGGTAACGTGAGTAGCCGGGGAGTTGTGTGTCAATCACCATTGATTCACTCAGATCGTACACAACCCGACCCTCGCGACATTCCGGATTAGACTTGGATTTCAGTAAATCATGTTTGTAGGAAGAGGCAACTGACTCGATTGGGTGGTTAGGCTTGTTGACTTGATTGATTCATACAGCTGGAATATTGCTGTAGATTAAATATATATACTCATGGAAACAAATAAGGGAACACATGAGAGTACCCATGTTCCTTTATTTATTTCCAGAATTTCACTCACAGTGCAATAAATACCTTGTGAAGAAGCCTGGAAAAGAATAAAGGTACTTTCATGTGTTCCCTTATTCGTTTCCATGAGTATCTATATTTAATATACATAAATATTCCAGCTGAGTGGACCGCCTCCGTGGTGTAGTGGTTAGAGCGTCCGCCCGGAGAGCGGAAGGTCGCGGGTTCGATCCCCGGCCGCCTCATACCAAAAGACGTTAAAATATGGTACTTGTTGGTCCCTGCCCGGCGCTCGGCATTAATGGGTACAACAAGGACTGGTCGGCTAGGAGTCAGTATAATGTGTCTGAGTGGGGTATTCATGCTTCACTGCGGCATGGTATCTCAGTGGGCTAGCACTATAAAACCAGCTTAAGTCTGGGATAGTACCAGCAGCCGCATATCCACATACACACGCGTGCACGTCGTCATATGAGCGAAATATTCTCAAGCACGACGTTAAACCCAATTTCACCTCACATTCAGCTGAGTATATACATGTATATAACTATCAGTTTTTCAGTGCCATATTTAAGGTATGTCAAATCAGATATGACACAGAGTAGTGGATAGGTTGTCATGCTGAGAACAATTGACTTGCCTTCGCGTGTGTTTGTGAGGGGTGACTACACGCTCGTTTTCGAAACACCTGATATCGTCACGATTCATAAGCACACGCTCATGATACAGTTGGCCGATCTCATTTCAGGGTATCGGGATCTGGTATGTGTTCCCAGAGGAGCCCCAAGGACCCTCCTATGGTCTTGGGTTCTTGCAGCGGGGTGAGGCACGGCACACGGCGCTACTGGAGTTTAACAACAACGTCGGCCACTCCAACACTCACGTGAGTGATCAATATCTGTTATCCAGTATGCTACACATCCTTTCTAATACGATAAAGCCATGGGTCCCGACCAACAAAACGTTCGTAGCGCTACGACATTCGTAAACCTATGATAAACTACAGAGTTACGACTGGTCGAAATGTTACGAACGCTTTGTGGATCGGGAGCCTGGACTTAAGTTCATACTCAAAGTGACGTCACCATCTCTTCCTTGCTGCTGACTCTCTGGTTCATCTCACCCATGTTGGTTATACCCGTGAAGGTCCGGGTTGTATGAGCCTTCAGTAACCCATGCTTGTCGTAAGAGGCGACTAACGGGATCGGGTGGTCAGGTTCGCTGACTTGGTTGACACATGTCATCGGTTCCCAGTTGCGCAGATCGATGCTCATGCTGTTGATCACCGGGTTGTCTGGTCCAGACTCGATTATTTACAGACCGCCGCCATATAGCTGGAATATTGTTGAGTGCGGCGTAAAACTAAACCCACTCACTCACTCGCCATGTTGGTTATCTCTCTATAAAGTTATTCTAATGGTCTTCAAAACGACAATGTGTGGCGGTGAATCGACACATGGACTTTTTTTACTACTCCGCTTTGTTGGGGATGTGTTCTATCTCTCAACGAGACACAAACATGATTCTCGTAATATTTGATGTGCTTGTTAAATATATCTGTCATATCCGGTTATCCCTGCCAAAAGTTGAGTAACATACATGGATGATGATTGATGATGGAAGGATGGTTGATGTCTTCCGCTGGAATATATTTTGAATACTGATATTGACGGTGTAAGTACCAACTGACTGAAATTGACCATATCCAAAATACGTTATGGTATTTTATCAGAGACTTTCTGGTAAAAAAGAACGGTCACACTTACTTCTGTTCAGGACAAAATCATGTGCTTGAATCGGATTACGGTGCAGTTGTTATGTATTTATTGAGAAATTGTTTTGACAAATATAATATGTTACGATATGTATTCGATGTTCCCTGTATTTTCGTGTTATCAAGGATCCAGTGTTTATGACTTGGTCACATTGCAGTATGGTCTGTTCGTCGACAACATCATCAACCCTGACGACACGACGGGTGGCGACAACATGTACGACCCCCGTCAGCAGCCACTCAACAAGACCTCGGCCCAGAAGGAAGTCCTCTTCTACAGGTTCACTGGTTAAGTAGAGGAAGATATTGTCATAAAATAATTAGATAAAGACCAATGCAAGCTACTTTTTCGCGTCCCTACATACTGCAAAACACCGACTCCTCACACTCCTTCGTCTGGGACATGCAAGTCTCACTTTGAAGCTTGTTGCTCAGATAGTTACCTGAGTGAGTTGTGCTCCCCCATCCGACCCCATCCTCAATAATCTCCATGGTATACGGTCCAATAAATCTCCTCCTGGATCCATTCCTGCGGTTCCTGCAATCGCAAATTACCCGCCCTTGATTTTCAGCAACATAATACGGACCAATCAACACAAGCGAAAGGGTAAGGGAGGTAACTCGTATTTTCTTGACATCAAAGCCCTCGCCAATTTGAAAGACATTTCCATCAAAAGATTTTTTAGGCTTCTGTTGCATGTCAGTATTTTTTCAATATTGAATATCCTGCAAACATAATCAGTGGGACTGCCTGCATCTACGGCTCGGTCCGATAATTGTATTACCTCCCTTTGCTGATTTTGTTATCCAATCAGGTGTCTACGCTGGGAAGATGAGCGTACCAATCACAAGGCTACTATCATAACACACTTCGCTTCTTTTATCCAACCTATTAATCTTGGCATCACAATTGTTGCAGAGGTACCCTGGAAGAGGTAGAAGGAGTTCTTAAATATATTTTTTAAGGTTTCAGACCTGTCAGTTTGTCTGTATGATTTTTTCCCCCTAAATCTGAGTCGCATAGCGAGCAAACCTTCGCAGCTGCGGTCGCCATCTTTGTTGTCACTGGCAAGCTCGGTTGTAACGGTTATCTGATTGGCTACTGTCAGAAGGCGGCTCCAGCAAAGGGAGGTAATACAATTATCGGGCCGAGCCGTAGATGCATCCAGGGTGAAGTGAAGATTTATCGGATGATTCGACCCCACACGACTGCAATAAAACGTAAACGTTGTGTTTGTGTCACAGGTTACAAGAACCGTTACCAGAACGGCTGGATAAGAGGGGGTCTTATTCTGATGGATCACTCGTCGTGAGTATTGTATCATCGCTGTCCTGAACTCTCCTTTCAGTGAATTGTTGAATGAAATACGCATGGTATATTTGGAGGATGAATGTTGTCAAACAATTCAGTGGTGCGTGCATGCGGACTTAGCAATACTGAACATAGTTCTCCGTCCAATTTTCTATATATTTAAAGGTTAACATGTCCATACGGCCTAACATTTAGTTTGAGGCATAGCTATGTCGAATTACAGTTAAAAACGTCACTCACTCGCCCACCCAAAACACACTCACTCACTCACCCACAAACTCACTCGCTCATCCGAGGTGTTTGTATTGACGAGGTATTTGTATTAATAAGGTATTTGCATTAACGAGGTGTTTGTATTAACAAGGTGCTTGTATTAACGAAGTGTTTGTATTAACAAGGTGCTTGTATTAACGAGGTGTTTGTATTAACAATGTGCTTGTATTAACAAAGTATTTGCATTAACGAGGTGTTTGTATTAACAAGGTGTTTGTATTAGCAAGGTGCTTGTATTAACGGAGTATTTGCATTAACGAGGTGTTTGTATTAACAAGGTGCTTGTATTAACGGAGTGTTTGTATCAACAAGGTGCTTGTATTAACGAAGTATTTGCATTAACGAGGTGTTTGTATTAACAAGGTGCTTGTATTAACGGAGTTTTTGTATCAACAAGGTGCTTATATTAACGAAGTATTTGCATTAACGAGGTGTTTGTATTAACAAGGTGTTTGTATTAGCAAGGTGCTTGTATTAACAAGGTGTTTGTATGAACAAGGTGCTTGTATTAACAAAGTATTTGCATTAATGAGGTGTTTGTATTAACAAGGTGTTTGTAATAACAAGGTGCTTGTATTAACGGAGTGTTTGTATTAACAAGGTGCTTGTATTAACGAAGTATTTGCATTAACGATGTGTTTGTATTAACAAGGTGTTCGTATTAACAAGGTGCTTGTATTAACGGAGTATTTGCATTAACGAGGTGTTTGTATTAACAAAGTGCTTGTATTAACGAAGTATTTGCATTAACGAGGTGTTTGTATTAACAAGGTGTTTGTATTAACGAAGTGTTTGTATTAACAAGGTGTTTGTATTAACAAGGTGTTTGTATTAACAAGTTGCTTGTATGCGTGTATATTTCAGGTTTGCTGACAGCGGCCGTGGGATGACCTTTGCCAAGTATGTACCTTTATCGTTGTTGGTGACATAGAAATTGTAAATATGTATAATTCTACCATGACTTCAGTAAACACTGGATTGTGATTGGTTAATTAAAGTCATTCAGAGGTATATAATCACGTTATACAGGTCTCTGATTTTCCGTGCGCAATCATACATGGTTTACGGTAATGCACTATTTTTGTCTGCCCACCAACATGGCGGACACCAAACAACCTACCGATGCATCGATAAATTACGGCGATTTTGCTGTCGGAAATTACACATATGGCGTTAAAGATGGATTTAGCGATGACGGGCTCGACTCACTACTTGAGTAAATCACAGCAATAGGTGTTTATACATATAAAAGTATTTCGAAAGCATGGAAACAAATATTCAGTCGAACAAGATCAAAACATCGTCTGCTTTCCGAATTAAAATGCAGCAAAAACAAATATGTTTACGTTGATTCTATGTTATGTCAGAATAGATCCAGCAATAGACTGCTACATAATTTCCGTGTTAAATTTATTATCAGCTTTCGTCAAGGATATCGCCACTGATCTTGATCCGGTAACGGAGGATACATTAACATCGAACGCCGAAGAAAGTTTAATGGCTTCCGTCCACATAAATAAACAGTTGGGTTATCAATTCAAACAAAATGATATTTTGAAGTTTGTACTGTTTCAAATTTAGCGGTAGTAAAACACAAATACAGAATCTGAAAACCGTTCTGTTTAGCCCAACATATCTTTTTCTAAAAGTATAATATCGTTGAAAAAGTTATTTAGCTTAGTCATGATCCCTCTCATCCATTACACTGCTTGATCTAAAGTAGTCTTTTAAAGTATAATTAATTACCTTACCGTGTTTATGCCAGAGGTACACCCTCATGTCCTGATCCATCCTTTCGGAAATATCACCACAAATCTGGCTCTTTGTCAACAGACTCGCGAACATGCCTGCGAATCCGATTCAATTTGAATTCACTACACTTTGAAGCCACTAGGACACAAAACACTTTCCCAAATGTAGAAAATAATATCCGTAGAATCGAATTTGAGCACAAAGTACACACATGAGTGTGTAAGAGTCACCACAGCTGTCGCACGCAGACGTAGAGGTGCGTGAAATCGTCAAGTTGACAGGGCGCAAAACTCAACAGTATCTAAATTCGGTACAACACGGACTTCTCGTTACAGCAAAAGCGCCCCTACTCTTAAATTGTGTACCAGTACCAGTAATTAGATATCAAAGACTATCTCAGTCATACAATCAGGTTAACCTTGCGCAAACTGTCAGTGGCTCTCCTGTCGCATCTTTCCAAATGTAAACAATGACTTCCGAGAAAAGGTCAATGCCATGAGGTTGCTGCCATTATTCTGGTGGGGAAAGGGTCTACGGTGGAATTTTCAAATGTGAACCAAGCTTTTTAAACTTATTTGATATGTGTTTTCCAACTTATCAGTTAATGATTGGTGATTGATGCATTGAAAAAACAAAACGTGATTTGTTATTACTGAATCTGGAGTTTGTTAGTCATTGACGGTTTGCCACCAATCACCCCGTTTCGGGCGATGCCACTTGGGATTGGAATGCGAGGCCGCTTCACGTACTGACTCGTAACCAAAGAAAGAGCTCCACCTGAAATTGTTCATAAAATTGTCATGGTAGAATGGAGATAAACCTACTGTGTTGGAAGATCAGAGGTATATAACGAAATTATAATAGCTCTAAATTGTTCATTTAAAACCTCACGCTACGCGTTCGGTTTTAAATGAAATTTAGAGCTATTATAATTTCGTTATCTAAATTGTTCATTTAAAACCTCACGCTACGCGTTCGGTTTTAAATGAAATTTAGAGCTATTATAATTTCGTTATATACCTCTGATTTTCCCACACAGTAGGTTTATCTCCTAAATGGATGAATTTATACTGACATTTTAGTGATATAATTTCCGTATCCATGGTATACTGTAAGGACTGTCACATTTACCGCGATTTCTACATCTCTCGATCTCGGCCTTTTCCAAACTTAAAATGCTTACAGTTCAAACTCTCGCGTTCCCGTACATTTAGATCATCTACCTTGCTTCCAAAGGTCGAAATCGCGAGAACACGAGAACGCATGAATGACCCTGACAGTGATTTGTACAATAGCCTTTTTAAATAAGAATTAAAGCAGTACATGTGTTTTCATTTCCATATTATTCTTTCATGTTATACTAAATGTCGCTTTGATAAACTAAAATAAATGTTCACAAAGTTTTGTGAAATTTTCGTTGAAATTATTTCCACTATGACAATCCTATTTTCAAATTTGAAAGATGAAAGTTTATGGACAACGAGTTCTTCTTTATTCCATAGACTGGTTGGTTGGTTTGTTGCTTAACGCCGTACTCAGCAATATTCCAAGTATATGGCGGCGGTCTGTAAATAAACAAGTCTGGACCAGGCAAGTTAGTGATCAACAACATGAGCATCGATCTTGAGAAACGATGACATGTGTCAACCAAGTCAGCGAGCCTGACCACCCGATCCCGTTAGTCGCCTCTTACGACAAGCATGGGTTGGAGAAGACCAATTATTGCAGAGAATTTTCATATTGCGATATATTGCGATGCGAAAGCTTATATTGCGATATGTATTGCAATATATTGCAAGAAGGTTTTTTTAACAATAAACTACTAATGATCAAGTTAATGCTTTATTTATAAAGCAAAAACACAACAAAATCACTATGCTTCATTAAGCTTTAATAAAAACTTTTAATCATGACAAAATAAGAATATAGATAATATTTAAATGTAATTTTCACCACGATCATTCCCACCACCATTACCACAATTGCCACAATCATCAAGGTTTCCGAGTTTCCGAGTGTTCTATCAGAAGTTTTCCGAATACAAGTCAAAATACACTAATGGTTTTCTATCAGCGTATCGCAATACGTATCGTTTTCATGTCTGATAATATTTTTCGGTTAATACCGGTAAACCGGTTATATTGCGCAGCCCTACCTTCTTTATTGTGAATTGTGAAACAAGTAAAGGCTGGCAAGTTTCGATGGCGAGAATCGCGAGAATGGCTCAGGGGATACTGCAGGTTTACCGAAATGCGAGCTCTGGGGGTAAGGAGGATGTCATTTAACCAAAATCTTTCTAAAAATGATTGATGAGTCATTCATTCTTTCTCGCATCCAACTGGTAACCGGGTGTATATGTTTGTTTTTGTTTTTAAATTAAAGGACTGGCAAGTTTGGATCGCAAGAATCGCGAGAATGGCTCCAGGGGTTTGTGCAGGTTTATCGAATTGCGAGCCCTGGACGTACATGGAGGTTTTACCCCTGGACGTGTCATTTTGACTTAAATACTTATAAATATTCCTGCTGGTATTGGCATACAACCTGTGATTCGATATATCACGATACTAAGATTTTAGTCACGACGATATATTGCCAAAGTATTTTACACTGAAGCTGCGATACGATACGAATCCCTATATAAGGGTGGCGATACGATACGTATCACGATACTAAAACCTTTAATTCTAACACCAACTATAAAACACCTTAAAATCAAAACAAAACCATTTTAAAGTATTTTTTCAAACTCTGCCAGCGTCTTTCAATGTTCATTCGGAAACGAAATAATTAAGTTTATACAGGGACTTTGTGAATGTTAATAACATGCGAGCTCTGTCTGACACAGTTCTTGACGCATGAAATTTATGGGAAAACGTTTACTTATGAAGGGAAATAAGTAAGCATATATTCTAATCATCAAACAAAAGTAAGTCTTTTTTCTTGACAGATATCGCGATTCGGCAATATTCAAAGTTAAACATCGATGTATCGTGGCTCATTTGAAGTATCGTATCGGGATACCGGTATACAACAATGTAAAACTTTGTATCGATTCACTGTATCGGCGGCCCATGGATCGATACATCGATGCACCGATGCGTATCGATGAATCGTCACTTCACTACTAAATATGCTTAAAGATTCATTCATCCAAACTAGCATTCAACCGGAAACCGGGTGTATGACGGGAACGAGACAGTTCATGGATTTGGAAATGACGATGGGGACAAAACGTCTGCGTTCCGAGACTTGGATGGCTCTGTGACTGGATATCCGGGAAGCACTGTGTTAAAACCCGGACCGTTCTTCCACAACGCCCGCTGCTACAGACGGGACAACTGGAATATGGAAATCTGCCCACAAAGGTTCGGAATGGTGAGATCCTAGGTTCCAGCTGTTTCACCTTCTAACAAAATATCCGCTTTGATAAACTGCAGGAATGATAAATTGGTAATGGTTTAAATGTCCTCCAGGTTAATTAATGAAGCCGATGAAAGACATCTTTTTCGTATTTAGGTGTGTCAGTCACACTATTTAATGGTTCAAATGTCTGCTACATTTCTTCTAACCAACGATCAGTATTAAGTTCGTCTCCAGAGTGGGGTAGCCTAGTGGTTAAAGCATTCGATCGTCACACCAAAGACCCGGGTTCGATTCCCCACATGGGTACAATGTGTGAAGCCCATGTTTGTTGTCCCCTGCCGTGATATTGCTGGAATATTGCTTAGAGCGGCGTGAAACCAAACTCACTCACTCACTCCAGAATGACAGTCTATGTTGTTACGTATATACTAGAGCAGGTTAACCAACATGAAACGTAAGACTGGGTTTATTTTGTTGGAATATTGCCGAGTGTGGCGTTCTACCACAAACCACAACGAAAGTAAACAAGTCAAAACATTGATTATACAACCGTCTCGTTTCCTGTTGACTGGGTTCCGTCCTATTGCGCAACTTAGTACAATAACCAGTCCAGAATTTTGAGACCAATTCATTTATATGGATTCATAAATGTTAACCAGCTTAACCTCCGCCTGATAAGTACAGAAGATCAAGGCAAGAGTCATCCATTCGCTGTGCGAGATGACAATCCTTCAGCGAGAATGGACGAGACTTGGCACTCCTCCGCTGGATTCCCCGTGGCTCTCGGCGGCGACCACAGCTACACCATACACTGGAAGGGACGGGTTCCCAGGGCGTTTGAGCTGAAGGGAGAAGGAGTGGAGAAGTAAGTTTTGTTACGTGTTGGTTTAAGATTGAAAGCATAAGCCAGGGGCCGATTTAAGGAAATGAAACCAACTTCCACCCAGTGCAACCTAAGGCAATCAACTTGTTGCACCAAATAAAAACAGATTGCACCTGCTGTTTAATGTAACATTTGATGTAATGCTTGAGTTTTGGTAAAGACGGTTTAGAACAGTATTATGACAAAAGAAATCTGTAGTTATCTTACTTCCTAAACTTTCGGGAACAGTAAGTCCTTCAGTCACTGTTCCTACAATAATCAGAGTCACTGTTCCAAGTCAGTTCCTCATCATTCTGGTTTCCAGCTGAAGTCTGTGTTCTTTGAACAAACAATATTAACAAGCACTGGATGCAAGTTGATATACATAAGAGGTTGCATTTAGCAGTTTCAGGTTGCACCAGTGCAAGCCCTGATAAGGCACTCCTGAAATCTATTCAAAATGAAATCGGTGCGAAACCAACAACCAAGAAAACATAAAACGTCAATGCAAATGAATACACAAACTTGACTCTCCTGAGAAATATGTTATGTTTTGAATAAACAATGCCATTTAGAACGTGGTCAAAAGTAACATGTTATATTTGGAAGTTATCCCAATCTACACCTATAAGAGGGGTACACACACTCCGTGGTCTGGACTACCAGTTGTCTGACTTCCATTTTTGTGGAAGCTGCGTTGGCTGAGCGGTCTAGGCGTCTGAATTTGTGTGCTGGCGATTAGGTGCCTGACTCTGAGGGTGTGTTCGAATCCCGGATGGGACTCAACCCAAGAAAAGCACTAGAATCATAATATATCATATATATGTTATATATTATGTTCGGTGTAAAGGGAAATTAGCTGTGACAATAATATGAACGGGTCACTGAAAATCAGCGATGACACCAGGTGTTCGCGACAAAAGGTAACCATGGTAACTGTTCACGGCCTGTTACAAAACACAAACGGGAGCTGGATTATTACATCTTTCTTCGTAGTGTTTCACTGGACTCAATTTGGTCAGTGATTATATGTATCATGGGCGTTACGTGTATGTCGGCACAATGTGTTTTAGGGGGGACTGGGTGCGGTTCGGTGTCTGTTTCCCCCGGAATGGCAAGTTCCACTTCACGATGTACTACCCAGTCTACCGGGACGACACCGGCTGGGTTGGACACTACTGGAAGCGGGTTTCAAGCGTTGAGGACCTTGACCGGGACACTTCGGGTGGAGCTGTGTATCATGACAACACCACTGGGTAGGTCGGTTTGTAGAGGGCATGTGTTTTTAGGGGTAGAGGGCATGTCCATCTGATGGTTTAGAGACTATATGTCCATCAGGGAATAGAAGGTATGTCCATCAGAGGGTTAGAGATTATGTTGAACTGAGGGGTAGAGAGTATGTTCATCTGAGGTTTAGACCTGTCCATCAAAGGAGTAGAGGGTATGTCCATCTGAGGTGTAGAGGCTATATGTCCATCAGAAGATTAGAAGGTATATACATCAGGGGGTAGAGGCTATTTGGGGTATGTCCACCTGAGGTTTAGACGCTATGACCATCAGAGGGGATGAGGAGTATATCCACCGGAGTTTTAGAGGCTGTCCATCAGTCGGGTAGAAGGCATTTCCATCAGAGGTTTAGAGGCTTGGTTCGTCATAAGGGTGGAAGGTATATCCATCAGAGGGTTAGAGGCTTTGTCCATCAGGCAGGTAGAAGGTATATCCATCAGAGGGTTAGAGGCTTTGTTCGTCAGTAGCGTAAAAGGTATATCCATCAGAGGGTTAGAGGCTTTGTCCATCAGACAGGTAGAAGGTATATCCATCAGAGGGTTAGAGGCTTTGTTCGTCAGAAGGGTAGAATGTATATCAATCAGAGGGTTAGAGGCTTTGATCATCAGAGGGTATGAGGAGTATGTCCACCGAAGGTTTAGAGGTTATGTCCATCTGAGGGGTAGAGACTGATCCATCAAAGCGGTAGAGGGTATGTCGATCTAAAGTGTAGAGAGTTTGTCCACCTGAGGTTTAAACGCAATGACCGTCTGAGGGGTAGAGACTATGTCCACTTGAGGTATAGAGGCTTTGTGCTTAAGAGGTGTAGAGGCTATGTCCATTTGCGGGGTAGAGCATGTGTTCATCAGAGGGGTAGAGGTTACGTCTACCTGAGGGGTAAAAGGTATGTCGATCTTAGGGGTAAAAGGCGCAGAGTTTGCCCACCTGAACAGAATATCCACCAGCAGGATAGAAGTTGCACAATGCACACCTGCAGAAGATAGGGTATGTCCATCCGAGACGTCCATCAGTTTGGAGGATACAGGATATGTCCACCCGAGAGTCACATCCATTTAAAGGCTACTTCCTTCTTAAGGTATCTGACTGTGTTAAAGTTTCAGGATAATTTCCTGGAGAGTATTGGATACGTTTAATGACACTTACATAACTTCGCTATATAATAACTTTATTAACCTAAATGCCCTTCTTGTCAAGGAGGCCCTAAACTCAGCAGTAGTGGTGGTCCGATTAATTGAAATAATCGAAGATTAGTCGCAGTGGCCAAACGACCAAGCAATCGATCACATTTCTCATAATCGAACACAACGATTTTGGAACCGGTGTAATAGAGTTTGAAATACTTGATGATGGAACATATCTAGGACGTTGTCAGGGCCTGAAAACGTGTTTATTTCTAAGAAAACTCATTTCACTTTCTGAAAAGTCATGACTGAATATTTCTTGAAGAATCTGGGAAGTTAATGTTACACCGGAACTGAATCATTTTACACTGGATGTGAAATCTGCAAATGTAATTTGTGCAGTTTCTAAAAAACAACAACAGAGAACCAAATGTTTTTTTCTTCATACTTATCTGCAACTACAACCTGAATCAGGCAGCTTGAGCATGGCAATTGACGATTACAATTCAGATACAAAAACAGCACGCCTGGCAAGAATTAAAACAAATGAGAGTTATCTCCCCTAGACTTGTGACTACAGTCTGTCTGGAAGGTACACGGTAGATCCATCTGAAGAGTATGGGGTATTCTATCTGATGGGTACCAGCTAGTGGCAGCTACATCTCAAATGATATGTCGTGAGAAAATGTTGACATATATTTCATTTTGTACTCTCGTTGAAGGCTCTGGTTCTTTAAATACATGAACATGAACGATCGGCTGGAGAATGAAACCCATTCGTGCCCAGAGAGATGCCCAAGCATCAGGTTCGAGGTGTTATCCGGCGACATGAACGACGGCGACTGCACCTCCAGAGCCTACGGACCATACAAGAGAGCCCCCATTGTAAGACATGACGCACAAGCAGCAAGTTGTTTTTAAATCTGCTATAGCTGTTGTACTGCTGTATCTATAGGAACTGTTTATGTCTAATGGTGAGAGCGTGAGAGTCAGAGTCAGAGAGCTGTATCTTTGGGTTGTCTTATTAAAGTTACATCAATTCGCATCACCGTTGGTTGAAAGCTTCAAGTGATTAATCATATGGGTCTGAGACGTTTTTGTCGGACGAATGACCAGTTCAGTTTAAACATTAGAAACAGTTATATTTTTTAGAGAAATGTGATCCACATAGAGAACCCCTCTTTATTGGAAAACACTGACACTAATGGAATTTAAACACTTTTGCCTCTATAACATTAAATCAAATGTGTTTATATTTGTAAAACGTTTAACTATTTGTCAAGTATAGCAGTGATAGTTTAGCTGAAGGCTTGACCACCTAATATATTACTTACATGATTTGTTGAAAATGTTTAGGTAATAGGTAATAAAAATATCAGTAGGAACAGAAACACGTATGTTCAAAGTTGCAATACAGTGACTGATTTGAGTGAATTGTGTGTTAAAACCACGAATCGCAGTGTCTTGCAGCTAAGGGACCCAAACATTTCTCATCAAACTGCTTTTCGTACGAGACGACTTAATGCATATGGGGTGAGCCAGGCTTGCTGACATGGTTGATTACATGGCATATTAACCATGGAACCTTGTTCATGATATCAATCATTGGATTACTTACACTCCGGTGCCTATCAGTGAAGAAGCTTTTCAGCTTGTCGTAAGAGGCGACTGAAGGGATCGGGTGCTCAGGCACGCTGACTTGGTTGACACATGTCACCGTATCCCTATTGCGTAGATCGATGCTCATGTTGTTGATCACTGGACACTATTTACAACACTATTTACAACAGACCGTCGCCAAAAAGCTAAGTGCGGAGTTAAACAACAAACAAATAAACAAATAAACAAAACAGTTGGAATATCGCGGAGTGCACCATTAAGCTTATTTGTAGCCATTCGTCACCACTCGCCCCTTTCCGTAACCTATTCGGCTTGTCCCGGAATAACACGAGTTGGTCACGAATGATTTGTAGCATGCATTGCATAAATGCAACCAGTCAATATTCTACCCGGATCCACTGACGATGTCTCATCTGTTTCTGTTTTACAGACGGGGAGCAATGGTCTTCATGCCAACAGCCTTCAGGTTACATCCAAGGACCCACCACAGGTATGAACGCCTTCCGTTCTATTTGCCTGCATCCACCTGATCAAAGGGATGTAACTCTTGGATTGAAAATATTTAGATAATCGCAATTAGAGCTGTGAGTGGAACGATCTTCCCCTATAAATTATCCAGGGGTTAGGTTCAAATGCTATTTTAGGTAAATGAATTATTTGTAAATGTAGAATTACTTCATTGTTGCAGGGATGGGGAGCGGGACCTACAAGACCTTTTGAGACTCGAACCTCGACAAACGGACAAGGTGGACAGTGGACAGCATGGTCGCAATGCTCTCAGTCTTGTGGAGGTATGTGCGTGACTTACTGAATGTCACGGAGTGTCGGCCCTACTCAGCAATGTTCCAGCTATATGGCGGTGGTCTGTAAATAATCGAGTCTGAGCCAGACAATCCAGTGATCTACACCATGGGCATCGATCATTTGGGATACAATGACATGTTTTAACCAAGTAAGGGCGCCTGACCACTCGGTCCTGCGAGTCGCCTCTTACGACAACCTGAAGACCATTTCTAACCCGGATCTTCACAGGTTTTCGGCATTATGGTATGGGAGTTGCGATCACCCCAGCACCAACACCACTTGTCAGAAAAAGGGGCCAGGGTGCTGTTGTACGAAGCCAGCTTAGCGCTACGGCTGTCGTAAGGTGAGGTGAAATTGGGTTTAACGTCGTGCTTGAGAATATTTCGCTCATATGACGACGTGCATGCGTATGTATGTGTATGTGCGGCTGCTTGTACTAGCCAAGACTTAAGCTGGTTTTATAGTGCTAGCCCACTGAGATACCATGCCACAGTGAAGCATGAATACCCCACTCAGACACATTATACTGACTCCGAGCCGACCAGTCCTTGTTGTACCCATTAATGCCGAGCGCCAGACAGGGACCAACAAGTACCATATTTTAACGTCTTTTGGTATGACGCGGTCGGGGATCGAACCCGCGACGTTCCGCTCTCCGGGCGGACGCTCTAACCACTACACCACGGAGGAGGTCCGGCGTTAAGGTATGGGAGTTATTATCACCGCATAGTACAACGACACCCTAGTATATGTAATATATGCTGGACGCCATACTCAGTAACATTGCAGGTACGAATGCTACGAGAAAAGTTACAAGGTCTTAAGGCTTACGAGAGCTTTGTGAAACCGGGATCAGGGTGCTGTTGTACGAAGCCAGCTTAGCGCTATCACTGTCATATATCTATGTTAAAGTACGGGATTTACGATCATCTCAGCACAAAGTTCACTTTGTGGAACGGGACCCTGGACTTCAAGTGCTTCTTAATTTATTTTTGTAATACGGTTTCTTCTTAAAGGCGGACTTCAGACGAGGACTCGGTCATGTGACGGTGCAGGAAGTACGGAGGACTGCCAGCGCCACCATGTAGAATACAGAGCCTGTAACACTGCATTTTGTACCAGCCAGTTGTTGGGATGAATAACAAGATTTATTATATACCCATTTAATCATACGATAACAACACAGCCGAACAATAGGGCAAGCTTTGGCGAATTCGAATTTCACTCCCATTTGAAATCTTTGAGGCATTAAAGTTATTAAGTGGAAATTGTTTTTGTGTCAAATATTTTTCTGTGTTGTAACCTGGTACTTGATCGATGACGTCAGGTGGAGGAATCTCGTGTATACATGTGTGACACGTCCCTTGCGCGGAATGATACTCCGTTAACCTTAAGGCGGAAGTTTCAATAATGACGTTTCGAGTTATAATAAACACTCTGCGTCATGGGTGAGTGAGTGAGTGAGTGAGTATGGTTTTAGCAATATTCCAGCCATATCGGGGCGGGGGACACCAGAAATGGGCTTCACACATTGTACCCATGTGGGGAATCGAATCCGGGTCTTCGGCGTGGCGAGCGAACGTGACAGGTCGAATGACCTTAACAGGAATAGGAGCGATAGCCATTCTTTGTGAATGTGCCACACCTACACCAAATATATCTGCCCTTCGCTAATCTAGGTCAATGGGTTGTTAATCCGTGTAACATGATTATATGTGAAACAGCGAAGATGGACTTGGGTGGATTTAGCGTCACTTTGATCAGGATTTAAAGTACATGTATTTGACAGTGTTTTAACTTGATGTGGGAAAAGTTCCAGAAGCGACGCGGGTCTTAGGCGTTTACGAACCGAAACATGAGTCTCATTAACCTATTCAGATAATGACCTACTTTTCAGCCGATTCGAATTTTCTCGTGTGAAAGTGAAAAGAGACACCACAAACAAGTATGGTTACACTGAATTCCAATTTCTTGTTTCATAAGAAAATGGTATTTACAAGTTGATTTTAATTTAAACTTTAATAACATCGTATTTCTATATTTTATGGCGAGGTGTAGGCAGCATGACCTTAACTTAGACGTCACTGACTGCCCCTGTTTGATGAGGGCGTAAAATGATTCACACTTCATCTGGCTCACTGGTTACATCTGTTATGTGTTCTTTGCGCTTATTCAGTGTTGTTTTGTAACGGGCAATATGATTGATATAATATCAAGTCCGTACCAGACCGCCAAATGTTTCTAGCGGCAGAGCCTCGTTTTGAGATCTCCAAGATTTCCAGATTGTCAGAGCACGCTGTACGACAGAGCACGCTGCACGACGTGTTTGCAAGGATTAGAAGGAGCGTAGTGTTGCAATATACAAGTGCTTAGATGTATCAAATAATACTGATTAATATTTATGCATCCAGTTTAATGAATTTGTCTCAAAATTCTGGACTGGTTTTTGTACTAAGTTGCACAATAGGACGGAACCCAGTCAGCAGGAAACGAGACTGTTGTGTAATCAATGTTTTGACTTGAGCTTTGGTAAAACAATCACGACCGTGATACCGATAAACCTTGAAATCATGGCCAACCAGGCTTCGAACACATACCCTCGAGGGACCATGCCCTTGTAATGTTATTGGTGATGACTACATGCTATCAGTTATAACATAACTAACCGTGGCGTCATGTTTCCAGGTGGAACACTGCAGCAACATGGCGTATAACTGAGTTATTGTTCATCCGAGTTCGTTATAATCGTAGTTTATGCTTCTGATGCTGCTGCTACTACTACTACTACTACTACTACTACTACTACTACTACTACTACCTACTACCCTACTACTACCTACCACTACCACTACGACTGCTACTACTACTACTACTACTACTACTACTACTACTGCTGCCACCCGGGTTAGCATTGGTCTTCAGCAATCCATGCTTGTCGTAAAAGGCGACTAACGGGATAGGGTGGCCAGGCTCGGTAACTTGGTTGACACATGTCATCGTATCCCAATTGCATAGATCGATGCTCGTCCTGTTGATCACTGTATTTTCTGGTCCAGACAGATATTTACAGATCGCACCACATAGCTGGAAATTCGGCGTAAAACAAAACTCACTCACTAATACTACCACGACTACTACCACTACTACTACTACAACTACAGCTGCTACTACTAGAATACCCCCGCCATCATCAGTTATCGAATAATGTAAATGATCACTTTTGCCTTTGAGTATATTTTAAACAGGTCAAGATAGTCATACTATCCGATAAACTGACCTGTGACGGTCGCACCAAATGCACAGTGTCCAATATGGGCTTGGCAAATATATTAATAGCCTAGGTGGTCAAGCTGTATATAAATAGATATATAGCCGATATTTGCCCTGGTCTCAGTTCTATATTTGTCTAAACGTTACTGTGATTTTTAAAAGTAGATAGATTATAAAATTGCAATAAACGTTCATTAAAAGTTTACCTCTCAGTGTATTATTGGAGCGGAGCGCAGTAGGTGTGCAATGCCTTCTACCGATTCAAAGAAACAAACTTTTTCGACCGATGTTTTTATACGGCATTATAGCTGTATTTATAGGGCCTCAGATTTGTATTGTTTGGCGACTGTTTATCTGGGCTGGTTAAAATAATCGATAATCGGAAATATCGTCGATTGGAAAAACTGTTAATTATTATCTATATCAAAAGTATGTTTTCGATAATACCGTAGAGTAACTTTTGCGATAGAAACACGTTTTAATTTCCTCACACAACATACAAATTTAGGACTTTATTCATGGCCTGCTTCGAAATTATGTTCAGGACCCTGTTTTGTTAATAATCCCTGCAAAACATGTCATCACTCACCATTGATGTGAAATTTATTAATTTCTTTCAGATTTATTTTGGTCTCCGATATTTATCGACAATCGATCGATATTTCGTTAACGATTATTGATCTCTGTCATCTATCGATTTCGATAGCCAGCCTCAGTTCACAGTTCACAGTTCATTTCCAACTTGACCTCATCGTTTTATCGGTGAAGCTGAAGTGGCGGTAAACAATATTCACTCACCCTACATATGGATAAAATATTTCCTGTAGAGTTTTTGTTTTTAAGTACAAGCGTCATTGTTTTAATTTTTATCTCTTAAAACACGTGTCATGTTTTCATATAGAGGTTTAGAAAAACCATATCGCAACAGATCTAGGTTAGCATGGAAAAATACGATAGGACTTTGGACTGTTTGCATAATCTGAAAAGAGTGAGTGAGTGAGTTGGTGGTAGGGTAGCTGAGTGAGAGAACGTGAGTGAGTTTATAGCGGGCAAAACCAGAAATGGACTTCACTTGTGGGTAATCGAACCTGGGCCTTCGGCGTGACGAGCAATATCACGGCGGGGACACCGTGAACGCCCGTTGTATATATAGTCATTTTTGTTTCACAAAGGATGCATGTACTGCTATGAGTCGTAGGGGTTATTGCTGCTAAATCCCAGCTTTGGGGAATTATCACAGTCATTAAATACGTCAGTTGAACCAGTTTACTCTTGTTTGTCACATGAGTGAGTGAGTGACCATGGTTTTACGCCGCTTTCAGCAATATTCCAGCAATATCACGACGGGGGACACAAGAAATGGGCTTCACATATTGTACCCATGTGGGAAATCGAACCCGGGCCTTCGACTTGACGAGCGAACGCTTTAACCACTAGACTACCCCACCGCACTCCTCGAACCCATGAAGATGTTCCGGGCGCGACATAAGGGTAACAAATTCAACGCAAAACAAATTCGACCCTGATGAAGATTCTGTTAATGTAATTTGCATTCTAAGAGTGGATGTTAGCTGTACGTGGCATTTAGCAAAAAGTCCAGCAAGATCACAGAGGGGACACCAGGAATACACTTCACACATTGTACCCATGTGGGGAACCAAACCCGGTCTTTGCCGTGATCAGCGAACGCGTTAACCACTAGGCTACTCCACCGCCCTGCACCCTAAGAGCGACAGCATTCTGAACCTTCAGATCTTGCCTTGAAATAGGTATGTCACTGTCTGACCTATCACCTCTCACCGGTGATAAGCCAATGTATATTCTGTTACTAAATCGAGCAACATCGTTGTATTTTTAGCAAAGAAAAACATGCAGGGAGCGTGGGACCTGGCCATCTGTCTCTGGCCCCCGTGTTACAGTTAACGGTAGGATCAAGGCGAGCCACCAGCGACACCAACATGTCTTGTTTACTGAAACTGTTTGGTAGGTTATGAACATTTACCGTTATAAAGATTTATAAATATTAACCGTTACTTGGCTCGGCCGTGTGCCTCATGTTTGAACCGATCTTTATGTCATTCCGACCAGTATTGAGTCGTTTTGCTTGTTTTGCTTGTTGTGGATTATCATTATTTTTTTGGTATTCAGGAGCGTGTAAATAATTAGGATTAGGCTTGGGGTTCGATGCTATGCAGTTGATAGTCACTAAGCTTGACGACTTGCCTGATCGGTCAACTCCCACGACCAGCATACAAGTTCTAGCCAGGGCGTCTTATCAAAATCAGATGAATCTGGTTTTCTGATATTTACCATATATCAAATATATCCAGATCTTGGATACCCGTGAAGAGCCGGGTTAGAATTAATCTTTAGTAGTCCATGCTTTTCGAAACAGGCGAATAACGGGATAAGGTATTAAGGCTCGCTAACCTCGTTGACACATCGTATCCAATAGCGTGTTTGATGTCGATCACTGGATTGCCTTGCCCGGACTCGATATTCGGACTGTACGTGATAAAGCTGGAAACTTGCAGTGGGCAGCGTTAGTCAAGAAACAATAGAAGCACAAATTAGACAAAAGGTGCCTATATTGGGAGTAATTACATAAATATACCAATGTTTAATCTTTCACGACCTTGGTATGCTTTCAGGTATGATAAGCGTGCTATTAAAAATATGTATCGACATAAATGTCATATGTTGTTTTAGCCTTTATCTGAAGGGTAAAACAAAGTATACAGCCATCATTGCTGAAACTGAAGCAAAAACAGTATTGTTTTAATGCGTTGGTATAAAGGATATTGAAAATTATACAAGCAATTAACATAAGTATATCTTTTCCTAGCAATACATGTAACATTTCTTCCAGTAAACACCTTGGTGTTTGTGTTGCAGTGTTGGGGTCAAGTCTTGTCTACATGGCCAGTGGTCACTATGTAAATACAACGAGGTCAAAACGGCAAGGTCAGGACATTGGGTATACTTGTGTTCTGTTTAAATCTATATGCATATGTTGCTGCATTTTGATATTGAAAAACTATATGATTTTTGGTGTGTGTGCATGACCACACAAGTATTAGCATTGACAGTGGTGCATCTTACAGTCCAATAACCGCCGACCGTTCCTGGACGCCTGGTTAGAGGAAACATGATTGACCGCGTCATACCAAAAGACCTAAAATATGGTACAGATTACGTCCATTCAGGTTTATGAATTACTGGTCGGCTCGGAGTCAGTATAATGTGTCATGAGTGGGGTATTCATGCTTCACTGCAGCATGGTATCTGAGTGGGCTAGCACTATAAAACCAGCTTTAGTATGGGCTAGTACAAGCAGCCACACATACACATACACATGCATGCAAGTCGTCATATGAGCGAAATATTCTCAAGCGCGACATAAAACCGAATTTCACCTCACCTCACCCCAAACACGCCCCTCATCCTCCCGTTCCTGGACGCCTGGAATAGGGGAAACATGTTTAGAATTACCTCCCTTAGTACAGATTACGTCCCTTCAGGTTTATGAATTAAGTCCCGTAAGTAAAGAATTACCTCCCTTCAGTATTTGATGAATGTGTAGTGAGACCAAGCCATTCAAGCCTTCCACATGCCAACCCTGACTCCATCTTGTCCCTCATACTTTCGTACCTGAACGCCTCGATTAGGGGAAAAACAAGTTTAGAATTGGCCTTCCTTCAATATAGATTACCTCCCTTCAGGTATGAATTACCTCCCTTCAGTCAAAAATTACCTCCCTTCAGTCACAGACACAGACTTATCGCGGGTAGTTATAATTCTTTGTGTTTAAGGATATCAATACTGCATCATAATTAATTTTGTGTATATTAATAGCGACAGTGAAGTGTAATAATTTGAATCCGTATTCCGTGCCTGTTTCAGCTGGACCAAACTGTCTGTTTTGTGATAGAGTAAACCTGCCCCATGACTGTCACCAGAAACTACAGTGTGAGTCAGACGAGGTAACTAAATCAGTAATCAGTGTTCAGATAATGGCCTCTGTCTGTTTGTTCCACGTGTACACATGCATGTTAAGCGAATGCAAACTGACCTTTTAATTATTCACGCAAGGAGAGTAAGTGCAGACTGAACGAACACAACTCTTCAATATTTGCTACCACCGCCAATATCTTCACCCGTGGCGGCTCCACTCAGACTCGCGCCAAAGGCTTTAAAGATGAGTTTCCATTCGTTTATTGACCAGGGCTTATTGAAGATCCGGGTTAGAATTGATCTTCAGTAACCCATGCTTGTCGTAAGAGGCGACTAACAGGATCGGGTGGTCAGGCTCGTTGACTCGGTTGTCATCGTATACCAATTGCGTAGATCGATGCTCATGCTGATGATCACTGGATTGTCTGGTCCAGACTCGATTGTTTACAGACCGCCGTCATGTAGCTGGAATATTACTGAGTGCGGCGTTAAACAACAAACCATTCAACCAATATTCGCTTATTATGCATGGGTACACGTGTGTATATATTTTCATGTGAGTATATTCTTTGGGACTGAATGAAGCCGAATACCACATATTGGTTACATCTCCAGAACCTTTGAGATCAACACTTGTTAAAGATGATCGGTGTTGAATCACATACCTGTATTCTTACCTGTGAGGACTGTCCCATTCCAATATCTCACTGCATTGAATACACAAATTGGTCCAGTGTAACATATATCCTGTTTGGAATTACACTTTCTCAGTAAAGTACGATTCTATTACTTTTATTCTGTTGAGTCCCATCAGGGATTCTAACCCACACCCTCAGAGTCAGGCACCTAATCGATAGCACACAATGTCAGCCGCCTTACCCGCTCAGCCACTACGGCTTCCACGTGGGACTCAACCCAACAAAAGTACTAGAATCTGTACTTTACTGAGAAAGTGTAATTCCAAATATAACATAAATATGTTAGCACTTTATTGTTTTGCCGCTCAGCAAATACGAAGCAATCAAGAACCGTTTCTGTTGATAGTAACTTGATACCATGTTCTTGTCTTCCAGGCGTGTTTTACTGACCAGTACATCACAGAACAGGGACACGTCTTCTATAAAGTTGGATGCAGAGCACAATCAGTGAGTACTTCTCCAAATGTTTCCATCTGAATGTGTATGTAACTTTTTCAAGGACGATGCAAAGTCTCCCATGTTATTCCAAATGAAAAAGAAGAGGTCTGATGTCTACCTTGCTTAATCATCTGAGAAGCTATTTCACAGCTGTGTAAATCCGTGAAGGTCCGGGTTAGAGCTGATCTTCAGTAACCCATGCTTGTCGTAAGAGGCGACTAACGGGATCGGGTAGTCATGCTCGCCCCCAATTGCGTAGATCGATGTTCATGCCGTTGATCCCTGGATTGTCTGGTCCAAACTCGATTATTTACAGATCTCCATGTTGCTGAGTGCGGCGTAAAACTAAACTCACTCACTCACAGCTGTGTAAATGAAAGGTCACTGTTATAGATATTCTGGGCTCAAGTCTGCCAGGTTTGTAGTTGAATAATCAGCCTCATTGTAGTGGTGACTATATATTGTTTTGGTATTCCGTCCATCGAAAACAATTATTATGCATTAAATGTGTATGGAATAATAACACTCTTTGTAAGACACAAACAACGTTACTACTCGACTGTACTAAACAGCAAGAGTGAGTGAATGAGTATAGTTTTACACCGCTTTTACAATATTCAAGCCAGTGCTGTACATGAGTGAGAGAGTTAGTTTTACTTTCAGGCTGCTTTTAGCAATATTCCAGCAACAATACGGCGGGGGACACCAGGAATGGGTTTCTCACGTTGTACCCATGTGGGGAATCGAACCCGGGTTTTCGTAGTGACGAGCCAATGTTTTAACCACTAGGCTACCCCATCGCCCCCTATTATAGTTGAAAGCATACGGTAGAGCAGGCGGTCGCCATATAGCTGGAAAGCGCCGGGTTACACAACATTCAAACTCATACAAGCCACAAGATGCCCAATCCTCCTCTTAAGAATACGTCATTTCAACATTGACAATCAAAGAAGAAGAGAATATTTTCGAAACCAGAGAACCCCAACGTTTATAGTTTGGCGACAACTATTTGGTCATCACACAACGAATATATCTCACGGCTATCCTTCTTTGTTGTTTTCGTCTAGCTCTGTGGTACTGGCGCCGTGAAAGGCCGAAGGTCAGCGGTCAGCGGTCGTGATGTCGCCGTCCACGTGTGCGAGGACTGCTGTGTCGGGGAATACTGTAACAGAAAGGGATGCAGCGCGGGACGTAAGTCACGAGGGATGATGGATGAGTTCTGGATCTCACATGGAATTGCAATGCGTGAAGCCCATTTCTGGTGTTCCCCGCCGTGATATTGCTGGAATGTTGCTAAAAGAGGCGTAAAACTTAATTCACTCATTCAATAACACGGAATTGCATTTTAGTAAAATCGTTTGTTGTGGTCATCACATGATGTCAAAGTGATTTACCAATAATCACTTTAGCCATCTGAGGAAATTTGTCCACTGTGAAATGTCGGTGAACAGGGTCTGTGATCTTTGGAAAATTGATCAACTTAAAGACCATGCTTGGTCAAGTACTTGTAGAAGAGTGTTTTAACAGCAAAAGCCATCTATTCAGAGGATAACACTAGAAGTGAGTGAGTGAGTTTAGTTTTACGCTGTTTTAGCAATAGTCCAGCAATATCACGGCGGGGACACCAGAAATTCACTTCACACATTGTACCCATGTGGAGAATCGAACCCGGGTCTTCGGCGTGACGAGCGAAAGCTTTAATCATGGTGCTAACGTAAGGAAGGGATGGCAGCAGAGTTTAAGTGTGATAGGGAGAGCCTCAATGATAAACTCCGTCCTCGAGGACATGTGATGTCAGGCACATCGGAAATGACCCCCCAAATTCACGATATGGTGATGGCAGACAGGCTGGTTCAGTAACCATTATTCAGGACTGACTGACTGAGTTTAGTTTTACGCGGCTTTTAGCAATATTCCAGCAACATCACGGCGGGGGACACTTGAAATGGGCTTCACACATTGTACCCATGTGGGGATTCGAACCCGGGTCTTCGGCGTGACGAGCCAATGCTTTAACCATTAGGCTACCCCACCGCCCCCATTATTCAGGAGAGAGTGCATTCCTTTATCAAAGAAACATTGACAGTGAAGGGTGTATTAGCTTGTCGGTCTTAATAAGCTTTTGACATTTGATAAATAACCATCAAAGCACGACATGTCTTGTGATAACCTAGTTCTGTTGGAAGCTGATCCACAAATGTTTTTGCACCGATGTGTGAATGTTGATGAAACCTACGTTCACCACTGCTAGTTTCAAAACAGTGGAGGGCCGTGACATCATCACCAGCCAAAAAAGCATAGAAACCCGATCAGCGGGGAACGTTATGGTCTCTGCTTTCTGGGATGCCGACGATTCCATCATGGCGAACAATCAGGCCGAGATCCAGATAATAAAACTACTTATGTTGCCCATTAGAGGCAACTGTGGGGACAATTAAATCTACGAAAATTGGGAACCTGAGAAAAGGCAATTAAAAACAATATTCCAGTGCATAAATCAACATGGCAACAATCAACGATTATGGTTCCTTCAGCATCCATCTTCTCCTGATTTGGCTCTAATCTGACATCTGTTTCCAAACATGAAAAAAACCAAAAACCACTGAGCCACATTTGGACTCGACACCATTGCGCCTGTGGAGAATATTTTGGACCGCCAGGAGTGTGTACAGGACCTGTACCAATCTAGGATAAAATTCCAACGTCGTTGTCAGAATATCTTCAACGTGGAAGGGGCTTTTGTTGAAAATTAAATAATAAAATTAAGAGCCTCCTGTTCGAATATTGGACCCGTGAAGACCGGGTTAGAATTTGTCTTCAGCAACCCACGCTTGTCGTAAGAGGCGACTAACGGGATTGGGTAGTCAGGCTCGCTGACTTGGTTGACACATGTCATCGTATCCCAATTACGTAGAATAATGCTCATGCTGTTGATCACTGAATATTGCTGAGTGTAGCGTAAAACTCACTCACTGTTCGAATATTGAGTATATTTTCAACGATCGTTGGGTTGTGGAGCAGCCCAGTAGCCCAAGCGTTCGATCGTCACGCAAAAGTCCCAAGGTCAGTTCAACAAAGGTATAACAAGCAATGCCCATTTCTGGTGTCCCCAGACGTACTGCAGGAATATTGCCATAAACACCTCACCACACTCTCTCATTCACATTGATCGTCAACTCCGTTTGTGTACGACGTGAATCTCATATCATCAATACATAATCCATATACAACAAATTGTATAGATTGTATCGTTGTCCCATCAGATGATGTACAATCATGGTGTTTCTTTCCACTTCAGCTCCCAAGGGAACAACGTGTTATAACTGTGATTCCATCAAAGAACCATCTCGATGTGAGAAGGTGACAGCCTGTGAAGAAAATCAGGTAGGAGTTTACCAAAACCTGATGCTATTTTAGGATTGGGTCCACCCGATCCTGTTAATAGACTTTTACAGCAAGCAAGGGGTGCTGAAGACCAATTCTATCACGGATCTTCACGGGTTGTTGATGACAGTGTATATATTAATGTGGATGAATGGCAATGATGCACTAGAATGATAATTGTTTCATTACTTGTATTATTCCTTGTTCTTAACTTGTATTATTCCTTGTTCTTAACTTGTATTATTACTTGTTCTTAACTTGTATTATTACTTGTTCTTAACTTGCATTATTACGTGTTCTTAACTTGCATTATTGCTTGTTCTGAACTTGCATTATTACTTGTTCTTAACTTGTATTATTACTTGTTCTTAACTTGTATTATTACTTGTTCTGAACTTGTATTATTACTTGTTCTTAACTTGTATTATTACTTGTTCTTAACTTGTATTATTACTTGTTCTTAACTTGTATTATTACTTGTTCTTAACTTGCATTATTACTTGTTCTGAACTTGCATTATTACTTGTTCTTAACTTGTATTATTACTTGTTCTTAACTTGTATTATTACTTGTTCTTAACTTGCATTATTACTTTTCTTAACTTGTATTATTACTTGTTCTTAACTTGTATTATTACTTGTTCTTAACTTGCATTATTACTTGTTCTTAACTTGCATTATTACTTGTTCTGAACTTGCATTATTCCTTGTTTCCTAACTTGTATTATTACTTGTTCTTAACTTATATTATTACTTGTTCTTATCTTGTATTATTACTTGTTCTTAACTTGCATTATTACTTGTTCTTAACTTGCATTATTACTTGTTTCCTAACTTGTATTATTATTTGTTTCACCACTTGTTTACTGTATATTCTCAGCAATGCTACATCGATGAGGTTCTCACTGACCAATACGAACTGCGCTTCAATCTTGGATGCGTAGATACGTATGTAAGTAAACGTATACCTGACAAAGGTAACATTTTGTACCAATCACTACGTATAAACCCATCACTACGTATGCGTTAAGCAACATAACAACGGTACTGCTCCACTCTATCTCCAAGCCCTTGTCTCACCCTACGTCCCACCGAGGAATCTCAGATCTGCCGATCAATCACTTCTTGTTGTGCCTCCATATAAACTCAAAACTTTCGGACATAGATCCTTCAAACATTCAGCTGCTTGCCTGTGGAACTCTCTCCCTACAGACATCAAATCTGCTCCAACTCTCTCAAGTTTCAAATCTCATCTAAAGACATTTCTTTTTCTTCGCTACTGACTGCTTTGTGTTTGCGCTTAGAGCATGGCCTAGTGTTGTGGAGTCAAGCGCATTACAAATGATCTATATTATTATTTGTAAATAATCTGAATCATACACTCCAGTGATTGCTATTATATTTGTTTGTTTGTTGATTAACTCCGCACTCAGCAATATTCCAGCTTTATGGGGGTGGTCTGTAAATAATCGATTCTGGACCAGACAATCCAGTGATTAACAACATGAGCATCGATCAAAGCAACTGGGATACGATTGTTAATCATAAGCAACGTCGACGCGGACGAATGTGACCATCTGATGGAGTGAGTGAGTGAGTGAGTGAGTTTGGTTTTACGCCGCTTTTAGCAATATTCCAGCAATATCACGGCGCAAAACACCAGATATGGGATTCCACTCGTTGCATACAATCGCTAGCTATCTGAGGGCCTATTCTTACCCTTAATCCCTATGGGGGTCATGTCTTTCCTGTTGGTCATGAAGTGTTTGTACCTTGGTGTTGTTTAACTATATTTCAGCTATACCAGCTTAAACCCAACTCAATCATTAGAGTCATGACCGTTGCGTCGAAGTTGAAAGGACCTACTTCGACTTATCCGATTTTCTACACAACCGCGAAATGTTCACTTAATCCGGAATACGGAGGAACGGTGCATATACATTTAGACAACCGAAAGTAAAGTTCGACACATCATTATTCGACACAACCGTGTTTGACAAAACTTATGCATTTGTAAGTGCGTGAGTTTTAGCTTTACGCCGCTTTCAGCAATATTCCAGCAATATCATGGCAGGGGACACCAGAAATGGGTTTCACACATTGTACCCGTGTAGGAAATCGAACCCGGGTCCTCAGCGTGACGAGCAAACGCCTTAACCACTAGGCTACCCCACCGCCCTTATGCATTTGTACCCTTGTCTGACATCGAAATGTCATCGATTAAACCCATAGGTAGCAAGGTTCAAATTTAACCCCCATGACCCTGTTTGCAGCGCTACGAGATCGTAAGCCTAGATTAAATCGCGTGACTTAAGGTCACCTTTGTGCTGAGATCGCTTTGTGGAGCGGGGCCTTTGGTGCCGTTGTACAAAGCGATCTTAGCGCTAAAGTGATCGTAACTCCCGTACCTTAACATGGACTTGCGACAGTCGCTAAGGTTGTTTAGTAGAACCTTATGCTCCTATAGCTTTAACTAATTGCTGGGGGCGGTGGGGCAGCCAAGTGGTTAAAGCGTTCGCTCGTCACGCCAAAGACCCGGGTTCGATTCCCAACATGGGTACAATGCGCGAAGGCCATGTCTGGTGTCCCCGCCGTGATTTGATGGAATGTTGCTAAAAGCGGCATAAAACTAAACTCACTTACTCACTTATTGTTGAGATGGGGAATATTGTTTTGCGTTAAAGACCTGTGGAAAGATCACCCAAGGACAAGGCAAGAGGGCAGATTCCCTGAGCACGTTGTGTACGAGATGCTGCGACACCGACTACTGCAACCTAGCGTGTGGACAGAATGGTGGGTATATAGGGATGACTTTTTTATCATTTATTGTTTAACGCCGCTAAATGACTGCGGTCTGTGAATAATCAAGCCTGGACCAGACAATCCAGTGATTGATGTCATGAGCATCGATCTAGGTAATTGGGAACCGATGACATGTGTAACCAAGTCAGGGAGCCTGACCACCCGATCCCGTTAGTCGCCTCTTACGACAAGCATGGGTTGCTGAAGACCAACTGTAACCCGGATGTCCATAGATTACAGATACCTACGTGAGTGTCATCACATACCGTTCGTGTTATAGTTTCACAAGGTATCCAACAAACGAAAACGTGTAAGATACGGTTTGAAACAAGGAGTTGCAAGATATATGGCATCTGACAAGGCTGGAGGGCAGTATTTTGTTTCTCACACACACTCAAATCTCACAGGTTGGTAAATAGTTGTCTTATGGGTTTCTGAGGGACGGTGGGGTAGCCTAATGATTAAAGCGTTCGCTCGTCACGCCGAGGACACGGGTTCCATTCCCTACATGGGTACAGTGTGTGAAGCCCATTTTTGGTGTCCCCCGCCGGGGTATTGCTGGAATATTTCGAAAAGCGGCTTAAAACCATACTCACTCACTCACTCCTATGGGTGTCTCACATACAGGTTTGTGTGAAAATGTCTCATTGTGGTTAAATCAGATGCTACTCTTGAGAACATAACTGTGTCCTGTGTCTGGGTGAGACAGATCAGTGCTTGAGAGCATGAGTAACCATGGAACATAATAGGAAAAATCATACACAGGATCTTCTTCTGTCGGATCTTGAAGATCCTCTTCAACTCCCAGGGTGTTTCCTCAGGGGAGGAACATGAACACAAACTCGTACATTGTAAGCAAGCTTAATACGTACCAGTTCCGGAAAACAAAATTCCGTGCATATATATCCCTTACAATAATTGATTGTTTGCGAACACGCATCGAGTAATTGTGAACAGCATTCAATTTTGGATTTGCGGTTGTTATTGAGTATTTGATACCCGGAAATGTCATTGCATGTTTTTATCCTGTTGTAGCCAACTATCCTCCAACAAAGCCTACTGTTTCAGCATCTACGACGAAAGCTATTCCAACAACTACTACTGCAAAGGTGATTACAACTACAACTTTAACGACCGTAGTTACATCTACTCCGACAACAATGACTACTACACCTAATATGAAAACTACCATCACCGCGAAGACAATGAGTACGACGTCGAAATCAGTGCCCACACCGACAACTACTGCATATTCATCAAGTACTTCTACGACCGCAACGTCAACAGTCACAGACACATCTACTATTACAACGCCAACTTCGACAGCCGCATCAACATCTACAGTTTCAGCTACGCCAATGACCTCGACAGAGACGACATCTTCCACCACTTTTCAACCCACCACTGAATCTAGTGCCTCGCCAACATCAGCTACAGTAGGCATGCAGACATCACCAACATCATCAATGTCCTCTCCATCATCTTCAGACACGTCACCGTCCACACAGGTATCCGCGACGACATCGTTATCTTCAGATACCCCACCGTCAACTTATGTATCTATAACAACAACAGCGTCATCAGCTACCCCAACACCATATGTCGATGCGTCGACGTCACCGTCTTCTGGCAATCCGACATCACCGTCTGTTTCCATGACAACAGATTCGTTTTCAGGCACACCGTCATCTGCATCCATGACAACAGATGCGTTTTCTGATACTCCAAGTTCACCATCTGTTGTCATGTCAACAGATTCACTAAGCACGCAACCGACACAATATGTCGATTCATCAACATCATTGTCTTCCAACAATCCGCCGTCATCGTCTGTTTCCATGACAACAGATGTGTTACCCGATACCCCACCGTCGTCATCCGCTGCCATGACAACAGGTTTGTCATCAAGCGTCCAGCCAGGAGTACAGGTCGATTCATCAACATCCTCGAATACAGACACACCGTCTTCATCTTTTGTTTCCATGACAACAGATGTGTCTTCAGACACCCCAGCTTCACCATCTGTTTCCCAGACGACAGATTCCTCATTAGGCACTCAACCAACACCTTATGTCGATTCATCAACTTCCTCGAATACAGACACTCCGCCGTCATCTTTTGTTTCCATGACAACAGATGTATCTTCAGATACCCCAACTTCTGCTCCTGTTTTCGAGACGACAGATTCCTCATTGGGCACACAACCAACACCAACACCAACAACATTGTCTTCCAACACTCCGCCGTCATCGACTGTTTCCATGGCGACGGATGAAATCACGGAAACCACTATTGCCGACACAGCAGCAACCGACACCACCACCACCACCACCACCACCACCACCACAACATCAACAACAACACGTGCTCCGGCTGTGTGTTATGAGTGCCAGTTCGAGAGTGACATGTCCCAGTGTAGACACTCACTTCGCTGTGATGAACACCATCCGTCGGGAAAAGATTACGTAAGTCACTTCGGAACTTAAGCTTCATACGTAACTAAGTAACGCGGACAGTTGTGTCTTGTGAGTATTAGATTTACATACCCTGCAAAAAATACTCACATGGGCAAAACATTTGTTCGGTAAGGTCATGGCTGACCTTGACCCTTGTGTTAACGTTACCTTGCCCTTTTCGCGAACATTGATATCATCATTGAAGAAAAATACTCACATGGGCAAAACATTTGTTCGGTAAGGTCATGGCTGACCTTGACCCTTGTGTTAACGTTACCTTGCCCTTTTCGCGAACATTGATGACATCATTGATTGTCAGTAATTCATGCATGGTAGCAGCACATACCCGAGACTGAGTATAGTGTCCCTATTCATATAGTCATGAAAACGAATAAGGGAACACATGAAGGTGCAAGTGTTCCTTTATGTATTCCCAGAATTTCACCCACAGTGCAATACATACCTTGTGAAGAAACCTGGAAAGGAATAAAGGAACACTTGTACTGTCATGTATTCCTTATTCCTTTCCATGACTAGGCCTCTATGCACTAACACAGGTACAAATCAGTCATCCTAATTAGTTTCAGAGACAAACTAACAACCTTTAATATCTGTGTAAAGGGTGACATGAGAACCCACAATCGACTAGGACAACGGGCTACATAGTCATCAGGCTCAACCCGTTTGTAATGAAACGATCCAAGAAGGGTTTAAATGACAGGGGTCTTTAAATAACCGTCCGCATTAGACAATCCTGTGATTGACAATTAATGATCGGCGTCCTTCATCGTCCGGCCACTGGTGATAAGATTTTAGCTCAAAGCGATAGTTTTATCGCACGGTGGTTTTTATTGTATTTCATGGAGTTCGAGTACTTGAATGTTCAATTTATATTTCAGACATGCTTTTCGGGTAGAGTTCAAGATAATGGATGCTACTTTACTGCTGCTTGTATAGAACTGGAGGTGAGATTAACAACAGCGTTTAAGTTTTTAAGTTCGATCATAACAAATCAATACAACAATCCACCACCACCACCATCATCATCATCATCATCATCATCATCATCTCACCCATTCACCCACCACCCGCAGTAATGCAACCATTATGCATGATCACCAGCTAGAGCCCCCCCCATTCTACCCCTCCCCCAGGGCTTCATGCCGTGACACTCATTACACAACCATCCATCATCACATCCACTAATATACCCACCCGACAACCACACAACCCGATATCGTCATTATCCACCGACCCTGATATCATCACCATCCACAAATGCACTCAGCTCACAACCAACCGCCATAACATCACCATCCACTAATTACTCACCTGACAACCACACAACCTGATATTGTCATTATCCACCGACCCTGATATCATCAACATCCACTAATACTCACACCTCACAACCAACCGCCATGATATCATCACACCCACTAATACCATCACCCGACCTGATATCATCATTATCCACCGACCCTGATATCATCAACATCCACTAATACTCTCACCTCACAACCAACCGCCATGATATCATCACACCCACTAATACCATCACCCGACCTGATATCATCATTATCCACCGACCATGATGTCACACCAACTAATACCATCACCCTACAACCACACGACCTGATATCATTATCCACCGATACAATCACTCTACAACCAACCACCATGATCACTGAACCGGAAGTCACTATACTCTATTGTCCATCTATGGCAACTGCACCACCAACACCGCATATTTCTCTCACTTTCTACATTTCTCTAAATCTCTGTATATGTTCCCAGGCATGCTCGGTCCTGAGGAATACTACAAAGAACGGAGACAGCATCACCTTCGAGGGCAATCAGTACGACGACGTTGAGTGCTGTGATGGCGTAAACTGTAATCACAGAGACCTTGTAATATCACCAGAGCTCCACGCACTGCACCACTGTGACGAACTGGTAAATCCTTGACTTGGACTATAGATTGACGGATTGGTAAATCCTTGACTTGGACTATAGATTGACGGATTGGTCAATCCTTGACTTGGACTATATGTAGATTGACGGATTGATCAACCTTGACTTGGACTATAGATTGACGGATTGGTCAATCCTTGACTTGGACTATATGTACATTGACGGATTGGTCAATCCTTGACTTGGACTATTGATTGACGGACTGGTCAATCCTTGACTTGAACTATATGTAGGTTGACGGATTGGTCAATCCTTGACTTGGACTATAGATTGACGGATTGGTCAATCATTGACTTGGACTATAGATTGACGGATTGGTCAATCATTGACTTGGACTATAGATTGACGGATTGGTCAATCCTTGACTTGGACTATAGATTGACAGATTGGTCAATCCTTGACTTGAACTATATGTAGATTGACGGATTGGTCAATCCTCGACTTGAACTATATGTAGGTTGACGGATTGGTCAATCCTTGACTTGGACTATAGATTGACGGATTGGTCAATCCTTGACTTGGACTATAGATTGACGGACTTGTCAATCATTGACTTGGACTATATATAGATTGACGGATTGGTCAATCCGTGACTTGGACTATAGATTCCTGTACAAGAAGCTTCATTTTGGGTTGGCTCATTACATCATTACCATTGCTTTATCATTGGAAATAAAACGTGATTGTGACATGATTACGTCCCTTGTTTTTTGCACTGGTCTTACGCATTTGTGACGGATATTTACAAGTTTCATTTTGGATTGGGTCATTACATTATTGCCATTCCTTTATCATATGAAAGAAACGTGATAATTGTGACATTGTTACGTCCCTTGTTTAAGGAGGGGCCTTGTGAAAGTAAATCGACCACCACTTTGAACAGCTTTTGGGTGTCGCCTTCGTGCCGGAGGAAAATGATGCGTGCCTCAGACATTTATCATTTTGGTGGAACCCTCAAATACTGACATGCACTGACAAACCACGCACCGAACTAGTGACATAAAACATTGTCGTCTTATGTCACAGTTGTTAAAAATAGTTTTTAAGGAACTGAACGAAAGAGAAAAAAGAGGTAGAAGCAAACTTTCTATCTAGGTAATCTATCACTGATGATGTTTATTACGAATCATCCATGTTCTTTTGGCTGATAATGTCTGCATTGTACAGATTGCTGTGAGACCCAACCAGAATTCCTTGAAAGTTTTTTAAGCACATTTGTCAGAACAGTTTTAGTATGTGGCTCAAAGAGCTATATCTGTAACTTTAAAAAGGAATGCTATCTGTACGCGAAAGTATAATCTAGAATATGTCCACACCTCTCCGCTACTTCAGATAGGATCTAGGATATAGGCCGTGTGACCATCCCTGTCACCGTTGTATGGCCTAGAGATAGGTCGTCTGTGTGGTCGTTCTTTGTCATTGGTCAGGGCGTGCTATTTGTTCCCTGCACTGCCGATGGGGGTATAGCCAAGTAGTTGAAGCGTTCGCTCGTCACGTCACGAGATTAAGTGAATGTGTGAGTTTAGTTTTACGCCGCTTTTAGCAATATTCCAGCAATATCACGGCGGGGGACACCAGAAATGGGCTTCACACATTGTACCCATGTGGGGAATCGAACCATGGTCTTAGTCGTGACGAGCGAACGCTTTAACCACTCGGCTACAAATTTAGGAATTGATCCGTGGTATTCTTCGAAATTATGTTCAGGGCCCTGTTTTGTTAATAAACCATGCAAAAACATGTCGCCACTCACCACTGATGTGAAATATTTTCATGTCTTTCAGATTGTTTGGACAATTTTGCTCAGAGTTACGTCTCCGATATTTATCGATAATCGATCGATATTTTTTTTTACGATTACGATCTATACCGATAGCAAGCCCTAATGTGAATTAAACTGCAAATCAAAACTGAAAATAAGGGTGAACATTGGATTCAAAACAAGGTTTCTTGGACTCCGGCTCCTTAGAGGGATATTGATGAATCTTTTCACTGTAGGTTCCCTAAGTGACTTGCCACCTGCGATCATTGCAGCAGGAATTTTCTATCATTATTATTTGGTGTTTCTAACTTAACATTTTTCTTTTTGGTCCGAAAAGATTAAGGTACCTTTGTCATGTTACGAGGTACATGTGGCAAATTCAGTAAGCTCTAACAATCGTTAAACCGCCTCCGTGTTGTAGTGGTAAGAGCGTCCGCCCGGACAGCGGAAGGTCGCGGGTTCGATCCCCGGCCGAGTCATCCCAAAAGACGTTAAAATATGGTACTTGTTGGTCCCTGACTGGCGTTCGGCATTAATGGGTACAACAAGGACTGGTCGGCTCGGAGTCAGTATAATGTGTCTGAGTGGGTTATTCATGCTTCACTGCGGCATGGTATCTCAGTGGGCTAGCACTATAAAACCAGCTTAAGTCTGGGCTAGTACAAGCAGCCGCACATACACATACACACGCATGCACGTCGTCATATGAGCGAAATATTCTCAAGCACGACGTTAAACCCAATTTCACCTCACCTCACCTCTTCCTTCATGGTTATTTCATGACGTCGTTGAGGTTTTTATCTACATTAAACGTGAGGAAATTGAACAAATCAATATTTTGTGACACGTTAGTATAATAAGCAAGGAGATGTCAGATAGGATCGATGGAATGAAGTTAGTCTGTCGACAGAGGTAATTTCCAGTGCAGTTATTTTGGACATATGCAGTTATCTGTTCGGTGAACATAGTACGTGAGTTTAGTTTTACGCTGCTTTTAGTAATATTATACTGAACAGCAAAAGAAACGCAAGTCTGACTTTTTTATCACTTTACCGTGAACGTTCCATCAACATGAACGCTTAATTTTATGAGATTTTATTTTTTCGAAACTTGCGTTTCTTATGCTATTCAGTATATATTGGCTTCGGTTATTTACAAACCAACCAACCATACAACCATCCGACCTTCTATCCATGCAACCAATCAATCAATCAGTCAGCCAATAAGTGAGTCAGTCTTTATTCAAGAATGAAGGCCTCTGGGCCAATATACATTAATATTTACAGCATAAAGATAACGAAGGTTGAACATAAATGTGGGTCTGCAGGCTAATATACTTCAGAAAACCGTTCAGTTAGTAATTCTTTTCTTCTTCTTTTCTCAGCATTTTCAAGCCCTGTGTTCTATTTGTTGAAAGGCATTAAATTATCTTAAAGTTAAATATATTTGCAGTTAGGTTATCAGGTATATATTTCATAGTACTTTCATCATGTAATGGACATATAAACGTACATCAATATACATATCTGGCAAGTTCTCAACGTTGGATCAATCTTTTGCCATTTCCCTTCGTTTTATTTCAAACATACTTCGTTTCAAAAGCTTAGACCCACTTAAAACACTCACTATATGTTATGTATATGTATACGGATACATCGAAGATTGATTTCTCCACTAACTTAGGGGAACCAACTGCAAACCAAACCGTATGCAGATGTATTCACGAGGATCATGCATCAAATCGTTGAAAAGCATGTATCATGCATGTGAACAGCTAATTTTTGATGTAAAGTTTTGTTAATAATTTGCCAATGTTCACTGTTTTTATCATTTATTGAACTCATGACAATAATCATTTCAACGTTACGAATTTGTTTTACAATACATGAGTTCATGTGTAAACAGTACCTTTAAACAGAATGGAATATTTGGCAAAATTTAGTTTAGAACAGTTGCCTGAAGCCTATATTTACACTAGTGAGTCTAAACTTTTGAAACGAAGTATATAACAACACTGTTCTAAATGAAACTAATCATCCCCTTTAAATAGTGACGACGGTTGGATGTTGTCTAAGTTACATTTGTCAGTTGTACAGCAGTAGAAGCAGGAGAATGTATTCATGTTCCCTTGCTTGTAATCCACGCATCGATCGTCATCAGACGTCTGGTGCCACCACTTGGTATTGCACGTAGTTCTGTCTGCACATCTGATGAACAAAGCAAAATCTTGCATTAAATAACAATTATAATACCATATTTGTCCCGCGCATATATCCATGTCTAAGCATGATCAAAGAGCACAAACAATCTGATTATCATAACCCAAGCTGCCCGTGAAGCGCTAGAGGGTTAATAGCCACATGCCTTTTCCCACCGGGTACCCATTTTCAGATTGTGAACAGTGGCAAATTTTAACAAACTCACTTGCCTAAGGTGAGACCACATGTATCACATGTGCTTCGTTGTGGGGCAGGACTGAGGTCCAAGAAACTCTCAGGAGTCAAGCTGCTAAACACTGTCACCCATCCAAGGACTCTCCCCGCTCAACGTTACTAAACTGGTTTGTGATCTGAGCCCAATTGCACAGGAACACACACCACCACTTTCGAATGACTTTACCAAATCCTCAACGATAAAGACTGACGACAAACTGTGCTACAACAAATAAACATATATCGAAACTATATATGTACACAAATACAGATGTTAGAGAACACGTATATGTGCTTCTTTAAATTTCGTGAAGTCAAGGGTTTCGGCATGGACATACACACCACGTTTGTGCATGTACTCGACAGACTGAGTGGAGCACATGAATGTCCAAACAGTCATGTCGATTTCGGAAGATTAATCGTTCGACATTTAAACGTTCAAATATTGAACAGCTAATAAACCGCATATCAAGTCACGACCTCACAACGTCAAGAGGCCATATTGATGGTCCGTGGGGTACTGTTAACGTCAGGTCACTTCACATTATCTACTGCCACCGTACCACCATTTCAGAAATGTTGAGACGCTATCAGGACAACGAGGAAGCTTGCCGATCTCCAGGTGGAGGACGTCCAAGCGTCACAACGCCTATAAGGGGAGATGAGGTAGCCTTGTGGTTAAACCGTCCACACGTCACGCTGAAGACCAGGGTTTGATTCCCCACTTGGGTACAATGTGTGAAGCCTATTTCTGGTGTCTCCCGCCGTGATGTTGTTGGAATATTACCAAAAGCGACGTATAACCATACTCACTCACTCTACATACGTCTTGGGGAGCGTTATGCTCAAGCCTGCATCATGTAGACGAATCGGTGGTTCCATGATGATTTGGGGTGATATATAATAAGTGCTCATCGGGATAAAAAACCCTAAGGTGTTGCTCATGGCACTTTGACAGGTGTGGATTACAGAGATTATATTCATACTTCAATGTCTTGGGCCAGTTTCCTCACTCGGTTGTAATGTCATTTCATCGGGTCTCGCCCCTACAGTGCATGTGTTGGATTAAATAGGTGGACGTCTACGCCGTGTGCCGAATCAGATAACGTTCATGATTTGGCAGCGGATTATCCCCCAAAGCTTCGATGCCTATTTAAGGGCGGTGGGGTAGTCTAGAGGTGAAAACGTTCGCTCGTCACGCCGAAGACCCGGGTTGGATTCCCCACATAGGTACAATGTGTGAAGCCCATTTCTAGTGTCCCCCCCCGCAGTGATATAACTGGAATATTGCTAAAAACGGCGTAAAACCAAACTCACTCACTCGATGCCTATTTCATAGACGTCGGCCATTTGTTGGTGCTCACGGTGGACATCCCTGTCAATATGTATGTGACTTTGTATATAATTCGTAACGTCAGCGCCATGGACATTCCACATGATGTTCTTATAGTCATGATATAGTCAAAATGGTACAATCGACTCTGCTTTTAGCAGTGATGTCTTGTGGATGTTGAAAGGGTTTTGTCGCTTCTAATCTGATGATATCCTCCTATTAAAGTATACATGGAAACTTTTCATTGCTGAAATCTTTTCAAATTTAGAAGGAACGCGCCGTTCCTTGTGGCCGATATATGCTTGAGGTGCCACGTTTATACCTACAGCTGTAGCAAGTTGTCATCTCTGTTACAGAACATCGTGAAGGCATCACTCAAGTTTACAGAAAGATGAATGGTAGGCATGGGGCCGTTTCACAAAGCGATATTGCGCTACGACTGTCGTATGTCTAGTGTGTTAAAATATGGGAGTTACGATCACCTTAGCGCTACGATCGGTTTGTGAAACGAGGCCAAAGTCAAAACATTGATTACACAACAGTCTCGTTTCCTGCTGACCGACTTCCGTCCTATTGCCCACCTTAGAACAATAACCAGTTCAGAATTTTGAGACCAATTCATTTAACTGGATACATAAATATTAATCAGTATTACTTGATACATCTAAGTACTTGTATGTTGCAACACTACGCTTCTTCTAATCCTTGCAAACACTTCGTACAGCGTGCTCTGACAACCGGAAATCTGGAAATCGTGGAGATCTCAAAACGAGGCTCTGCCGCTAGAAAAGTTTGGCGGTCCGGCACGGACTTGATATTTTGCAATCACATTGTGCGTAACAAAACTACACTGAATAAGCGCAAAAACCCCAGATAACAGATGTAACCAGTGAGCCAGATGAATTGTGAATCATTTTACGACCTTATCAAACAGGGGCAGTCTGTGACGTCTTAGTTAAGGTCATTCTGCCTACACCTCGCCATAAAATATAGAAATACGATGTTATGAAAGTTTAAAAATAAAAATTAACTGTAAATACCAATTTCTTATGAAACATGAAATTGGAATTCAGGGTAACCATAGTTGTTTGTGGTGTCTCTTTTCACTTTCACACGAGAAAATTCGGATCGACTGAAAAGTAGGTCATTGTCTGACTAGGTGAATGAGACTCATGTTTCGGTTTGAGGAGAACGTTTCCAAATCTCTCGCATCAGTGACAAAAATGATGTTCGGTGAAATATCGCTATTTCGGCTTATACCTAATGTTAGCTGTTGACCTTTTCGGATAAACAATTAAGTTGCATTTGGGTGTATTCATAATGCATTTGCAGGGTGCGCACCCCTGGCACATGACGGTTCGAAAGTGAGTCCATAAACACATGGTGAAGTCGGCTCTTCTTTTTGAAGATTCCCGTGAAGACCCGGATTAGAACTGATCTTCAGTAATCCATGCTGAGGTGACTACAATGTTCATCGTTAACTTTAATGTTATTAATGTGTATTGTTTTCTCGGTTCGGTTTCATAGAAAAACAACATAAGATGATCGAGTACATACCTTTTCTTGATATTAAAGGCTCCTGAATCAGCATTATCTACTTGTGTGAAGCAGTAAGGAGTTGCGCCACTGCATGTTTGTATCTTAGGCAAGATGCAACCAGATAATCCATCACAGTCAGCGTGGCAGATAGCTGCGAATCACAAACACGACAAAGGTATTGTTAACTAGGTTAAGAAAAGGCATTCCAACCTGGATGAACAAACCAGGTTAAGAAAAGGTATTAAAACCAGGTGAAGAGACGGTATTAACAAACCAGGTTAAGAAAAGGTATTAAAACCAGGTGAAGAGACGGCATTAACAAACAAGGTTAAGAAAAGGTATTAAAACCAGGTGAAGAGACGGTATTACCAGGTGAAGAGACGGTATTACCAAACGGTATTAACAAACAAGGTTAAGAAAAGGTATTAAAACTAAGTGGAGAAACGGTATCTATAAACCAGAGTAAGAAAGGGTATAACAAACTAGGTGAAGAGACGGTATTAACAAACCAGGTTAAGAAAAGGTATTACAAACTAGATGAAGAAACGGCATTAACAAACGGTTTTAACAAACTAGGTTAAGAAAAGGTATTAAAACTAGGTAAAGAGGCGGTATTAACAAAGGGTATTAACAAACTAAGTTAAGAAAAGGTATTACAAACTAGATGAAGAAACGGTATTAACAAACCAGGTTAAGAAAAGGTATCTAAACCAGGTGAAGAGACGGTATTAACAAACCAGGTTAAGAAAAGGTATTACAAACTTGGTGGAGAAACGTTTTTGCAAACAGATTAAATTACATAAGAAATAATATCACAAGAAGCCAGTCTCAACACCTGTTGTCTGCACAATAAATGAGGAAAGATTTAGAAAATTACCATTTCCATGTTGTTCACGAAATTGTCTTATGCTGTATGTCAGACAAAATTATGGCAGGAAGTTACTTACTCGTCATTTCTTTTCCAGGGGATGTGCCTGGAAGATAGATGAATATTTCATGTATGAGATGAATACAGTTTGGAAGTGATATATCTTCACTTTTATGTAAATAAAGTACAAAACTGGATATCACTGGATATCAAGTGCTTACCATGAGTCGACATTGATGGTGTGGTGCTTGTGGACGGGGACGCTGTAACTCCATGTCTTATAGTGCTTAATTCATGAAAAGTTGATGTGGCAAGGAGACTAGATTGTACCCCATTTGCTGTAGCTGTATCCGTATTCATCGACGGACTTGCGGGTGGTGCCTCACTTGAATCAAGGAATACTGTACTAATACGTGGAGGGTTTGAAGATGATGGCTGTATTTTGGTATCAACGACAGTTGCATCTGTGGTCATCAAAGGACTTATAGATGACGTCGCTCTTGCTGTGTAAAGGACAGGCGCAGCTGTGCTCATTGAAGGACTTATATATGGCGTCGGACTTGCTGTATAAAGTACAGATGTATTCATGCCCACTGAAGGACTTGTGCCCACTGTATAATGGACGGGTCCACCTATACTGATTGAAGGACTTATGGAAGGACGGTATTAACAAAACGGTATTAACAAACAAGGTTAAGAAAAGGTATTTAAACTAAGTGGAGAAACGGTATCTATAAACCAGATTAAGAAAAGGTATTACAACCTAGGTGAAGAGACGGTATTAACAAACCAGGTTAAGAAAAGGTATTACAAACTAGATGAAGAAACGGTATTAACAAACGGTATTAACAAACAAGGTTAAGAAAAGGTATTAAATCTAGGTGAAGAGACGGTATTAACAAACAAGTTAAGAAAAGGTTTTAAAACTAGGTGAAGAAACGGTATTTACAAACTAGGTGAAGAAACGGTTTTGCAAACAGGATAAATTACATAAGAAATAAAAGCCAGTCTCAACACCTGTTGTCTGCACAATAAATGAGGAAAGAATTTGAAAAATACCATTTCCAGGTTGTTCACAAAATTGTCTTATGCTGTATGTCAGACAACATTATGGCAGGAAGTTACTTACTCGACAAATATTTTCCAGGTGATGTGCCTGGAATATAGATGAATATTTCATGCATGAGATGAATACAGTTTGGAAGTGATATATCTTCACTTTTATGGGGTAAATAAAGTACAAAACTGGATATCACTGGATATATTTTGTTGAACGAATTGTAATGGTTAGCGCTATCGCTCGTCACGCCGATGGCCCGGAATCGATTCCCAACATGGATACAATAAGTGAAGCCCATTTCTGGTGTCCTCCGTTTTAATATTGCTGGTTTATTATTAAAACACTTCTCACTTGCTCACTCAAAGAATTGTGCTCAAGTGCTTACCATGAGTCGACATTGGTGGTGTGGTGCTTGTGGACGGGGACGCTGTAACTCCATGTCTTATAGTGCTTAATTCATGAAAAGTGGATGTGGCAAGGAGACTAGATTGTACCCCATTTGTTGTAGTTGTATCCGTATTCATCGACGGACTTGCGGGTGGTGCCTCACTTGAATCAAGGAAAACTGTACTAATACGTGGAGGGTTTGAAGATGATGGCTGTATTTTGGTATCAACGACAGTTGCATCTGTGGTCATCAAAGAACTTATAGATGACGTCGCTCTTGCTGTGTAAAGGACAGGCGCAGCTGTGCTCATTGAAGGACTTATATATGGCGTCGGGCTTGCTGTATAAAGTTCAGATGTATCAGTGCCCACTGAAGGACTTATATATGGCGTCCCACTCGCTGTATAAAGGACGGGTCCACCTGTACTTATTGAAGGACTTATGGATGGCGTCCCTCTAGCTGTATCAACCGGAGTTGAGTCTATGCTCATTAATGAACTTGTGGGTGATGACACAATTGTAGTATCTGTAATCGTTGAGGGACTTGAAGATGATTCCAAGCTTGTTTCATGAACAAAAGTTCTATCTGTGTTCATCAAAGGAATCGCAGATGATGACGCGATGGTTGTTTCTGTAATTGAAGATGATGCCAAGCCTATTGTATAAACGGGAGTTGTGTATGTGTTCATTAAAGAATTTACAGATGATGTCAGGATTGTTGCATAAATTTAAGTTGAATCTATATTCATTTAATGATTTACAGATGATTGTTGTATCTGTAGCGCCGCCATATAGCTGGAATATTGCCGACAGCAGCGTAAAACTAAACTCACTCACTCACTCACCTGTATCTGTAGTCGCTGAGGGACTTGAAGTTGATGCCAATCTTGTTGTATCTATGTTCATTAAAATACTTGTATATGACGCTCCACCTGTTGTATCAACGACGAATGTATCTGTAGTCACCAAAGGTCTTGTAGTAACAAGTGTACCTGGCAACAAATATGTGGAACACAATGTCAACAGTAGGTTTTCTTTCTAGAAAAGCCCGTTGTATATATAGTCATTTTTGATTCACAAAGGATGCATGTACTGCTATCAGTTGTAGGGATTATTGCTGCTAAATCACAGCTTTGGGGAATTATCACAGTCATTACATACGTCAGTTCAACCAGTTTACTCGTGTTTGTCACATGAGTGAGTGAGTGAGTATGTTTTTACGCCGCTTTTAGCAATATATCAGCAATATCACGACGGGGGACACCTGAAATGGGCTTCACATATTGTACCCATGTGGGAAATCGAACCCGGGTCTTCGGCGTGACGAGCGAACGCTTTAACCACTAGGCTACCCCATCGCCCCTTGTCACATAAGCAATCCCAAGTACTTCACCAAATGCAATATGTTATGAATAATGTTGAGTTCCTAATGGTCTAAAATATCTTTGATTGGCAATATTACGTGTATATCCACAAACATGAACTGTACCTGGCTCCAAAGAACACGTCTACATGGTTTTCGTTTGTAAAATGTAATTTGAGTTTAACAGTCAATAAACCAATCTGAAAAGGATTAACGCCAAGCACGGCTATCTCTGAGAGGTAACACACTGTAGTGTCAGAATGCAACATCTTATCAAACGTTTTGACTAATCGTTTTGTCAAGCGCAGCATATATCATAGATGGGATTACACTAAGTCTTTCTTAGTAAAATGCAGATTCTAGTACTTTGGGGGGTTAGGTCCCATCTGGGATTCGAACCCACAATCTAAGAGGGAGGCACGTAATCCCCAGCAAACAAAGGTAGCAATCTAACCCACTCAGCCAACGCAGCTTCAACAAGAAATAAGTCTGACAAATGGCAGTCTGCATTACGTACTTTGAGTATCCCATTGACAAGTGTAATTTGGCACGGCTCCCATTACTGAAGTACAATCACTTTAAGAAAGTGGTCAAATACAACATATAATTATATCTGGGATTATTTGGAAGAACAAGAATCTGTTGACTGAGACATTAAGTGCAATCTGAAATGTAACATGTTACATTTGATCACTTTCTAAAGGCATGGTGTATTTGTTTGCCAAGCCTTTGTACCAACAGTTTCCCCAAGTACACAAAGTAGTAATTAAGATGGTTTCAATTTGAAATCATTCATAAGTACCAATAACTTGTTATTTAAGATGGGATACGTTGAACTCCCAGCATGTTCTTTATATAATGACCCACTTAGTGAGTGAGTGAGTGAGTTAAGTTTTACGCCGCACTCAGCAATATTCCAGCTATATGGCGGCGGTCTGTAAATAATCGAGCCTGGACCAGACAACCCAGTGATCAACAGCATGAGCATCGATCTGCGCAACTGGGAACCGATGACATGTGTCAACCAAGTCAGCGAGCCTGACCACCCGATCCCGTTAGTCGCCTCTTACGACAAGCATGGGTTGCTGAAGATCAATATTCTAACCCGGACCTTCACGGGTCGACCCACTTAGCATTCTACATGTTTTATACCTGTCAATATGCCAAAACCATATGGAGACAACTTTCAGAATGGCTTGCAAAATATGCTGAAGGAAACATTGAATTCAATTGAAATAATGTATTATTTGGATTTAAGGGTATGAATAATAACCCTTTGAATGCAATTATTCTTAATACAAAATCTATGCTGTACAGATGTACGCAAACCAATTTTCAAACTTTTACAACAAGAAATATACAGATACTACCAAACAATAAAATTTACAGCATTCTCAAACTGTAAACAAGCAAGCTTCCATGCCTTTTGGTCGTCTCTACATATGCTTTACAGCAATGTGTAATGTTTTGATATGACATGTAAATGAAAAAACACAATCTTTTGTACATCTATATGCACATGTATTGTATTGCTATCTTGAAATGGATGAAAATGTAACTAAAAGTCAAAATAATAAATACCCCCAACCCCCAAAAACCCCCCACACAACAAAACAACAACAAAACAACAACAAACAAACAAACAAACAAACAAACAAACAAAACAACAACAAACAAACAAACAAAACAACAACAAATAAACCAGTTTCCCCAAGCCTTTAGACACACATTCTATTGAATTTTATTATAAAGCGTTTCTGTTGTCACCTACCATTGAGGAAACACTCATCATTGCATCTATCTCCATAGCAACAGCTGGCACACATTGTGGAGATCGTTTTGTCCCGCTTCCCTACCGGCAGCCCAAACTGACGTAGACGTTGACATTCCTACATCAGAACAGGTCAAATCTGTTATGACGTCATATCCGTAGTACACTACCCCAGTACATCGTTACATATCTGTTGATATTATCGAAGATCGGATATGCATTTGCAGACAAAAAGCAAAACCTTATTTAATGATCAATGACGGTACTTCTCTTTTTGATGCCATTTTTCTACGTTACCCCCAAAAGTGCAAGAGCATAAAATTAAACAATTAACTGAAGTAATTATGAGTGAGCAGAATGACAACACAAATGTTTGTTTGTTTGTGTGTGTGTTGGTTAAATCATTCAGCAATATTCCAGCTATATGCCGACAGTTTGTAAATAATCGAGTCTGGACCAGACTATCCAGTGATCATCTTGAGCATCGATCTACGTAAATGGGATACGATGACATGTGTCAACCAAGTCAGAGTGCCTTACCGCCCGATCCCGATAGTCGCCTCTTACGGCAAGCATGGGTTGCTAAAGACCAATTTTAACTCGGATCCTCACGGGTATATCTACTAAAGAGCGATGTGTAGTTAAGAGATATTCACTTGATATCAAATTACACTGAATATTTCAAATTCATGTTATTCAAGCCATTCTGTATTGGTTTTACAAGAATGTGACCGATCAATCAGATAGCGAGACTTAAAGCAATGATATCAGCATTTGTATCAGTGTAAGATCGATAAGCATGGATCTTAATATTGGCCCATTCTGGCAGATGGCTGAAAGCAGCCTGAAACAATAATAACTTAGTAATAGCTCACTGAATCACTAAAAAGCTCAATAGTAATAGATCACTAGCTCACTAATAGCTCATTGATAGCTCACTAATAGCTCATTGCTCACTAATAGCTCACTAATCACTAATAGCTCATTAGATAGACTCAGCTCATTGATAGCTCACTAATAGCTCACTAATAGCTCACTAATAGCTCACTAATAGCTCACTAATAGCTCATTGATAGCTCACTAATAGCTCATTGATAGCTCACTAATAGCTCACATTGATCACACTAATAGCTCATTGATTGACAGCTCATTGGTATTAGCTCACTAACAGCTCATTGTACTTAGCTCGTTTTCAGCTCACTAATAGCTCATTGATAGCTCATACTAATAGATTAGCTCATTGATAGCTCACTAATATCACTGACGCGTGTACACCTAATAGCTCACTAATCTATTGATAACTAAGTGCTCACTAAAGCTCATTGATAGTCAATGCTCACTAATAGCCATTGAAGAATAGCTCATTGTTCACTGATGTTTGCTCATTTAGTAGCTCAGCTCAATATTCCAGTTATACTTGATTTCATATTGATGACTTCTATGTAACAGTCTAAATGTTCCGTTAAGAATGGTTCTGTTTGTTTGTACTCAACAATAATAATCGAGTCTGAAAATAATCGAGTCTGGGCTATCAATCCAGTGATTGTCAACAGGAACATTGATCTACGCGAATGGATACGATGATATGCATTGCCCAAGACATGAAGCTTGACCACCCGATCCCAATTGGGATACAATGACATGTGGGATCAGCAAGCCTGACATGTGTCAATTGGGATACAAAGTCATGTGTCAACCAAGTCAGCTGACCACCCGATCCTGTTAGTCGCCTCTACCGACAAGCATGGGTTGCTGAAGATCAATTGTAAACCGCCCTATCTATTTATATGACGTCAGAGAAGCACCAATGTGATTGTTAAATTTCCTTCGCGGGTGAAATTGTATGTTGTCAAAAGTTCGAAATATACTCTAAAGATCGAAAAAGTAGTTTTAATAACGGGGTTTTAATTTAACGATGCCAATTAATTTAATTTGCTAGAGTGTATGAGTCTTTAACGGTCAGATGTTGATATGCATATAATAATGTGATATATTCTCAATTTCAGAAATATACTCTTCAAAAAGTACTGGAACTTCATTTTAATTTCGATTGAAACGGAGTCAAAAAAATGAGAGTGCATCACCACTTGATTTCCTTATGACCATAATTGTTTGTAAAGTAATCGCTCTTGTAAAGATGATTCGTGTATGACTTCAAAAATTTGCATGTGTATGATTTTCATTTTCAAACAAATAAAAACATCCACATAGAAACAAAGACTAACAACTGTGTGATGCAAGATGATTGTCAAAATTAATGGTGTGCAGTGATTGAAAACCGTCAAAATCAAGAATAACACCCTACGCACGTGTATGGGGCTACTGCGTTATGCACGTGCAGTCCATGCGTTGTGTTTAGGGGTGGTCATCATTAGAAACGATGTTGTGTTGATAAGATGTCTACCTTTGATATGTTTGTAAACGCTTTTTACATCATATCCAAATTGAAAGTTCAGGTTACCCTACTTTTTAAGAGCATATAATGGTCATCCCAATACATGTACGTGGTCACAAGCGCAAATGACAACAGGATATGTTGTGGCTTGACCCATTTCGTATACATCGCAATTTGAAAGTGGTTAAAATCAAATTGGTAGAGGTGTGACGATACAGAAATTTCACGATACGATACGATCGCGATATCTTGGAACGATACGATTCGATACGACGATATACTATCGTTAGTTATTTTCTTTAAAAGGGTGTATTTTGATAAGAAGTAACAGTGTAAATTTTGACATAACCGTCAGTTTCTAGTGAAGATTCACAATTTTAAGGTCAACGATACATATCAAGATACGAAAAAGTATCGATATATTTATTGTCAGAAAACGTATCACGATTATCGATACTACGATATATCGTCACAACTCTACGAATCAGTGTCATTCAGTCCATACCAGTGCTGTAAAAGACACCCTCTTATTTTCCTTGATATTGATTCATTCGTTCTTAGGGCATGAATTTCCATGCTTCCTGTTTCGTGTCGTTCATACATAGAGGACACTTAATTTTCAGACACACTACTATATTTAATAATGGTATTCAGGGTGGATTCAGTCTACCAGTCTATAAATTCCGACACGGATTCGTCATGGTAAAAGACAAATGGTGAGAATCATTATATGAATGGATCACTCCGATAAATGATGACATCCAAAAGGTCGGGAATGTCTGGCTTCTGTTGTAAGACAGAAAGGTAATTTCAAAAAAAAAAACAAAAAAAAATCAAAAAATAAAAAGCCTAAAAAACACAAAATTAAAGTGGTGTTAAACCAAAATAAATAAAAATAATAGCTATGAAAATTGATTAACCTTGGAAAAAAGCATGAAAATTTTGTAATAGTTCCATATAGAAGTCATGGAACACCGAGTAGGGTGCTTCTGTTGAATGGTGATAATTACACACAGCAAGCGAAAAAACGTTTCCATCAGTAACAAATCTGAGCTAAAAGCAGAGTCGATTGTACAATTTCTACAATAGCATGCGCATGTGTTTATCAATCACTATCGAATTACCATCAAATAGTGAATCAATATGAAACAGTGAATCACTATCACATCGTAAGTGAGTGAGTGAGTTTAGTTTTACATCGGTTTTAGCAATATTCCAGCAATATCGGGGGACACCAGAAATGGGCTTCACACATTGTACCTATGTGGGACATCGAACCCGGGTCTTCGGTGTGACGAGTGACCGCTTTAACCATTAAGCTACCCCACCGCACCATTATCAAATAGTGAATTATTATAAAAATAGTGAATCACTATCAAATATGGAATCACTTTCAAATAGTGAATCACTATCAAATAGGGAATCACTATCAAATAGGGAATCACTTTAAAATAGTGAATCACTATCAAATAGTGAATTATTATAAAAATAGTGAATCATTATCAAATAGTGAATCACTATCAAATAGTGAATCACTATCAAATAGTGAATCACTATCAATAGAGAATCACTATCAAATAGGGAATCATGACCAACTAGTGAATCACTATCAAATAAGGAATCATGACCAAATAGTGAATCACTATCAAATAGCCATTATAAAAAATGACTGATTAACAAATAGTGAATCATTATCAAATTCTAGGAATTCGCGAAAAGGTGACTCGGAGCGTATCATGGACCACCGGGGTGGAATCCATTATATGCAAATGCAGAGGACCATGGTGAAATAGTCAACATACCTCATTGGCCTCGCATCGTTTCTCATGTTTGCAATGTCGCGGGTCCCTCAGGAAGTGACAGCTGAAGCACAGGTTGCCCTTGCCAACTGCAAGTAATTTTAAGCCATTAGAAAATCATATTTCGTTGAGTGAGTGAGTTTAGTTTTACGCCGCCCTCAGCAATATTCCAGCTATATGGCGGCGGTCTGTAAATAATCGAGTCTGGACCAGACAATCCAGTGATCAACAGCATGAACATCGATCTGCGCAATTGGGAACCGATGACATGTATCAACCAAGTCAGCAAGCCTGACCACCCGATCCCGTTAGTCGCCTCTTACGACAAGCATAGTCGCCTTTTGTGGCAAGCATGGGTTCCTGAAGATCTTTCGTTGAAAACTTGGTATAATTAAAGAGTTGTCTGGAAGGTGAAGTTTGAAATATGACCACGTTTGTAACTTTAATTCACTTAAATACCAAGAAGCCCGAATTAATAAATTGTATTTCAGTCGCGAAAATGATGATACTCAACACAAAAAAGTTAAAGACCACCCCAATATTCAATACTTAAGTATTGTATGGATCATGATATGTAGTATTAAATACTTTAATATTGAAAATTGGGGTGGTCCTTAACTTTTTTTGTTGGGTATATATCAAATTCTGAAGATGATAAATCCTATATGTTACATGAATACCTACTTTAATGATGAATATGTTACTGTTTTCTGCATTAATATGTTGAAGCATAAATGTCGACTCAAATTTACATTTTTCCCTGAATTCAACAAAACCTAGGGCTTGATCATTTCTTCTCTGTGTTGAAAGGAAGATAGCCAATGTATGGCACACATGTTTTCTAACATATGTTATATGTGGGATTACACTTTCTCAGTAAAGTACAGATTCTAGTACTTTTATTGGGTTGAGTCCCATCCGGGATTCGAACCCACATCCTCCATTTTCGCGGTGGCTGAGCGGGTCAGGTGGCTGACTTTGTGTGCTGGCGATTAGGTGCCTGACTCTGAGGGTGTGGGTTCGAATCCCGGATGGGACTCAACCCAAGAAATGTCCTGGGATCTGTACTATACTAAAAAAGTGTAATCCAAAGTATAACATATGTTACATTTGACCACTTTCTAAATGTTATTGTGTAGTCACACATGTTTCCTGGCAATAGCGGAGAGGTTAGATATGGCAGAGCAAATCCGTCTCCAATCAAGTGATTGATATTATGAGCAAGCATGATATAGAATTCACATAAAAGAAGAATGCCCATCAAAGAAGAATTCCCATGATCAAGATTACACGAGCAAAGAAACACAGACGTAATATTTGATACTAGTACCAGAAAGAAACGTATGATGTGTAAAAATCAATAATAGATTGATATAACTAGGTGAGGTGAGGTGAAATTGGGTTTAACGTCGTGCTTGAGAATATTTCGCTCATATGACGACGTGCATGCGTGTGTATGTGTATGTGCGGCTGCTTGTACTAGCCCAGACTGAAGCTGGTTTTATAGTGCTAGCTCACTGAGATACCATGCCGCAGTGAAGCATGAATACCCCACTCAGACACATTATACTGACTCCGAGCCGACCAGTCCTTGTTGTACCCATTAATGCCGAGCGCCAGGCAGGGACCAACAAGTACTATATTTTAACGTCTTTTGGTATGACGCGGTCGGGGATCGAACCCACGACCTTCCACTCTCCGGCAGACGCTCTAACCACTACACCACGGAGGCGGATTGATATAACTAAATGAAATGATTATACTAACATACTCCCTGCACTGCAGCCGCCGCCATTACATAATCTCCCATGGCAACACTCCTGACACTCGAGTCGCTTGACGTCACGCCTACCGGAGACTGATCTCCCGACAATTGGAACATGACAATCCTGGAACACAGCACACATGTTATTATTCGAAGTATACTAGGGCTGGCTATCGATATACATCATAGAGATCGACCCCACCCCCCCAAAAAACCCCAACAACCCCAAAACAAACAACAACACAACAACAACAACAACAAAACAAAACATGCTTGCCCATATCCTGTGAATTTTGGTTTGGTTTGTTTGTCTTACGCCGCACTCAGCAATATTCTAGCTATATGGCGGCGGTCTGTATCGGACCATACATTCCAGTGATCAACATCATAGGCATCAATCTACGCAATTGGGAACCGATGACATGCGTGAACCAAGTGAGCTAGCCTGACAAACCCGATTCCGTTAGTCGCCTCTTATGGCAAGCATGGGTTACTGAGACCTGTTCTCACCCGGATCGTCACTGGGTAACCTGTGAATTGACTTGAGCATGAAGATACAGATCAGCAAGAACGGACACAGTTGATGGTATCTTAAACATATAAGAACAGTTCATGTTTTGTAAAACTCACTGCAATCCGTCGACAACCGACACTGAAAGTTCTCGTTCCATGATTCGTTGAATATTCATCTGTGTAACATTGCTGAAATATAAGACGATATCAATAGATACTGTATTGAACAATGAGATCATCCAATACCATGCTGACCAGGGTACCAGACATGGTTGGTTCAAATGCCATGTTAACTAGTACTTCAAGTAGATTTCAAAACTCTACAAGTATTTCAGATCGATTTTAAAAACGATTTTCTAACTATGGTCCGATGTATCACTAGGCGCGGTGTTGACAGTTTTTCAAATGTATAAGATATTGAGAGACTGTCTTAATAATGTAGATGTTTATATTTTAGACACAAAGAAGCACAGTGATGATTTAAGATTCAATGTAAAACATGTACGTACACTATTATTCACAACAGGTTTCTCATATGTGTGGATATATCAAGAGTTTGGCGATATTTCCTATTTATGTCTACATTTAAAAAGCGCTGTATTGAAATAAATGTTCAAGACTGGTATACAAGACTAAACAAGTCACATTATCTTTCCTTCTATAAATCATTTAAAACTGTCTTTGAAGCTGAAGCACATATTTTTCAGACATTTTACCTAAAGATTTATTAAGCCTGTTTGTTAAATTAAGATGTCAACTTCATAATCTCAAAGTCCAGAAGTATAGACAATGTAACAATGAAAGCGTAAACGATATAACCTGCACACGTTGATGTTTACATGAGATATAAGATGAATATCTTATTACTCTCATCTGTCCATGTTATGAGTATCTTAGAAAATTGTATGTACCTTCCATTTATATCAATAATCCCACAAGGATGAAATTGTGTAAGTTCTTAGCATGCAGTGACTTATCATTGATAAACAATGTTGCTATCTTTTATAAAAGAACCAAAATATTTAAATGTTCTCACTGTACAACCGCACCGTATTATCGCTATTGTGATGTACTCTGAGCTCGCGAGGCCTTAGATTCTGAATAAAGTCTGTCTGTCTGTCTGTAAAACATCGTGACGACCAGTGGTTCAGATATATCTAACAACACCAGGATTTAAAAGTATTTCAGAAAATCACCCAGCACTGTGTTGACCAACATTTCGGTATTTTACGGCACAAATCATTGACCAGTATGTCAGATACATGTAACAACGCCAGGATTGTCCAGTATTTCAGAAATACCACCCAGCGCTACGTTGACCAGTATTTCTGCGAGATGACGAAACTCTGTGTAAGAAGTATCGTTATGATACAAAATATCACTAAGTCTGATTTACATACATATTTGTCTCCGTCCCGTCAGAGAATGATTCCTTATTCACCATGTCATTTAGAAACAATCACACTTGTCCCGTCGCTATGTATCAAAGTTATCAAAGTATTTGAAGATATAAGAGGAATTCTGAATCACCCCATCATAAACACATCTGACGTCAGACTAATCTCCTGAGGTACCCCGTATGACCAGTTGACCCTACCTCATTATGTCCACACTGTGTGGTCACGTTACACAGATACGGTTCCTCCACACTTGGACACGAGTAACAGCGAGGACCACCTGAAATCAGATCCATGTCTAAAATACCCTTGACTTCTGTGACCTTACGGATGACGTCAGTAAACTAAAGTAAGGTATTTTATTGAATATATGCCTTGGGGTAGACGGTTGTTCGTGTGTTTACTTGTTACCCCAAAGCCCTGTGTTCGATTCCGAAGATAGGTACAATGTTCAAGACGCATTTTCGGTGTTCCCGGTGAAAGTACTGGGATATTCGTTAATGATACAATAAATGAAAGCTGTATTCATTAAAACCAGGCTTATTCTATCATTGTATAATGTATCTCTTTTTGTTGTTCTCGTCGTCATCATCGTCATCGTCGTCGTCGTCTTTGTCGTTGCTGTACATACCTGGGTCATTCACACTGACCGGAGCGCTTGGAACGCAGGTAGAAGCTTTCAGCAGAGATATAACTGTAACAACAAAGTCCAGTCAAGTCTATTAACGAACTCGTGACATTAATAAGAAAAGTGTTAATATATTGTTTCATTATTCCATTCAGTGTTAGAAGACCCATTGGCCCTGTAAATACAAACAACGGAAAATAGCATGGAATAACTTTAAAACAATCGGATGATTTACATTCCAGTTCAATATTGTATTCTTTCAATGATCATTCGTCTGTCAATGACACTCTGATAACTTTTCGTCTTTTAGTCCACGCGTTCACAGTTAAAACATATGTTCAGGCATCGATCAGCCATTTTGAAAAAGGCTTTGGTGTTGATTATATGTAAAAGATACAGGGTGGTTTATAGGAACTGTTTGTCTTGCTGCGTTTGAACACGATATGGCCCTTCTGAGGTATGCTGAAAGGCCATACCACCGTGATTGACTTAGGTCAACTGATCGTTAGGCGTTTAGACTATCTCTAACATTTCATTTCTTCTTCAATGAAAATACGCTGCAAGTAATCCCAAAATGCCCCCGCCATTACAAGCATACCATCATAAGGTTCATGGAGGTCATACGGTCAGCAAATTCCACGTTAGAAAAGATCCATAACATTTCCATGCTCATAAGAAACTATTAATTGGACTGGATAGCGAAGTTGGACGCCTTGACTGCACCGATGGTACTCATTATATTAACCATTAGTTTGCACGACTCCATACAGTTGGAATAGTAATGACTGCGGTATTAAGAAAACAAACACAATTAACATGGTCGACGTAGATAGACACACACAGAGACACAGACGTGCACACACAGAGACACACACACATACACACAGGCACATGGCTGTACCTGTGCAGCTGGTTACACTTACCAATGACAAGTATTATCCGGAACATTGCCCTTCTGTGGATTGTATGTGGCATCTGTTTACTTATATCGACCTTTTGAATATATCGACCAGGATACCAATTTAGACAGGATGTGTTCTATTTGTGTAATATCCTGTCATGTGCTGCTTCATGCGCAGTAGCGTCAACACATTATTCTCCTATCTTATCTCGCACTAGACCTGCAAGCTGTTTGTTCCTGTAGATGTCTTCACAACATGCATATTGTATCCCGTTCCAAAATTAGTGGGAATCTGTAAACCTGTTGTGACATATAAATCGACTTGTCTAAAATAAAGTCTGTTCTTCCAGAACTATCTAGATATGTCTTGTTTTGTTCGTATAAACGTTTGTTTTAAGATTATGATGTTTTCTGCATTCCATTCCAGACTTTATTATTTTATTATTAACAAACAAACATAATAAACGGTTGTATCTTCTCTGTCTGTAAAACATCGTGACGACCAGTGGTTCAGATATATCTAACAACACCAGGATTTAAAAAATATTTCAGAAAATCACCCAGCACTGTGTTGACCAACATTTCGGCATTTTACGGCACAAATCATTGACCAGTATGTCAGATACATGTAACAACGCCAGGATTGTCCAGTATTTCAGAAATACCACCCAGCGCTACGTTGACCAGTATTTCTGCGAGATGACGAAACTAATAAGTTTTATCGTTATGATACAAAATATCACTAAGTCTGAATTTACATATTTGTTTCCGTCCCGTCAGAGAATGATTCCTTATTCACCATGTCATTTAGAAACAATCACACTTGTCCCGTCGCTATGTATCAAAGTTATCAAAGTATTTGAAGATATAAGAGGAATTCTGAATGACCCCATCATAAACACATCTGACGTCAGACTAATCTCCTGAGGTACCCCGTATGACCAGTTGACCCTACCTCATTATGTCCACACTGTGTGGTCACGTTACACAGATACGGTTCCTCCACACTTGGACACGAGTAACAGCGAGGACCACCTGAAATCAGATCCATGTCTAAAATACCCTTGACTTCTGTGACCTTACGGATCACCTCAGTAAACTAAGGTAAGGTATTTTATTGAATATATGCCTTGGGGTAGACGGTTGTTCGTGTGTTTACTTGTTACCCCAAAGCCCTGCGTTCGATTCCCAAGATAGGTACAATGTTCAAGACGCATTTTCGGTGTTCCCGGTGAAAGTACTGGGATATTCGTTAATGATACAATAAGTGAAAGCTGTATTCATAATGATTAAAACCATGCTTATTCTATCATTGTATAATGTATCTCTTTTGTTGTTCGTCGTCATCATCATCGTCATCGTCGTCGTCGTTGTCGTTGTCGTTGCTGTACATACCTGGGTCATTCACACTGACCGGAGCGCTTGGAACGCAGGTAGAAGCTTTCAGCAGAGATATAACTGTAATAAAAATTCCAGTCAAGTCTATTAATGAACTCGTGACATTAATAAGAAAGGTGTTAACATATTGTTCGAAAAACTTTTGAGAGGGTTTCATTATTCCATTCAGTGTTAGAAGACCCATTGGCCCTGTAAATACAAACAACGGAAAATAGCATGGAATAACTATCAAACAATCGGTTGATTTACATTCCAGTTCAATTTGTATTCTTTCAATGAGCATTCGTCTGTCAATGACACCCTGATAACTTTTGTCTTTTAGTCCACGCGTTCAGAGTTCAAACATATGTTCAGGCATCGATCAGCCATTTTGAAAAAGGCTTTGGTGTTGATTATATGTAAAAGATACAGGGTGGTTTATAGGAACTGTTTGTCTTGCTGCGTTTGAACACGATATGGCCCTTCTGAGGTATGCAGAAAGGACACACCACCGTGATTGACTTAGGTCAACTGATCGTTAGGCGTTTAGACTATCTCTAACATTTCATTTCTTCTTTCAATGAAAAGACGCTGCAAGTAATCCCAAAATGCCCCGCCATTACAAGCATACCATCATAAGGTTCATGCAGGCCATACGGTCAGCAAATTCCACGTTACAAAAGATCCATAACATTTCAATGCTCATTAATTGGACTGGATAGCGAATTTGGGTGCCTTGACTGCTGCACCGATGGTACTCATTATATTAACCATTAGTTTGCACGACTCATTTAAATGCTACTTCCATACAGTTGGAATAATAATGACTGCGGTATTAAGAAAACAAACACAATTAACATGGTCCACGTAGATAGACACACACACAGACACAGACATGCACACACAGATACACACAGAGACACACACACATACACACAGGCACATGGCTGTACCTGTGCAGCTGGTTACACTTACCAATGACAAGTATTATCCGGAACATTGCCCTTCTGTGGATTGTATGTGGCATCTGTTTACTTATATCGACCTTTTGAATATATCGACCAGGATACCAATTTAGACAGGATGTGTTCTATTTGTGTAATATCCTGTCATGTGCTGCTTCATGCGCAGTAGCGTCAACACATTATTCTCCTATCTTATCTCGCACTAGACCTGCAAGCTGTTTGTTCCTGTAGATGTCTTCAAAACATGCATATTGTATCCCGTTCCAAAATTAGTGGGAATCTGTAAACCTGTTGTGACATATAAATCGACTTGTCTAAAATAAAGTCTGTTCTTCCAGAACTATCTAGATATGTCTTGTTTTGTTCGTATAAACTTTTGTTTTAAGATTATCATGTTTTCTGCATTCCATTCCAGACTTGATTATTTTATTATTAACAAACAAACATAATAAACGGTTGTATCTTCTTGTGGTAGCGGTATGTATTTGCCATAGTCTCATTATAAAGAGGGTGTTCTCACGCGGTGGGCGAGCTGGCTAAGGCGCCAGGCTAGTGATCCAGCGAGGTTGAGGTGTCGGGATCGAGCCTACCTGTGACCGGGTGTAAAAACCTTGGAGTCAACTTTGTGTGCAGACTCTTTCAGTGTTGTCACAACCCCTAGTGTACAGTACACAACCCTGTGCACTTAAAAGAACCCACGAATCCGTTGGTACATGGCTAGATGGTGGCCACATGAATACGTGCAAACACCTAGTTGCGGGCACAGCAAGGTGCAGTGAAAATACTATGACTATGTATCCCAGTCCACCCAGCTGTGAATGGGTACCTCGTTAGGATGAGTAAGCCACAATAACGCGGTGCGCCTAGTGGCTGCAAGAGTTGTATACTCCCCAGGGAGTAGAGATTGATAATACGATGTGCCATTGAGATTGACATCCAATTATCGAGGGAAAATAATATCAGCGCCTTGAGCAAGCACTAGTTGCCTGGATATGTGCCTTATACAAGTACCCTATAATAATGATAAAAAAATCCTTGGTATTGAATGTGTTTATGTGAAGTTCTTCTTACAAATAGACGTAAAGAATGTCATGAATCAGGACAAAGTATGCATAGACAAATCCTTTTAGTCCCAATCAGGTCCAATCAGACAATGATTGATTTCGTAATTTACAGAAACTTGGAATGATAACTCAGAACTATCCAGGTTCCATATTGTGTCCACAAGATGCTATAATCAATTAACTGTTTAACATAACGTGAGATGTGGTGCGGCCTGACATGCGTGTCTGGGCGTGACGTGGTAAAGACGTCTTGTCCAAGACGTGGAGGAAAGTCATGACTCATGGCTGGCCATTGCAATAGGGTAATGCGTTGTGTTCGCCCCTCACACTAATTCTAAGTTGCTATATTTTCCCATCAGACTGGTAGCTGGTATATAAAATATGTTTAACGCCTGTGATGTCTTTTTAGAGACATGATCAGAAGTTGCAGCAACCTTACGATTGAACCAGATCAGGGACGCAGTCTGAAGATATAATTAAGATACATATGGAAGTATTCTTGCGAAGGAAAATATTTAAACTAAAATGTCGAATGCGACTTCCACGAAAACAATCAATATTACCAATGTCTGATATTTATGCAATAAATCCTATTTGTTTTATTCATATATAATAATCTTATATCAGTTTAAAGCTGAACCTGGAACGGTTCTATAGATGAATAACAACATCGTGACATGACAAAAAAACAAACAGTTTATTCATGTTAGTATATTTGACAAACCTATACATAGATATTTTCAATACGTAGTGCACAGAAAAAAGAAAGTATACATTCACGCTTGCCGATGGCTAAACATATAGCAAACAAGATGTCACTCAATAATAATGCTCAGTAAATTATTTTCTAACGAATAGTCTTACATCGAACTAACGGATCTAACGAAATGTTTATGCCCTGGCCACTTGCTGCATGAATCGCGAATAGCGAACTATGGTTGTAACGATTTTATAAGTTGAGTTCGTTATATCCGTAGTTCACGGTATTTGATACGGATATCATACACCTTGCTCACGTACTATAGCCTAGTAACGTATTGATAGCGTTATCAGTTTTGGGTTTAAGATTTCAAGTGTACACTTTCCTTTGTCTTTCATTTAGGCTGAGGTTTACAACTTATCAGTTTCCCTAAATAGTGACGACATATATGGTGGGAAGCTTTGCATGTTACACTTGTGGGTTGTACAACAGTAGAAGCAGCTGAATGTGTCCTTGATGGACGGATTGAAGAACAGGCAGCGATTGTCTCCAGACGTTTGTTTCAACCACTTGTCATTGCACGTATTTCTGTCTGCACATCTGATGATAAAAAGAGAATTCTATTGAATACTTTCAAACCGCATAATGATCAAACAACATCTGTACGTATATAAGGTGTTTATCCTGTATCGGACCCGAGAAGATCCGGGTTAGATTTGGTCTTCAGCAACACATGCTCGTCGTAAGAGGCAATTAACGGGATCGGGTGGTCAGGCTCGCTGACTTGGTTGACACATGCCATTGTATCCCAATCGATCAATATATATGCAAATCTAAACGATTCCAGTAGTCTTCTCTATGAGGGTACTCATTCACAGCTGGGTGGACACCTTTTGTATTATAACATTTCCCCTGAACTGTCAATCTTTCTCTGTCTCTGTTTCTAATAATTGCTTGTGAGGTAATTAGTTATTGTAAGTGTCTTTGGAGAGAGGTTTTATAATTTGAAAGAACTTGTCCCCGATCCTTTTCACATTGTGAATAAAATATGTTTAAACTAAACGTGAAAATCCGGGTTAGAAGTGGTCTTCCGTAAACCATGCTTGTCGTAAGAGGCGGCTAACGGGATTGGGTGGTCAGGCTCGCTGTTGATCAATGAATTGTCTGGTCAAGACTCGATTAGTTACAGACCGCCGCCATATAGCTGGAATATTGTGTGGCGTTAAACAACAACCAAACCAAATCTGAGTGAGTGGGTGGGTTAATATTTAACGTCACATCGGCAATATTTCAGCCATAATGTTACGACCAAATCTAATACAAATGTATATCGAGAGTCATTACCGGATTGACTGCATAACTCATGGCTACCTGTAGTAATATTAATGAGTTATCTAATATCAGGTGAACAATGTGTTACGCATGGAGCTGCTGCAGATGCATGGATTCCATTTTTTTCATTTGTACATTTGAACATTCATCCCAAGCATCTGGTATGTACAAATGGATGAGCGCAAAATTAATTACTTGGTTAGCCATTTAATTGCCATAAAATCACCCCTCATCTGTTTAAATCTATGACTAAGAATTCAGAGTAACAAAATATTTTCCACACGTCCGTACTACAAAAACAGGAATAATTTAATGATCACATTTTCAATAGTTCCAAACTTCTACGTTGATTTCAAGTGCGTCATACGACTCTCGGTTTTAAGTTGTTTCATCAAGGTTACAACATTCAATGACTTTTCGAAATGTAGCACATCAGTGACAAAATTGATGTCCGATGTCAATCCCTATTTTTACTTCCCTACCATATTCTCTAGTGGATTTTAGATGAACATTTGACTTGGTGTTGCATGTGTCTGTGATGGGTAGTACCAGTAGGGCAGGATAAACTCACCGTGTCTTCAGCATCTGGTATTATTACTGACTGACTGATTGAGTTTAGTTTTACGCCGCTTTTAGCAATATTCCAGCAATATCACTGCGGGGGACACCAGAAATGGGCTTCACACATTGTGCCCATGTGGGGTATCGAACCCGGGTCTTCGGCGTGACGAGCGAACGCTTTAACCACTAGGCTACCCCACCGCCCCTAGTATTATTACTAGTGATGTTGACTTATAAATACATGATTATGATACAGTCCGTACAAATATTTTAGCACAGGTGTCTTACGATTATTAAAATCTATTTCTACGCGGTTTTAATACCATTTGTATAATGAAAGGGTTACGTTGTTTTTATTTATAATAGAAAGAAGAAATGATTTGAAGTAATACATACCGTTTACTGATGTTATAGCTTCCTGATGCATGTTTATCTAATACTGTGAAGCAGTAAGGAGTTGGGCTTGTGCACAGCTGTACATCGGTCCCTTCACATTCGATTGCTCCAGAACATTCCTTGTGACACACAGCTGCCGATCACAATCACACACATCGGTATAAAGTATAAATATGTAAACATAAATGCTAAAAATATGTAAAATAATACAAGAAAACTCTTAAGCTTAACTTCTTATATAGAATTGCGTGACAGTGAAGTCTTTCATGTTGTACAATGATAAATATCGTAGATGGCTGATGTATGAATGACGTTAATTACTAAATATAGTTCATTTCCATGGGAAGTGTCACTAATAGTGTTGGGAATTGGTGTAATTGATGATTGGCTCATTACAACCGATCAATCATCGAAAATAATTGGTTAGCGTCATTTATCAAATTTTCCTGGTTATGTTTGTTAATGCACAAAAATAAAGAAAAACATGTAGTTCTCTGTTTTTTTTCGCAAATTGCACAGAATGCATTTGCAAAATTTCACATCTTTAAAGGATGACTAGTGTGTTAGAAACATACGTTTCCTGGAGTTGTAAGATAAACTTAATCATGACTTGGAACGAGCTTGTAGTGCTTATGCAATGTCGAGACAAAATGAACCTTTTGAAAAATATTGTTATTGCAAACAAGTGGTCCAAAATTGTTTGTGTTCGATTATGACAAAACATGATCAATGCTTGGTCATTTTGTCATTGCGACCAATCTTCGATTATTTCAATTAATCGGACCACCAGTCACTACTACATACAACCATTTATTTATACAAAATGAGTCAACTGCAATCGGCACGTTATAGATATTATGTTGCAAGGTGGTACATAGGTGCAAAACTGGATGTCGTTCAAGTAGTTATATGCTTAAACACATACTGAGGGTCAACGCTGATGTTGTAGTGCTCGTCGGTGGTGATGTTGTAGTGCTTGTCGATGGTGATGCTGTAGTGCTTGTCGATGGTGATGTTGTAGTGCTTGTCGATGGTGATGTTGTAGTGCTTGTCGATGGTGATGCTGTAGTGCTTGTCGATGGTGATGTTGTAGTGCTTGTCGATGGTGATGCTGTAGTGCTTGTCGATGGTGATGTTGTAGTGCTTGTCGATGGTGATGCTGTAGTGCTTGTCGATGGTGATGCTGTAGTGCTTGTCGATGGTGATGTTGTAGTGCTTGTCGATGGTGATGCTGTAGTGCTTGTCGATGGTGATGCTGTAGTGCTTGTCGATGGTGATGCTGTAGTGCTTGTCGATGGTGATGCTGTAGTGCTTGTCGATGGTGATGTTGTCACTGTATGTCCGATGGTACTAAATGCAGGAGTAGTAGATTTAGGAAGAGGGCTAAAGTGGATCCCATTTGTTGTATCAACAGTAGTTGTATCCTTATCCATCGAATGACTTGTATCTGGCATCCCACTTGTCTCGAAGACGGTTGTATCTTTAGTCACTGAATGACTTGTATATGCCTCCGATTGTGCAGTATCAACGACGGTTGTATCTTCAGTCATTAAAGGGCTTGTATTTGACATCCCATATGTTGTATCTTTAGTCACTGAAGGAATTGTATGTAGCTCCGCATTCGTCGTCTCACCGACAGTTGTATCTTCAATCATTGGGGTACTTGTAGTTCTATAAATACCATGGGTTGAGGTTGCTGAAGATGTCCTTTGTGTCGTACTTGTAAAACCTGCTGAGAAACATATTGTCAGCACTACTTTCTGTTCTTTACACTAGTAACATATATACTCACTTTGCTTGGCAAGCGAGTGAGAAACCCATTTCTGGTGTCTCCCAGCGTGATATTGCTGCAATTTTGTTAAAAGCGGCGTAAAACTAAACTCTCTCACTCGAGAAGCGATGTTCGTGCTGCCGCAGAGGGATGGAGGATACCCCTTCTAAATCACAGCTATGTATGGGGAATGAAATTAGAGTACTCCATTTTACGCCCTCGTTATCAATAATGTTGGTTTGGTGAAGGTATTATAATCATATTTTCATTCTTCAGCAAATGGAGACCCGTGAAGGTCCGGCTTAGAATTGATCTTCAGTAACCCATGCTTGTCATAACTGGCGACTAACGGGATCGGGTGTTCAGGCTCGCTGACTGCGCTGAAACATGTTATCGTATCCCAATTGCGTAGACCGATGCTCATGCTGTTGATCCTTGGATTGTCTGGTCCAGGCTCGACTATTTACAGACCGTCGCCATCTAGGTGGACTGTTGCTGAGTGAGGCGTAAATCTAAACTCACTCACTCAACAAATGGAGGTATACCAGTTATGGGTAATGTGCTTCAGTTCCATTAGTACAAGCAACATAAATGTACCACGACTTTTAGTAGTGTGTTGGTTAAAATCTCATAACAACATAACGACAATCTGAAAATTTTAGCGACATTTATGGTTTTACCTGACCAAGGCCAAATACTTTGCAGTGGAATGTCAATATATTAACGCAGACTAAGGGTTTCGAGAAAGTCACATTATTCTCAATCTTTAGACCAACAGTCTTGTCAAGCGTATAAACACACATTTCATCGGACGTGTTTTGTTTACAAACAACATCATACAGCTGTAATACTGCTGAAAGAATTATCTGCTCATGATATAGCCAGAGTTGTACAATCGACTCTGCTTTTGGCAGATATTTCTTATGAAGGTGGAAAGGGTGATGTGGCTTCTATTGTAAAAGCCTTTCCGTTTTCACTCACCTTGAGGAGAACACACATCGTTGCATTTATCTCCATAGCAACAGCTAGCACACAAGGTGGAGATCGCCGTATCCCGCTTTCCCACAATCGGTCCAAATTGACGTAGAGTCTCACATTCCTACGTCAAAATAATTGTCATAGATTCACTGTTTTAGATTTAATAATTATAGCCCGTACAGAGAGAAGATCTAAAGGAGGTAATGTCCTGTACAGACAAAAATTAACGTGTATTGGAGTGACAGAAGGAGTATGCTTTTATGTCAGAAAATCCTCCAGAAATTAGCTTCACACGTTGTACCCATGTTGGGTATCGAACATTGGTCTTCAGCGTGATGAACGGACCCTTAAACCACTAGGCCACCCCACCGCCCCTACGTGTATTGTTATAGCGGAATCACGTTATACAGACTGATAACGTCATCTCACAGGCGTCGACCGTGACATCCCCATGAATGATGTCACTTAAGAGCAGCATAGATTGACAAGGTCCAGTTCGACACCCAGAGGTTCCACGGGGAAGCTAGTCAAGAAGTTGCTACATTCACGTCACGCCAGGTTGAAATTCTTTACATGGCGAAGTGTCAAGCGCACTCTTGTAACCTCTATTTATATTGACTTTGTGTGCTGGCGATTAGGTGCCTGACTCTGAGCGCGAGGGTTCGAATCCCGGATGGGACTCAACGCTAACACGTACTCGAACCTGTACTTTACTGAGAAAGTGTTATCCCAAATATAACCTTGGTTGCATCAAAACACTTATTAAAATGCACTGTGTATTCATCTATGATAAAAACTGGAATACTGCTGAAAGAGTGAGTGAGTGAGTGAGTATGGATTTACGCCGCTTTTAGCAATATTCCAGCTATATCACGGCAGGGGGACACCAGAAATGGGCTTAACAACATTGTGCCCATGTGGGGAATCGAACCCGGGTCTTCGGCGTGACGAGCGAACGCTTTAACCAGTTCTACCCCACCGCCCCCTGCTACAAGAAGCTTGAGAGAATAACTGCTCACCAATATTACATTTAGTGTACTTACGGCGTTTTCAACACACCCCTGAATATACTTGATGTCGTAGATTTGAGTCAACACCTTCTCTATAAAACAGTGCTGAAATATAATCAGTGCTCCGTTAAGCATGGTAAAATGCAGCATGTATCCTAAAATGCTATACCATAGCAATTGACTAAACGGTTGAACCTATTCCATATTCCAGCTATATGTTGGCGGTCTGTATATAATCGAGTATGGACGAGACAGTCTAGTCTGTCGTACAGACCCTGAAACAAATATATCCAAGAAAGCCCAAGCAAGTCTAGAAATTGTGGCAAGTCTAGATTTCCTCAGCTTCATTCTGAAAATAAAGAAAGTCTCAGGGCTCCTTTTCATTATATTATAATTTATTTTACTATGAACTTTTTTCAGTAAAATATTTTCATTTCAGAGACTAGTTGTTAGTCTAGAGACAGTCCAGTAATCAACAGCATGAGCATATGCGTCGATGTACGCAATCGGGATACAATGACATGTGTCAACCAAGTCAGCTGGCCTGACCACCCGATCCCGTTAGTCGTTTCTTACGACAAGCAGTCGCTGAAGATCAATTCTAGTCCGGATTTTCACGGGTCGACATGTCCAGACACAACACATTATAGGAACTCCTCTACAACCCAGTGGCATAAAGCCCTTCCATACTGCCACAACACTATACCAACCTCCACAATATCATGCCAACTCTCCACAATACCATACTAACCTACAACTATCACAACACTATAACACTATACATACTATACTAACCTCACATAATACCACTACCATAACACTATACTAACTCCACAACACCACACTAACCCCCATACATAACCATACTAACTTCCATAACTATACTATACCTCCACCAACACCATATACTAACTACAACCTCTATAACCTCCATACCCACTAACCACTCACAATACCATACTAACTCCTCCATAACATATATACTAACCTCCACAATACTATACCTCTCCTACCATATACTAATACCTCCACCATACCATACTAACCTCCCAAACTATACTAACAACACTCCATAATACTATACCTACTAACTCCACAACCATCACAACACTATACTAACTCTCCATAATACCATACCAACTCCACAATACCTATACTAACTCTCCACAACACTATACCAACTCTCTCCACAACACTATACCAACTACCACAACACTATACTAACTCTCTACAACACTATACTAACTCCTACACAATACTATACTAAATCCTCCACATACACCATATACCTAACTCTAACCACAAATACCATACTAACCTCCACAACACTATACCAATCCTCCACAACACTATACTAACTCTCCATAATACTATACTAAACTCCACTACAACACTATACCAACTCTCCACAATACCATACCACAACACTATACCAACCTCCATACAATACTATACTAACTTCTCCCACAACACTATACGTTAACTCTCACAATACTATACCAACCCTCCACAACACCATACTAACTCCCTCCACAACACCATACCAACTCCTCCACAACCATACATACTATACTAACTCCCATAAATACTATACCATACTAACCTCCACAACACTATACCAACTCCCACAACACCAACTAACCCCCATACCATACCAACTATCCACAACACTATACCAACCTCCACAACACCATACCAACCTCATACAACTATATACTAACTCACTCCATAACATATACTAACATCCAACATAACACTATACCAACCTCCATACCAATACCATATACCAACCTCCATACAACACTATACACATACTAACCTCCACAACACCATACCAACTCCACTCTCCATAACACCATACCATACCAACCTCCACAACACCATACCACTACATACTCCTCCACAACACCATACCAACCTCTCCACAACACCATACCAACCACTCCACAACACTATACCAACCTCCCACAACACCTATACCAACCTCCACAACACCATACTATACCAACCTCCTCAACACCATACTAACCATACTAACCTCCACAACACCATATTATACAACCTCCACAAATACCATACCAACCTCCACAACACCATACCAACCTCCCACAATAACATATACCAACCTCCACAACACCATACCAACTCCCTACAACACCATACCAACCTTCTCCACAACAATACTAATACCATACCAATCCATACAACACTATACCACTATACCAACCCTCATAACAATACCATACTAACCTCCTCCATACAACACCATACCAACTCTTACAACACCATACCACAACAACCATACCAACCTCTCACAACACCATACCAACCTCCACAATCTTACTACCACAACACCATACAACAACCTCAATAATACCATACCAACTCATCCACAACACCTATACCAACCTCCACAATACCATACCAACCTCCACAACACCATACCAACCAAAGTAGTAGTAGTAGTAGTAGTTGTGTGTGTAGAGACGGATGTTTTATTATTTTAGTGGTAGTGGTATCGAGTGAGGGAGTGAGTGAGGCAGTGCGTTTAGTTTTACGCCGCACCCAGCAATATTCCAGCTACATGGTGGCGGTCTGGAAATAATCGAATCTGGACCAGACAATACAGTGATCAACAATATGAGCATCGATCTACAAAATTGGGAACCGATGACATGTGTCAACTATGTTAGCAAGCCTGACCACCCGATCCCGTTAGTCGCCTCTACGACAAGCACGGGTTGGAGGAGGGGTGGAGTAACAGTATCTGAGGATGAGAAACGTGAACAGCACCAACCTCATCACCCTGACATATGGTCTCATGTTGGCATCGTCGTGGGTCCTTTATAAAGCGACAGTTGTAGCACACGTTGCTCTTCCCAACTGCAAGTACGTTCAGTCATTATCACTGGATTGTCAAATGTTTGGTTTAAAGGCTTGGGACACACAACAATGTCACCACATTAGTAACCTTTACAAGTCTGATTTTACGATTTAATTATTAAATACAATTAAATTAGATACAGTTTAATTAAATAAATTTGAAAGTACTTGACAGATCTGCAGAGTGATGGTATTAACGTCTCTTTATGGATTCAGATAACCAAACATACGCCCTGCACTGCAACCGCCGCGGTTGCATAGGTTGCCATGGCAACACTCCACACACTTGAGTGGCTTGACGTCACGCTTACTGGAGACTGATCTTTGCACGATTGCCGTGTAACATTCCTGGAACAGATCATATATACTCATGGAAACGAATAAGGGAACACCTGACCACACATACAACTGCAACGTTACCGTGGCGTGCCGACCGGACGAGGTAACTCCACCTTCATACTGCAGAACCCCTTAATCCGATAATACAACACACTTGATATGGATGTGCAACTTCTTGATTATTTACACACGACGTTTCTGGGCTAATACTTGCCCTTTAATCCGGTTCATGTTTCTTGTGACATTTGTGCCAAATATCCATTTTCGGATTTACTTATATTTAAACCACGGGTAATATACTCATGGAAACGAATAAGATAACACCTGAAAGTACAAGTATTCCTTTATTCTTTTCTAGGTTTCCTCACAAGCTTTGTCTTGCACTGTAGGTTAAATTCTGGAAATGTATAAAGGAACACTTATTCCCTTATTCCCTTATTCGTTTCCATGAGTATACATGCATTTTGTCTAGTGGCATTCCACACAGGCCCTCGTGTCTTTGCGAAGATTAAAGATTTAAAAAAATAAATATGAGATGATTCAACGACTCGAAATGATTCACAGCACAATACATCATATTGTGAAGCATTTCGAGTCGGGGGTCATCTCAATTGTTTTATATTCTACCGGACTTTGAAATTTACTACAAATCCGTCATTCATTGTTACATAGATGAAATATATTTGAGACGGTGAATTGTATTCAGATAATACCACAGTGCCAAAATCGCGGCCTGGAAATAATAATTGATTACATTACGTTTATGTTGGTCATTAAGGGCACTATTTGTTGTCGTACAGGTAAATCTGTAACCGTCAAACTCATGATGAGATTTCAAAACAGAGGCACCATTTAAGGTTGCTTTGTTGTTTAACGCCACACTTAGCAATATGGCGGGCCATATAAGGTAATAATAACTCGTAAAACTCACTGAAATCCTTCGACAACCGACGCTGAAGATATTCGTCCCACCATTTGTGGAATATTCATCTGTGTAACATTGCTGAAACATACATGGATAGAAGAAAATTACAAAAGTTATTGTGTTGACGGATTGACATAATCCAACACCATGTTGACAATGAAATCAGACATGTTGACCATGTTGATAATTAATTCAGATAGATTATAAGCGAGTGAGTGAGTGAGTGAGTGAGTGAGAGTTTAGATTTACACCGCTTTTAGCAATATTACAGCAATATCATGGCGGGGGACACCAGGAATGGGCTTCACTCATTGTACCCCTGCCTGAATCGTAAGAGGCGACTGACGGGATCGGCTAAGTCAGGCTCGCTGACTTGACAGATTACATGTCACATATTGGCTAGTATTTTTGACAAAATGTCCTGAACAAGCATCCATATTATGCAAGAGTTATCTATTTCTTGTAATCTGTCCGGTATGCTGTTCTCCTGAGGTACCCCGTATGACCAGTTGACCCTACCTCATCATGTCCACACTGTGTGGTCACGTTACACAGATACGGTTCCTCCACACTTGGACACGAGTAACAGCGAGGACCACCTGAAATCAGATCCATGTCTAAAATATCCATACATATAGACCTCCGTGACATTCACAGTAAACTAAAGTCAGGTATTTTCATTGAATATATGTCTTGGGGTAGACTGGTCAAGTGTTTACTTGTCACGCCACGGGCCTGGGTTCGAATTCCAAGGTAGGTACAAAATGTGAATCCAAGTTTCGGTTTTCCCGGTGACAATGCTGGCATATTCGTCAATGATAGCACACCTGACAACTGTGTTTATAAATATTACTTCATATTTCTCAAGCTATCCTTCTGTTGTTGTACAAACCTGGGGCGTTCCTATTGACTGGATTGCTTGGAGAACACCCAGAAAGTTTCAGTACAGATATAACTGTAACACAAAAATACACAGCTATTTCAACAAACACGTGACATATTTACGATCAATAACAAAAGTACTGAAATAATAGAAAGTATTTTGCGAAGAAATGTGATCAAAAGGGCGTCGGTCATTAATTGTAATTTTAGAACGAACATTTTTGGGGGCAGGATACGCTAACATTTTCTCAGACACCTGCAACCATTACTACGACAGCGATTCATAAATATATGATCATAACTGGAATCATAGCTGGAATTAAAATCGAATCTGCTAAAATTTTAGCAGGCTTTAAGAAAAAAAAATGAAAACAACTTGCCAGTTTCCACTGGGGCTATTGTTGATGGCTTGGCTCTTACCTGCGATAAGAATTGACCTGAACATGGCGGCTGTGTAGACTACAGGTGAGGTCTACCTCCGGTTGATCGTCAGATGTTCACCTATTATGACCTTATAAATATTTCAACCAGGATACCATAAAAACAGGATGGTGATCTATTTGTGTAATATCCTGTCAGTTGCAACTTTCTTCGCAGTTGAGTCAAAACCTACTTGTCCTATCTTATCTCGCACTAAACCTGAAAGCTGTTCGGTCTTGAGGATTGCAAAGAAGTGTGAAGTGAAATGGGACGGATCTGAAGACATGACGTGTGACCACAGATGATACCATTCTATCGACGTTGTAAACACCATTGTAGGCAATTTCTAATTGTACTAATTTTTAAGGGGAGGCACAAGTCGAGGAGCATGAATATGAGATGCATGTAGCACAGCATGAAAAGAAAATAATGGTCGTTGTCCGAATCATCATCAGAGTTGGTCTGTCGATTTCACGTGACTGTGCAAAATTTGGTTTTGTTGCAATTATTAGATTTTGTGTTAGTGAGCAATTCATCGGTCTCTAATGAAATCAAATGGACTGTAATCGTCTTACCAATAACTTGTACCTGATTCGCCATTTGAACTCATAGTGTTGATAAAACTTCATAGAGTTCATTTTCTAATCAGTTGATCATGTACTCATGTTTTACGACGCAATCGGAAACATTCTATTTATATCACAGCGACCAGTAAGATGCAGTTGATGATCACGGTATCGCTGAGGCCGCGCATTTTGTCCACCAGATATTCATCAGTCGGCACCATTGACGTGTGGTGTGATGTTGTTTGGTGTTATGTTGTGTGTTGTGTCGTCTGTGCTAGGGTAGGGGAGTGTTGAGGAGGTTTGTATGGTGTTGTGGCAGGGGTTTCCAATTGGATAGTTTTCCTGTAATGTGGCGTGTCGTTTGTATTGCAATGTGCAAATCATAGTCCTTTTATGCCCTGCTATTGAATGTAAAGCTGTGTATTAAGAAACAAAACCAAGCTTTCCTATATTGAAAACTACTTGTGACAATTTTCCCCGTGAAGATCTGGGCTAGAATTGGTCTTCAGCAACCTATGCTTGTCGCAAGAGGCGACTGACGGGATCGGCTAGTCAGGCTCGCTGACTTGGTAGGCACTTGTCATCGAATCGATGCTCATGATGTTGATCACTGGATAGTCTGGTCCAGACACGATTGTTTACAGACCACCGCCATAGAGCTGGAATATATTGCAAAACGTCAAAGAAAAAAAGGAAGGAGAGAAACAGAAAAGGAATTAAAGCTACAAGTCCGTGACTTGATCATTCTTTGACTTTTCATTTCAATCATGTATTCGTTGATACTTCAACTTCGAAATGTTACTTGAAGATATTAGGACCTTCACAGTTTATATGATACTTGTGTAGCATCGTGATAGGATGACGTGGTCAGAGAGTACAACATAGTCATTGTACTTATGAGGAAATAACCTTATGAAATATAACACGTCAGTGAAGAGAATGACCAGTCTTAACTATGCCTATAAACAAATTCCTTTTGGTGTAAAGGAGAAAAAACTGTGACAATTATATAAATAGATCAGTGAAAAATCAGTGTTGACGCCGGGTGTTGATCTTTTTTATTTCTAGTTCAACTGGGAACTCTCGAGCCATTATTCAGCGACATCATAAAACCAATTTTCCTGAAGAGAACGACTTAGGGCTCAAGACCTCTTGGCTAAATGCTCATGCAGAAACATCCCGAATTTGTCTCAAATTATGAAAACAAACTTATATTTATAACCCTTTATGCAATACAGTTCATTTTGTAAGCATAGTATTTGGAGAATAGACTTCAATTCATCAAATGTCAAACACGTATCGTATGTTAGACACCAGGATGTCGTCTGTTAAACGCAGTCGTTGTTGCAGTTGTCCACGTTACAACATTTGGCGCAAATGGTTGAAAGCACCTGGTCTCGCTTTCTCCGGTGCAAGGTGTCACACTCCTGCAAAATTGAAAAAATATCAAAATAGAAATGAGTAAGTGAGTATGGTTTTACGCCGCTTTTAGCAATATTCCAGCAATATCACGGCGGGGAACACCGAAAATGGGCTTCACACATTTTACCCATGTAGGGATTCGAACCCGGGTCTTCAGCGTGACGAGTGAACGCTTTAACAACTTTTAAAATTTATTACAGACTATTCAGAAAACTCAACAAAGGACATTCAGGTTACAGTTCAACAAGCATATGACTTACAAATTATGTGAACAGTTCATGACTTGAAGACCAAAACGTATAAAAGGCGCTGATATTACACTCCATTAAAGAAGAGCACTTTGTTATCAGAGAATAATGTCTAATTTCATTTTGGAAAAGATGAAAAGGTGGTACACTGTTTTTTAATTTGCTTCCAAAAATTAGGTTTTAAAGATAATAAAAATAATATTGAGAGGGTCATTTTTTTTATCTGGGAAACCAAGCAATATTTGCTTTTTTGTTGTTATTTTGATATTGATAAGAGCTTTACGAATTAGCCAGATTTCAAGTTTTTGCCAGATATGGTTAACTTTACTGCAAGACCAGAAAATGTCATCAAGTATCTCATTTTCGTCTTGGCAGAAACTGCATTTTGAATTCTTTATATACCCGATCTTAAATGCATTTATATTTGTCTCCCATTTTTGGCAATGTAATATTCTTATTGGAAACAGTTTGCTGTCATTGGTGCAAAATATTTTGTTCTTTTTCCAGTCGTCAGAAAGACTTCGTTGTTTGATCCCCGTTTTTGGCAATGTAAATTTTTGTAGGATCTGCAACAATGTTTGTAAAATCCCCTTTGCACTGAGGAGGTTTTATAGTTGCTGGTAAAGTTTGGTATGGTATTTTTGACAGAGTCCTAAAATCTATGTTAATTGTTTTCAAATATGACCTTGCTGATCTAATGAGACCAGTAAATGTTAGAAAAATCAGTTTTTAGAGTAAAATATTTTTTCAAAACTGCCAAAGCAGTATATATTATCATTTAAGTCATCGAACTCCTTTATCAAACCACTGTTTGTAAAAAACTTTTTTACATCCTACACAAATATTTGTATCACTTTACGTCTTGGTCAGCTTCATTCCGAGATATAAATTGCCACCAAGCAGTTGAAACATCCCTATAATATTTATTATGGATCAGTGGGAGACATTCCTCCGCCAGATATCGAATACACAACCAGCGCCAAACTTTGGGAAATTAGAAATAAATAGATAGCACCAACTGGACTTACGTCTGAAAAACCTTTTGACCATTGATAGTTTCTGAGCCTGCATTAATGTCTTTATATTTGGCATATTAAATCCTCCATCTTGTTTGTCACAGATAATTTGGCTTCCCTTAATTTTATCAGGTTTATTGTTCCAGATATATTTAAAACATTTCTGTTGGAATTTATTTGTAGTTTCATTATCTGGGTCAGGAAGCGTACTAAATAAATGTTTTAGCTTTGGGATGATCAAAGATTTTAAAACAGTGTTTCTTCCAAATTTAGTCAGATTACGCGCAGACCATATGGACATTAACGTTTCACAGCGTCTTATTTTTTCTTTGTAATTTATCTCTACCATATCATCTATGTCTTGAGTAAAAGTGATTCCAAGAAGACTAAAGTCATCCTGGTCGCAGTTAAGATTTAGTTCTGAACATAGTTTCATTTTTTAATCTTTTCTTTGATCCTATCCAAATGAGGCGTGTGTTGTCGATGTTAACCTTCCAACCTGAAAATCTGGCGAAGAAATCTAGCACATTGAATACTGCATAGATACAACGTTCTGGACCACCCAAGGCATATGTTGTGTCGTCAGCGAATTGATTCAGTAAATATTCAATGTTTCCAATCGAAATATCCTTGATATTTTTGTTGTTTCGTATCCAAATTGCTAATATTTCCGCACATAAGATAAAGATATAGGGGGAGAGTGGATTTCCTTGGCGACAACCTCTTTGAATATCAAACATATCCGTTCCATAACCATTAATAAGAACATCTGATTCAAAACCTTGATGTAGAATTCTGAACCATCTTCGAATTGATTCGCAAAAGTTGAAAAAGGATAATGTTTTATCAATAAATGACCATCTACCGTATCGAAAGTTTTCCAAATCAATAGGTAACAGAAGACCTGGTATTTGATGGAATTCTGTATATTCCATTAGGTTGTAAATTAGTCTTGTAATTTCCCTGATATATCTGTCTGACATGAAACCTTTTTGATCATCATCTATCAGTTGAACAAGAACTGAATCTTCAACAATGAAACATATGATAAATTAGAATTCAAAGTGCTTTTCTTATTATCTATATGTGTTGATGAACCTGTGCTATATATACAAATTGTATATATAGCACAGGTCAGTTTACAATATAGGTTGCAATTCATATATCATTATTTGAGACTTACAGCAATGCAGTGAGTGAGTATATATTTACGCCGCACTCTATAATTCACGTCACATCGGAAGAATTTCGAACATATCGTTTCGAGTGGGTGAGTGACTTTAGTTAGTTATACGCCGCACTCAGAAGTATTCCAGCTGTATGGCGCCGGTATGTAAATAATCGAGTCTGGACCAGACAATCCAGTGATCAACAGCATGAGCATCGATCTGCGCAATTGGATACAGCAACACAGACAAGCAAACCAAAAATATAGATATTTATGTCAGGAAACAAAATACTGTCAGGTATGCAATACAGAAATGATATTATGGTTACCCAAAAGTAAATACAAGGGTATATAAGAAAAATGTATTTCAAGTTATGATAATAGAAGAGAAAACTGTGAGACACGTTCTATCCATAATCCACAGCAAACGACATCTTAGCCTGCATAAGATTTGATGACAATCTGAGTACTGCTGAAATCTGAATTAGTCAGAATAACGCATCGGTAATTATATGCAGATCAAATATTAACGACCGTCTCCGTGGTGTAGTGGATAGAGCGTCCCCCCGGAGAGCCGAAGGTCGCGGGTTCGATCCCCGTTCGCGTCATACCAAAAGACGTTAAAATATGGTACTTGTTGGTCCCTGCCTGGCGCTCGGCATTAATGGGTACAACTGGCTCGGAGTCAGTATAATGTGTCTGAGTAGGGTATTTATGCTTAACTGTTGCATGGTATCTCAGTGGGCTAGCACTATAAATTTAAAACCAGCTTAAGTCTGGGCTAGGATAAGCATACACACGCATGCACGTCGTCATATGAACGAAAAGTGCGACGTTAAACACGATTTCACCTCAACCTCACCCATTTAGTGAGTGAGTTTAGTATTACGCCATTTTGAGCAATATTCCATCAATATTACGGCGGGGGACACCAGAAATGGACTTCACACATTGTACCCATATGTTCAATCGAACCCGGGTCTTCGGCGTGTCGAGCGAATGCTTTAACCACTAGGCTTCCCCAACGTCCCCGGTCCTATTCAGACATGTGGTTAATATGACTGACTTTCACATATACTCAGTACAACTCCCTTAGCCTCAAGCAGCAGAACCCGTTAAGGTCAGGGTTAGAATATTAATCTTCAGTAACCCATGCTTGTCGTAAGAGGCGACTAACGGGAACGGGTGGTCAGACTCGCTGGCCTGGTTGACACATGTCATCGGTTCCCAATTGCGTAGATCGATGCTCATGCTGTTGATCACTGGATTGTCTGGTCCAGACTCGATTATTTACAGACCGCCGCCAGCTGGAATATTGCTGAAACTAAACTCACCTACTCACTAAAGCAACAGCAACATGGAGTGGATTTTTTGGGACTTATTTACCTGAGTTGATCTACATGTTGTCGTCTTGTAGCAAAGTCTAGGATCACTGACGAAGTCACAGTTGTAGCAAACGGTGCCTTTCGCAGCTGGAAACAGATGGTGAAGAGAACATGATGAAGACAAATTCATCACGTTGAGGAAGTGTTTGACCAATCACGACTTTGAAACATCATGGCGTGTCAACTAGGTGCTTCAGCTCTTTAAGGCCTTTAACACCTTGGTGAGTGAGTGAGTGTATTTAGTTTTACGCCGCACTCAACAATATTCCAGCTATATGGCGGCGGTCTGTAAACAATCAAGTCTGGATCAGACAATCCAGTGATCAACATCATGAACATCGATCGCAATTGGGATACGATGATTGTGTCAACCAAGTCAGCGAGCCTGACCACCTGATCCCGTCAGTCGCCTCTTACAACAAGCATAGGTTGCTGAAAAGCAATTCTAACCCGGATCTTCACGGCTTTTAACACCCTGGTGAAACGGTCTGTATATGAAATTGCAAATATCGTAGATATAAGAAAAATTATTAATGATTATCCATATGGAAATTGTGTTATCGATAATATTGAACATTTGTTTTTGTGACAGAAACAAGGTTTAATTTTGCCACACAATATACAAATTTAGGAATTGATCCATGGTATTCTTCGAAATTATGTTCAGGGCCCTGTTTTGTTAATAAACCATGCAAAAACATGTCGCCACTCACTAGTGATGTGAAATATATTCATTTCTTTTAAATTGTTTGGACAATTTTGCTGAGAGTTACGTCTCCGATATTTATCGATAACCGATCGGGTTTTTTTATTACGATAACGATCTATACCGATAGCCAGCCCTAATGTGAATTAAACTGCAAATCAAAACTGAAAATAAGGGTGAACATTGGAGTCAAAACAAGGTTCTTTGGACTGCGGCTCCTCAGAGGGATATCGATGAATCTTTTCACTGCAGGTTCCTTCTTGGCCAGGAGCATTAGACACAAACAATGGGTAACATTGGAAAAATAGAAAGCTGAATTTTTCAGGAAAGCTTCAGAACATCATTGCCATGTGCAAGATACAAAGTTCTGTAAATTCTACCTTGTGGCATTTTCAAAATGGCCGCCAGTTTCAAGATGGCCACCAAAATCATTAAAATGATTATGCAAACAGATATTTTGTCAATAATTATGCCATGTGATATATCAAATGAAAGCTCATTTCACAGGGATTCTAAATATATTGCTATCATGCCTTGTGGCATTCTCAAAATGGCCGCCAATTTCGAAATGGCTACCATTGTCCTTAAAGTAATCAAAATAATCTCACGAAAATATTTCTTTTTAATTAACCATACCTTGTGATACATTAAAAGAAAGCCCTTCTCACAAGGAATCTAAATATATCACTTTTAACACCACACATACATAAGACAATTAATTATGGCATGATAAAAACACACTTGATGCTTGTGCTTTTGGTACCAGACGTCAAAATGGTAATGATGTTCTAAAGCTTTCTTGAAAAAATCAGCTTTCTACTATTTTTTTCAATGTCATGTCTAATGTTCTTAGCCTATTATGTGACTTGCCACCTGCGATCATTGGAGCAGGAATTCTCTATCAATATTATTTACTTTTTCTAACTTAACATTTTTCTTTTGGTCCGAAAAGATTGTTTAAGGTACCTGTGTCATGCTACTAGGTACATGTGGCAATTTCAGTAAGCTCTAACAATCATTATAGGTTGTTACTGGCAAACAAGGATCAGACAATCAGACAATCACCGACCTGACAATTGACCCGTATCACCCACTGGCGCTTGCCATTGTTAGCGAATGGACCCCAGGTTGATCAAGTGTAGTGCAACTTGCTACACCGACGTGAGAGCGTTATGAGCAAGGCGTATGCAGCTACGCGCGGAATCAATATCATCGTCATGTAATGTATGTGCACTAGCCTACATCTGCTCTACCTTTCACAAACCAAATGGGTTTGCTCATTGCCGTGCACCGCCTACTTCTCGTAAACGCGCCGGTCCAACTTATCCTTGTTTGCCAGTAGTTAACTTTCAACTTACGCTCGGCGCCACATCCTCCTTTGTTACAGTAGTTGCTATGGCAACACTCCTCGCACTTAAGGGTAGGGTAAGCTCTTTTCCTTTGTGACACATGACCTAACTTAGCATCACATATCTGAAAAATACAAGTTCACATGTTTAGATATGTAAAACCATAACTCAGTTTACACTGGATAATATCGCATGACTCACTATATAGTCTGTGCCCTGTACAATTATCTATAAGGTGCAAACCAGTCTCGATTGCCTGAGAAAGCAGATTCCATTGGGCGTAGAAAGCAAAATAATTATTAATGGGTAACATATGTTATATTTGGGATTACACTTTCTTATTCAAGTACATATTCTAGGACTTTTTTGGGGGGGGGAGTTCCATCCGGGATTCGAACCCGCACCCTCAGAGTCAGGCACTTAATCGCCAGCACAACCCAACAAAAGTACTAGCATTTGTATTTTACTAAGAATGTGTAATCCCAAATATAACATATGTTACATTTGACCACTTTCTAAAATGGCATTGTGTAATCAGTTATTAATAGGGTTGGATCTCTGAAAATCGGTTCCGTGTTCAGTTCCAAGTCTTCGTGCAATCACTATGCAATACGTTAACTACTTCGAGAAAACCCCAATATATTTCAAGAAATGGGTGCACGTTTCTGTTCTAGCGTGTAGAGCTCCAGAAATGATTTTACTGGGTCGCCAATACGATTATGTGACTCTTAAGTGTTTCTTCATAAGGGATTTACAAAGTTTAGTTTAAGTCCTGGATCCACCGAAATGACCAGAAATATACACAAAGAGCTTAATTAAGCACCCCCCTGTATTTTTGCAATGATAGGTTTTTAACACGTACATTAATCTTCTTGTGGTGACCACGATGGAAAAACATGGGTTTTTCTAACCCGTATGATCCTTTGACTCATAAAAAACAACAAAATGATAGGAATCCATGTTGATTTTATGATCATAATTGCTCATTTAAAAACAACAACAACAACTGATTTTCATACAAAACCATGTCTGTACAAGTATGGCCCTGGGATGTTTAATGTTGAATTTATTGGTGAATGTGAACATTAAAAATGTCATTTTGCGTGTCTTACACGATTCAAGGTCAATACCGAGTGCAACCACCATGTGACTGTATGACAGCCCGCACTCTCCTCCTCATACCCTATGTCAGTCTCCTGATCCTCTGAAGGGTCATTCCTCGTGTAAAGCACCTTCCAATTTGGGCCAGGTTCTGAACAGGAGCATCCCTTTGTTGCACACGACAACCAATCATGTCCCAAATATGCTCCAAAGGGTTAAGATCGGGGCTCATTCAATCGTGAAATATGTCAGGGGGGTGCTTAACTAAGTTTGTTGTGTATGTGTGTCAATGTGCCCAAGTGGGGAATCGAACCAGGGTCTTCGGACGAGTGAACGCTTTAACCACAAGACTACCCTTGTGTGGTTGTTACGACGAGGAAAGTATTTAAAGTCGGGCGATAAACTCACCGAGACAGCTCGACACCCAGCATTGTAGATAGTAGTTCTACCAGCCGTCATATACTCGTCCAGGTAACATTGCTGAAACCGATAACAAATGAGATCCATATTGACAGTTGCTGAAACACGACTCCAGACAATTACGTCTAAAATAAGCATAAAACGTACAAGAGCATTCTCAAAAATCCTTCATATTTTGCGTCTTGCATTTCATATTTCTTGTGTGCATCAACTAAAATGTGAGTAATTGAGTTCAGTTTTACCCCGCTTTTAGCAATATTCCACCAACATCAGGGCGGGGGACACCCGAAATGGGCTCTACACATTGTACCCATGTGGGGAATAGAATCCGGGTCTTCGACTTCCTCACATACATTACAGATGGAAGCTTTTATCAAGGATAGTTTTTTCTTTAGTATTTTCTCCTATTAATGTTTTTCAGATCAGCAGCTGTTAAGAACACATGTAGGTTATTAAGGACAGCAACTGTTAAGAACATCTGTAGGTTATTAATGACAGCAACTGTTGAGAACAGCTGTATGTTATTAAGGACAGCAACTGTTGAGAACAGCTGTAGGTAATTAAGGACAGCAACTGTTGAGAACAGCTGTAGGTTATTAAAGACAACAACTGTTAAGAACATATGTAGGTTATTAAGTACAGCAACTGTTAAGAACATCTGTAGGTTATTAAGTACAGCAACTGTTGAGAACATCTATAGGCTACTAAGGACAGCAACTGTTGAGAACATCTGTAGGTTTTTCAGATCAGACACTGTTAAGAATATCTGTAGGTTATTAATGACAGCAACTGTTAAGAACATATGTAGGTTACTAATGACAGCAACCGTTGAGAACATATGTAGGTTATTAATGACAGCAACCGTTGAGAACAGCTGTAGGTTATTCAGATCAGACACTGTTGAGAACAGCTGTAGGTTATTAAAGACAGCAACTGTTAAGAACACCTATAGGTTATTAAGGACAGCAACTGTTGAGAACATCTGTAGGTTATTAATGACTGCAACTGTTGAGAACATCTGTAGGTTATTAATGACAGCAACTGTTAAGAACATATGTAGGTTATTAATGACAGCAACCGTTGAGAACAGCTGTAGGTTATTCAGATCAGACACTGTTGAGAACATATGTAGGTTATTAGGGACAGCAACTGTTGAGAACATCTGTAGGTTATAAAGGATAGCACCTGTTGAGAACAGCTGTAGGTTATTAAAGACAGCAACTGTTTAGAACACCTATAGGTTATTAAGGACAGCAACTGTTGAGAACATCTGTAGGTTATTAAGGACAGCAACTGTTGAGAACATCTGTAGGTTATTAATGACTGCAACTGTTGAGAACAGCTGTAGGTTGTTAAGGACAACAACTGTTTAGAACATCTGTAGGTTATTAATGACAGCAACTGTTAAGAACATCTGTAGGTTGTTAAGGACAACAACTGTTAAGAACATCTGTAGGTTATTAATGACAGCAACTGTTAAGAACATCTGTAGGTTATTAAGGACAGCAACTGTTAAGAACATCTGTAGGTTATTAATGACAGCAACTGTTTAGAACATCTGTAGGTTATTAAGGACAGCAACTGTTGAGAACATCTGTAGGTTATTAAGGACAGCAACCGTTGAGAACATCTATAGATTATCAATGACAGCAACTGTTGAGAACATCTGTAGGTTATTAATGACTGCAACTGTTGAGAACAGCTGTAGGTTGTTAAGGACAACAACTGTTTAGAACATCTGTAGGTTATTAGTGACAGCAACTGTTAAGAACATCTGTAGGTTATTAATGACAGCAACTGTTAAGAACATCTGTAGGTTATTAATGACAGCAACTGTTTAGAACATCTGTAGGTTATTAATGACAGCAACTGTTAAGAACATATATAGGCTATTAAGGATTATAAGGGTTAAGAACACATATAGGTTATTAACGACAGCAAGGCTTAGTGTTAAGAACATCTATAGGTTAAGCAAGATTTATGGATGTCAGCTTCTTTATTGTGAATATAACGACGTTTCGGAGTTTATGCTTGCTCCTTCATCAGGGTTGAGTTGAGTTGGGTTTTGCGTCACATCGGCATTATTCCAGCCATATAGTGACGAGAACAAGTTTGCATTAATAAACATTGTAAGTACATACTCGGAATGAGTTTTATTTCAAAAACATATTCATTACATTGTCATTTAAAAGCAGAAATAGTAATAGCATCAAATTTAAAGGCAGGCAATTTGTTAGTCACATTTCACAGTTACAATTTATGATACAGATCAACTTCCCTCAGGTAGTTCACTATCAGATAAGCGCTCACGCGGGAGAACAGATCTTTTAGGTTTGTTGCATCATAATGTGAGTCCCTTGCAGACGATAAGTCCACGCATGCAAGCAGAATATGCTTGATGGTGAAAACCTCATCGCAAGAGACACACATGGGGGTGAATAGTAGGTATGTATATGTTACAGGGAATGTGTGAAACCAGGGATTTCACGTAATCCCTAAAAGAGTCAGTGATTTCGTGAAATCACTGTGGCCCCGACGAATTTCATGTATTCCCTAACATTTCAAGTGATTTAATGAAATTACTGATTTTAATGGTGTTCCATTACACACATTCCTTGTAAGGATATCAGTGAATGTGAGCAATTTATGTTTGTAGCTTAAATGGACACTGGTCCAGAGCCATTCCCCAGGAGTGATTGTTGCTTTTGTTAGTGTTTTCCTCTGCAACTACCCAGATGATATCCCAGAATTCTTGATTGGGTTGAATCTCTGTTGCGCAACCCACAAGCGCAATTGATAGTATAAGTATAATATGTATATCCTTACATTGATCAACAAGGAAGAAATCTGTTTTACTCATTAATATTTTCATCTTCATTATTATGGTAACAAATAGACTCATCGACGTTTAACTTCATATGCCAGTGATACAAAATGTTAGGGCTGAAAAAACCCGAAGTCAATGAATGTATTCATAGTTTTGTCTTATAATCCTAATGAATTTGTCATTAAATTTTTATGCATTTTTGGAACTTCATAACAAGAAAACAATCTGTTTCAGTAAATATATAATGACTGTAATATCAAGACATTTTATAGATTGCCAACGTAGATCATATTTCACACACGCACTAAGTACGAGCTAGTGTATGTTGTCTGTCTCATCAAAACAAACAACTAAAAAATGAAGTGGAATAATTTTGCTGAATGCTACAAAAATGATTAATAACAAAATACATATATTTGAAGGAAGGACGTTGTTTTTACACAGGCACTTTACGACAAAATACATTAATCAATCAGTGTGGTATCGGTTAATCCTTTGATCGATTTTTAAAAAACCAACTGATGATTCCTCTTGCTGCACTTCCACGTGCATATTACATAACATGTAATACATTTTGTCACATCAGAATTATCTCTCCGGACTGCTGTGATTTCCAGTCGACTTGTGGTGGTCAGGGTTTCCAGAAATGAAACTGTGGTCCTAACCAATGTAAATCGAGACGTTGTAAATGTTTCAAAATGGGACTGAGGTGTAATAGCCGGTATCATAACAGTCTATCTTGTCCAAACAAATGAATTGTATCAGCATATACTCAGTACTCGCATCATAGATTTTGTGTTCTCTATTTCAATAAAGGCTGACAGGGGTTTCACGAAATCCCTGAGCCAATATTTCAGTAACTTCATGAAATCACTTGAAATTTAGGGAATACATGAAATCCCTGGGGGTCACAGAGTTTTCACGAAATCACTGACACTTTCACGGATTACGTGAAATCCCTGGTTTCTCCAGGATACTCCCTTACTATTCACCTGATTACGGAGCATCCATACACTCCGAAACGTCGTGTTATTCACAATAAAGAAGTTGACATCCATAAATCTTGCTTTTCTTATGCATTCCACTTCTAAACGCCCTTCAAAGATTTGATCTATAGGTTATTAAATATAGCAACTGTTAAAAACATCTATAGGTAATTAAGGATAGCAACTGTTAAGAACATCTATACGTTTTAAAGGACATATATTCATGGAAACGAATAAGAAAGCACATGAAAGTACAAGTGTTTCTTTATTCTTTTCCAGAATTTAACCCACAGTGTGCAATACAAAGCTTGTGAAGAAACCTAGAAAAGCATAATGGAGCACTTGTACTTTCATGTACAACGAATAAGAGAACACATGAAAGTACAAGTGTTCCTTTATTGTTTTTCAGAATTTCACCCACAGTGTGCAATACAAAGCTTGTGAAGAAACCTAGAAAAGAATAATGGAACACTTGTACTTTCATGTACAACGAATAAGAGAACACATGAAAGTACAAGTGTTCCTTTATTGTTTTTCAGAATTTCACCCTCAGTGTGCAATACAAAGCTTGTGAAGAAACCTAGAAAAGAATAATGGAACACCACACTCCGGCACAGCGATGACTTAACATAACATCACTGCCACAGGCTAATTTGCATATCACGTGACCGGACTTTTCTCTTGTTTGTAATCAAACGCGCATATTCATAATACGAAGAGACTGGACTCACGAAAGCTTTTCATAATGTTTTACATTGTTACATATATATTCTTCCACAACTGCAACAGTTAGGTCTATGACAGTACATATTTAGATATCAAACTGGCTGCATCATTTGCTCTCCGTCGGCTTCGATGACAGCACGTGGAGCCGTACAACCTATGTAAACAAAGGATCGCTACGCAAATCGAAATAGTGTTACATGTTTTAGGATATTTTCTCAGTGAAACCAAACCATTCTATTAAAGATGTTTAGTTAGATGTGTAGACTCGTCAAAAATAAAAGAGTAAAGAAATCTGTACAATATATTGAATGGACATTGCAAGATGTGACGAATCGTCACATTTTTCTGGCCTGTGGCAGAGGTACTATGCTGGCTTGCCGCATGGAACTCTGGGTAGGAGAGTGATGGAACACTTGTACTTTCATGTACAACGAATAAAAGAACACATGAAAGTACAAGTGTTGCTTTATTGTTTTTCAGAATTTCACCCACAGTGTGCAATACAAAGCTTGTGAAGAAACCTAGAAAAGAATAGAGGAACACTTGTATTTTCAGGTGTTCCCTTATTCGTTTCCATAAGTATATTACCCGTGGTTTAAATATTAGCAAATCCGAAAATGGATATTTGGCACAATGTCACAGGAAAGATTAACCGGATTAACGGGGTTCTACAGAAGGAAGGCGGAGTTACCTCGCCCGGTCGGCACTCCACGGTGACGTTGCAATTGTATGGGTGGTCAACACCCAGACATGAGAAGCAGCGGGCCAAGACTGCAAACACAGACAAGTTAGGATGCATGAAATAATCCCAATCCCAATCTACTAATCCCAGAGTTATTTTTCCCAATCCCAATCTACTAATCCACAGTTATTTTTCCCAATCCCAATCTACTAATCCCAGAGGTATTTTTCCCAATCCCAATCTACTAATCCCAGAGTTATTTTTCCCAATCCCAATCTACCAATCCCAGAGTTATTTTTCCCAATCCCAATCCCAATCCCCTACTAATCCCAGAGTTATTTTTCCCAATCCCAATCTACTAATCCCAGAGTTATTTTTCCCAATCCCAATCTACTAATCCCAGAGTTATTTTTCCCAATCCCAATCTACTAATCCCAGAGTTATTTTTCCCAATCCCAATCTACTAATCCCAGAGTTATTTTTCCCAATGCCAGAGTTATTTTTCCCAATCCCAATCTACTAATCCCAGAGTTATTTTTCCCAATGCCAGAGTTATTTTTCCCAATCCCAATCTACTAATCCCACAGTTATTTTTCCCAATCCCAATCTACTAATCCCAGAGTTATTTTTCCGGATCAAAACAATCACAGCTCACTTAAGGTATCAACCCGTGAAGAACCGGGTTAGAACTGATCTTCAGTTCCCCACTCTTGTCGTAAGAGGTGACTATCAACAAAGTCAGCGAGCCTGACCACCCGATCCCATAAATCGCCTGGGTTACTGAAGACCAATCCTAACCCGGATCTTCACGCGTATATCTACTACAAAGCGACATATTTGAGTGGTATTCACTTGATATCAAATTATACATAACCCAATATTTTAAATTCAGACAAGAATGCGACTGATCCATAGCGAGACCTTAAACAATGATATCAGAAATTGTGTCAGTGTAAGATCATAATAAATCCAGTGATCAGTAGCATGAGCATCGATCTACGCAATTGGGAACCGATGACGTGTCAACGAAGTAAGCGAGAATGACCATCCGATCCAGTTAGTCGCGTCTTACGACAAGCATGGGTTACCGAAGATCATTTCTAGCACGGATTTTCACGCGTACATAAAAAATAAGAAAGTTCCCGTTTAGCGACCTACCCGGATTTTGACAGTCGTGGTTGCAGTAGTTGCCATCGCAACAGACGGAGCACATGGTCGACAACACGTTGTCTCGCTTCGTGCCTCCCTTTACGTAACATTCCTTAGTAGAAAGAAAAAAATACAGATTTAGTAAATGTTTTTGAAGATGTCTCTTGGTACGTAGCAAGGTCATTGGTACAATATTCAAATATTCGAATTATTACAGTTCATGGGTAGCCTATTACTTAAAGCGTTCGCTCGCCACGCCTAAGACCCGGGTTCGATTCCTTTATGGGTACAACGTGTGAAGCCAATTTCCAGCCGTAATAGTGCTATAATTTTGCTAAACGCGGCGTAAACCTAAAGCCACTCACTCACTCACTGTACATGAAATAATAAAAATGAGAATATTTATAACGCACCTAGGCTAGATATCCTGCTCAAAGCGAACAATCTGACCATTATTACCCGGATGTCCCAAGCTGGCTGTGAAGCGCTAGAAGGTTAATAGTGTCACGACTTATCCCACCGGGTACCCATTTTCTGCTGGGTGGACAGAGGCAATTTTGAACAAACTCCTTGCCTAAGGTGAGACCAGATGTATCACATGTGCTTCGTTGTGGGGCAGGACTAAAGTCCTAGAAAGTCACAGGAGTCAAGCTGCCAAACACGGTCACGACTCTCCGCGCTCTGATTGTGATCTGAGTACTATGCACAGGAACACGCGCCATACAAGACCTCATACAAATATTTACCTTCACGGTGTAATATCGGTAACATCGCGTTATCCCTCGTTCGAGACTAACCAGAATACTGCTTGTTATACTGCCACGTCATTGAGTACTTACTGAATAATCCGCACAGCCAAGATTATATTTGGTTTCATAGTTGTCTGTGTACACCTTATCGACGAAGCAGTGCTGAAAGGAATTAAACCTACGTTATCTTTCATTTTAATTTATAGTTCGTTTGGCTCAAAAGCGGACCGATGAAGTGCAATCTAACTCGAAAACTAATAAACATAAAATACTCAATGAAACGCTGATCATAATCAAAACATCATACCCATTCTGTGAGGTTTTTGCAGAATTTTTGTCCTAAAAAAAAAAAGTTGTTTAACAATCTATCATTAAAATATTGACACAGTTCACTATTTGTTACAAGGGAGGAGTGCAGAGAAAGGGACAGCCAAGTGTTCGAGAACGGATGGAGACGGCACAGCACAGGTTAATGAATAAATAACTTTGTCTGTGCACGTGCTTCTCGAACACATGGCTGTCCCTTTCTCTGCACTCCTCCCTCATTTCATTGAGTATTTTATGTTTATTAGTTTTCGAGTTAGATTGCAATTCATCGGTCCGCTTTTGAGCCAAACGGACTGTAATTGTTTGAACGGAGGTCTGGAAGTGGGTGAGTCAAAAATGAAGTCTTTATTTATTTTTAGCTTGGTAACGGTGTAACGTCTACATGAAACGTCGCTCTGTGCAATAAACAAGAAGTTGTCTTCCACAAGGTTGTATACTTCATTTGTTGCTATTAATTTTGAACCCAAAAATATTATAATCATTGTTGTTATTATTAGTGAATCAAATCATATCATATTTATCTACATCCAATAATGTGGTAACCGTGTTTAGTTTCAGATTCTTATAAAAAGACCGAAAGATATATACTTAAATGCAAAAGAAACGTCGCTTGAGATTGTGTAGATGTCCAATGGCTTGTAGTTGATCTTTCATTAACCTAGCCATAGGTGCTGTGTTCAAAAGTGAACGATTGCCATTCAAGCCGGTAATTTATGCCTGAATGCATGCATGATACACATGCATCTCGATTTCAGTGTTGTGGTTGTTGCCGCGCGCACTCACGCACGCGCGCGCGCGCACACACACACACACACGAGATCGTTAAGCCTCCATCAGTTTGACTACCTGATTTGCTTTGCAGATCGTTGTCGTAGCACATGTTGTTGGATCATCGATGAAGTCACAGTGGTAACACCTATTGCCTTTCGGCGCTGTGAGAACAATATATATAAGGTTAGATTGTTTATGATTCCGGACGTTTTCTTAGATTAGCATTTTTCAGTTCATACATAAAATTGTTGGCCTCTGTGTTTGTTTGGATGTAGTATTTGTACTTCTTGTTGAAGGGGAACGTCAGCAAATGACTGGTCTCTTAAAGTCTATCAAACAAACATGAACCAAGGTGGTGTGTGGTCCTGTGGAAAACAGGTACCCGGTGAGATAAGTCATGTGACTATTAACCTTATAGCGCCTCATAGATCAGTTTTGGTTATCCGGGGTAATAATAATCAGATTACAGCGTCCAGTGAGCAATTAGTCAGATGGATACTAGGCGCAATATAAATGAATTATTATTATATTGTTATTATATAAGGGTCGAAAAAAGCAAAAGAGTGATAACAATTATATGACGGTATCACTGAAAATTACACGAGGTGTTAAAGAAACGGGTAGACATGTTCTGCCCGATAATTTGAAGCTAAAGGCTAAATCCCCGTCATTAATGTATGTACTTACAGTATATAACAAACTGTATTAACTGTGCCATCCACTTGTATTCTTAAGCCGAAATACGTGGAACTAACTACGATTAAGCCTACTGACCCTTCTTAGTTCGCCATATCCATAATTTTCTATATTGTAATTTTATCAATATATTTTGTGTCTGTCAAAGTTTTGTTCAACTTACGCCCGGCACTGCATCCTCCACTATTGCAGTGGTCACCATGGCAACACTCCTCACATTTGAGGCTTGGACCATTCCGTGTCTTCACTTCCGATCTCCGATCTAATGCTGAGTTACATGCCTGATGATCAACAAACGCCATTGAAGAAGTTCTCATTGATTCAATTACAACTAACAAAATATGGTCCCAAGAAAATTAATTCGACAAAGGTAGAACTTTCTCTCTAAAAATCACTATACATTTACATTAATGACACCGGATGATAATGGCCTCCTGTAGGTTTCCCAGTCGTCGCTGATTATGTTTGTTTGAGGTTTAACGCCGCACTCAGTAATATTCCAGCTATATGGTGATGGTCTGTGAACAATCGAGGCGGGTCCAGACAAACCAGGGATCAACAGCATGAGCATCGATCAACGCAGTTGGTATATGATGACATATGCCAACCAAGTCAGCATATCTGACCATCCGAATCCGCAAGTCGCCTCTTACAAGCATGGGCTACTGAAGATTAATTCTATCCCGGAATTTCACAGGACTCGACATTTTATAGTGAAGTATCTGGCTATGTTGCCATGGATTGTCATAGTTGATTCATAAAATGACCTTATAACTACTACTTACAACAACAGGTCGACACCCGACGGTGAAGATGATGCGTCCATCTGTGGTTGAGTACTCGTCAGTGAAACATTGCTGGAAATAAGGACTCATTCGTGTATAAGCACGGTTGTCCAACAGACAATACTTGACACTTAACTTGTAATCTTATGTTAATAAAACATCACTGCCTTAACCACAGGCCATCTATGGCCGACAAGTGAGTATGATTGCCGATGGTTTTGGAGAAAAAATGCCTGCGTACTGTCGAGGAAATGATTTGTAGATGTTGCAATAAGTTTTTAGACCCGTGGAATGCCGCTACCGATCGAATCTAGCCCAACATAGGTGCTGTCAACGTGGTTGGAAATCATAAACCAATTTAAAAGGTGAGTTTTCGCTGTCTTGGGTGATCCATGATTTTGGCTTGGAATTGTGGAGGTAGCTGTTTTCGGTGAGTCGTGGCGTATAACTTTTGAAATAATGATCCGATTGTGACCATTTATAGCTCATTTTGTAGGGAAATCATCTCGCTTTCGATCCGAAGGCGACGGGGCCTTAAAAATAGTTTACGTGGTGAAATCTAACTTTGATATAGGAGGGGGTGGTTCCGTCGTTACATCCCTTTCCTTTTATATAGTACTAGGGTAGGGTCTATATACCTATATGTCTTTCTAACGCTGTTTCTAAGCGTGACACGCCCCTGTGACCTTAACGACGGGCCACTATCAGTTCTGTTGTCAAGTGATGTCATAGTGTGTGCGTGGGCTTACGGTTCATTCGATATTGGCTTTTGACTGGCAGATATTCTGGGGCAAACAAGTCAAAGCAACCCGAATTCCCGCTTGAAATAGCGGTAATATTGGCTTTCTTGCTGGTGCTAACCTTAACAATTGCACTATTAACGTTGTTGTTGGACCAAAACCGAACACTGAAAACTGACGTTGTGTCTGACATAGTTTGACATGTTGCAGGCCAAGGCCAAAGGCCAAGGTCGAATATCGTCACAATCTGTTATGATGTCACTTGAATTGTTCGATGACGTTGACATTCGATCAGTCAACCCCGTCAGAAGTTGGTTTTGAGTAAACCTACAGTCAAAATACTTCCTTGCTTCCTTTTTCTTTTCAACACAAATTCCATGTGTTTTAGCAATAATAACGGTAATGCTATTTTCAAACGTTTCAATAGCAAAATGCCTAGATATCTTTCTGTCTGCTCTCATTCTTTTGAGGATCACCATTTAGGATGATATTTTCTCTTGTCTTTTGACAAAATTTTGGATTCCCACCTAAAATATTTTCAACCACAAAGTATCACACAGTTTTGTAATTCTAATTATTTTGCGGATGGATAAATGTCAGCTTATGGTAATGATACCTTGCTACGTGCAATTCTTCAGATGCAGAAACGCCAGTTATCACTACAAAATCCTTCTCTTTGCATTCCGTGGCTACTAATTGTTGTGGCTTTTCTCTTCACAATCGTACAATCCGACTTTGGAACTGATAACCGTTGGTGCGAGGAAGTATAAAATAGAGAAGATATACCTCGTGTGGTTGGCACGTCACGGTTACGTTACAGTCGTAGGGCTGGCGCACACCTTGACAAGAGTAGCAGTGTGGTCCGGCTGCAAGAAGGTACAATTATCTACACAATAAAGCACTTTCCATATATGGAATATATGTTTATGAATTACTATCAGTTGATGATACCAGGTGATTGTGAAAAGATAAGTGTATCCTGCCCCACTGGTGGTACCCATCATAAACACATGCAAAGGCTAGTCAATTGTTCACCTGAAGAAACATGGGAATGTAATGGCGCTACAATATTATCTTTCAGTTCACCTGTCACTAGAACCCCTACTGGCATCAAGAATAGTTGGACCGGCGCAGAGAACGCTTTTACGAGAAATATGCGGTGGACGGCAATGAGAAAACCCATTTGGTTTGTGAAAGGTAGAGCAGATGCTCAACTTATCCTTGTTTGCCAGTAATTTCTGATCGATTCTTATCATCTCGACGTTTATACAGTATGTCGAGTTTATATATTTTATAATGACCACAGATCAATAAAAAACTGATGATTGTATAACACATATAAAATGTTTAACAAAGGGTGAGTCAGCACAGACCTTGCAGTTGTCTGTTTTCTCGTGAGTTGATGCTGGGTAGAGAGTTTGTAGATCCCGGAAGAAGCAACACTGTAACACACATGAGTGGGTGAGTTTAGTTTTACGCCGCACTCTGCAATATTCCAGCTATATGGCTTCGGTCTGTAAATAATCGAGTCTGGACCAGATAATCCAGGGATCGACAACATGAACATCAATCTACGCAATTGGGATACGATGACATGTGTCAACCAAATCAGCGAGCCTGACCATCCGATCCCGTTAGTCGCCTCTTACAAGCATGGGTTACTGAAGATCAATTCTAACCCGGATCTTCACGGGTCGTAACACACATGACTTGCAC